TAATTATTAGTCTGGACGATCCCGAGCATCTTTCACAATCGCACTGATTTTCGTCGAAATGATAATTTCCCAGCTCTTTTTCCTGGCCTATTGTAGATACTGGCGACGACGGTAAGTAGCAACGTAAAAGGAGAATAAAACTTGATAAAGTATTTAAGTGTTACTGTGAATAAGAATAGAAACCAGTACTGATGGTTTTTATCAGTAAGCGGAATGCTAGAAAACATCGCCACCGCATTTCATTGCGTCTTAAAAGCAAAAGAGCGAATTGATCCTACCGTGTTTCCAGCACGAGAAAATAAATTCCGCAATTAGTCGATCCTCCCGACTCAACATGAAGTAATTACTACGGAAAAAAATCCTCGCGATGAAAATCCCTCATCTTAATTCGCCCGTTTACAGCCGCCTAGACTCGATTAAACTCAATCCGCTCTCTTTTTGTGCCATTGTCGATGCTAACGGAAACGGTCGATTAACATCTAAATAAACACATGTAACCGAAAGCTTCAAAGACGACGCCTTACACGGAAAATCGTCCTCCGCTACTTTCGAGGCATGTCCGACTGATATGGCTGTCATAATAGTAGGTAACCCGGAGAAAAGAGGGCTACGACTAATGAATACTAATGACGGCGTTAATTCGAGTGACACGGATGGGTTTAGTAGATTTCACAAGCGCAATGTCTTATTATAAAGTAGTCTTCAAACCTAGTCCGAATGTAAATGTTCCATCCTCGATGGAAAACAAAAAACGCAAGCTAATTTTTTTTTGGGATACCGTCAGTACAACTCACATAAACTACACTAATAAAAATGTATATCCCTAGATCTGAGCGAGGTCCGGAACATTTTCAAAATTGCAAAAATGTTTAAAAAATTTAAAAAATACCTATTTTATCTGAGTTTTTTTACTTATGAGGAGTATAAATGCAAAACTCACATTATCCACTTATTAAAATTTTACAGGAAGAAGGAATAACTGATTTCTCACTTTTCGAGTAACATAAGGCTTTGAATTTTTTTTGTACTTATATTAGAACTTTAAATTTTCTTCTTAATTGGTGAAATGACAGCACAACAATATTTGACTCCAAGAAAGTGAATTAAAGTTTGGATAATGTGAGTTTTGAAACAATTCACAGATTCCACAATTTAAAATAAATACGAAATTGTGAGTTTTTTACTATTTTTAAATTTTAAAATGGTGTAGTTCAACAGGATGAACAAGATAGCGCCACTAACTCTATTTCGAAAAATTATATCTTGGAACCTATTTTGGAAGAATATTGAAAAGGAAAAAAGTTTTAGAATTTAATTTTGCACAATATACTCTAAGTTAAAAACGTTTAAATTTATTACCGATGTTGCAAAATAGCAATAATTGATGAAAAAAAGGCAAAATAATCAAGTTTTTTGGATAATTTTTTAAAACTATTTTAATTGCCCCGAGGGCATTCTAATTTTGGTAAAAAAAAACTTTAGAGTATAATTCGAATTTTCAAAATGTTGCACAGCCTCAAAAAAGCATCTAAATACTTGAAAATTTTTTCACATAGAAAAAACCTATTTACTTACTGCTATACTTAGAAAAAATGGTATGGAACATTTTATTTCCGATTGTAAAGCAATAGTTGGAAAAACAACAACAGAACGTTGCATTTTGCAGATACAAAATTAGAACACCACCGAACATTTTTACTTATTTGGATAGAAATTGCTCTTATTTTCAAAAACAGGATGTTTTTCTAAGTACTATTAAAATGACAATGATAAAAGTAAAGAAGATAAGGGGATATAATACTGCGAGAATATCCCCTTACAATACCTTTCAAATGGTTTTTGAAAAATTGAAGTCGGTCGGTTAGGACGTCTACAGTAAATTTTTAAAGTTAACACTTTTTTTTTATTTTTAAACAATTAGATTACATTTATCAATTTGAAATTCAAAAAATTGTTTTCAAACATTTATTTTGCGAAAACTATCCAACCGATTTTAATGAAATTTGGCGAGTCGTTTTATTATACTCTAAACTTTTTTTACCAAAATTAGAATACCCTCGGAGCAATTAAAATATTTTAAAAAAATTATTCAAAAAACTTATTATTATTTTGCCTTTTTTCATCAATTATTGCTATTTTGCAACATCGGTAATAAATTTAAACATTTTTAACTTGCAGTATATTGTGCAAAATTCAATTCTAAAACTTTTTTTCATCTTCAATATTCTTCCAAAATGCCTAGGTTCCAAGATATAAGTAGAAAATTCAGATAAAATAGGTATTTTTTAAAATTGTTTAAACATTTTTGAAATTTTGAAAATGTTCCGGACTTCGCCCAGATCTTGGGATCTACACGTTTATTATGTGAGTTGTACTGATTCAGTACTACTGAAGGTAATCCAGAAAAAAATAGTTTGCCCCCTCGTACATCCACCTCAAAACAGATCCGCCCTGGTCTAGTTAGGTGCAAATGTTTTTACACAGCGGTTTTTATACATGCTTTTTATTTTTACTCGCAAAGTACGTACATTTGCAACTGTATTTTGTTTCAAAAAATCATAGTTTGTTTTATAGTAATCGAAAATGAATTTATTGGCCTATGATTTATAATCAAGTATCAAATTACAACATCCAATGTGACATATTAGAAAATTTTCACTTAATGTAAAAAAATTATCATTTACTTACACGCACAAACAATGATTTCTGCCAAATATACTCGTATTTCTCAGTTCTGTCAGGACCTCTTCTAGATAATTGCACTTCACTCGGTCTGTTTCTAGCACTTACTTTATCTACGAATACCTACGTAACACTATTATTAATAAACATTTGAAGGATCAAAAAACGTACAACAGTCAAAACACGGAGACCTCTAGATTTTTTCTATTCAAGAAACAAGTTATTTTCGTCTGCCTGTCAATTAGTCGTACCACAGGATTCTTAAATATAAGCTCGAATAAATTAATGGCACACAATCAAAATAAATTATCTTACTATGATAACCTATGTAGGGTATTGCACAGGCATTGGCAAAACAAACATGGGTCACTGAACTAGTTTATTGGGATAGATCAGCACCGCGTGAGTCATTCGTCAGTGGCCCAACAGGTAAAGAGATGCATTGTTGCCACAGTGACAAAGCTTGAGCCGTGTTACGTATTTTCCTTTCGCCTACACTAGTTGTAATTGTAAAGTGTAGTGAGAATTGTAGTTATAAGAAAAATACCTATTATTTCCCTTTATTTCTAGTAACTGTCGAAAAGTGCTTAGGATGGTTACAAATAATTAGTTTTTTTAACCGTTTTTTTATATAATAACATGAGTAGCAGTTTTTTAAATATATATTTACGTTTTTTAAAGTTAAAATGTAACGTACTTTTTATGGAATATAAAAATAATTGTATACTTTGTTAAAATATAAATTTTATCATAAATAGAATACAGTGGGTAGTGTAGCAGCATCGAACACCTTGCAAATAATGCGGAAGACCTTGTCCTAATAGTCTCTATCACATTGTTGTATCCACCGGAAGTAGCTATCTGTTTTCCGTGTTGCCTTTGCATTTGCGGAAATAGAAGTGAATAGCGATTTAAAACATTTTAAAATTTGATTGTTTCACCAAAAGCAGCTTCTAATCTGCCTAGTCTAGGATCAATAAAGAATACGTCTACTAAATTGCATGTTGTTTAGAACGAAGTTCTGAAGATAATGTCATTTTGTTGTTCTAAATCGGATCACACTCCGTTTACGAAGATTTTATTGATGTGAGTCACAAAACTAATGTGATTTATTGTACCATAAATTTTATTAGAATATTATTTCAACACAAGTACGTATTTGATAGACTAATAACAGCAGTCCTTTACACATAAATTGTAGTCATTTGTCATTGAAATGGATTCTGTGAAAGTTGTTGGGATTTTTCACAGCTACAACTAGCGCGTGAATTTTAACAAGACATTAAAGAGAATTTACATTTTACATTTCTTCCGTTGATAAATCACTTCTTATTTTTCTGTCGTCTTGTTCTTTACCATTTTGTCAAAAAAATACCTAATGATGTTCTCATTGATAGACCTTTTAACTAAAATCGTGCAATAAATACTTTTCTTGCACAGGCTCTTATAAAATGTATTTTTTATACCGAAAATTATGTAAAAAACATCACTTCAGTAATAATCATGATTCATTCGATTTGTAACTAGTCATATTCTGCAAAAAACTTAATTACAAACATTTTTTTCCTCTTCCATTTTCACCTAAAATTAACTCTTGAAAAGATACATAATTAAATAGGAAGAAAACTATGACATTTTTCGAATTTTTTGAACATATTGTGCCGCCATAAGTTAAGCCCATGTTTTTTTTAAGCGCATAGAAAAAGTTTCATTTCTAGTGATATTTGAAAGCCAAAAAGCCAAAAATCTCGTTGGATATACGATTCGATATCGAAATATGGACTTTTTGAAACAGATACCGTCTGGACTATATCTTCTGTTTGGTATCGTGTTTTAAAAACATCCGGTATATTAAGGGCGATTCTAATGGTACACTGGTTACTCAAGGCTCCGTTTACACGAATTTATTTACATCGTTCTTATGACTAATCTGTACAATTATAAAACACAAGTTTTCTTCCTCGCGTTGGTAGCCATATTCTTTCTTGCGAGATTTCTGCAGCCAGCGGCTGTTTTTATCTCAAATAAATTCCACACATTCAAGAGAGCGGTATCTTATCAGGCCTTAGTAATCCCTTATCTCGGAAAAATGCGATGTTCGAAAAGTACTTCCAACTCATGCATAATCGGAATTAGCTCATCTGGCTAACTGCCTATCAATTCGAACTGTTCCGTGCGGTGACTCAGTGGGAGACGTCCAAATGAGGACTCGTTATATCCGCTAATAGACCCAACGAACCATTCCCAACATGTACTTAGTCGTGGCGATCTTGGTCTGGCTCTGGTTGTGTTACTTACTGTGCCGTTTTTCCGAACAGGATGAGCTGTCGGAGAGGTCTCTGCTGGCCTCCAAAAAGGACGAGCTGGACGCCGCCTCCAAGCAGTGGAAGGCCAGGGTGGAAAAGTCCGACGCGGAGAAGTTCTCGGTGGCCGGGAAGATGGGGGAGAAAATTCGGGACGCTGTGCCCACCATCAACATACCGCCCGCGGACAACAGGAAGAGGACGCCGCAGGCAAAGAGGTTCAAGCTGAAGGAAGGTGAGTGCTTTGCGAAGTTTTTGAGTAGGATTTAGTTTTTTCTTCGAAATTATGAGAAACGTAGAGAACACGCAAAATACGACTAATCAGTAAATAAACTAACACTTACGTCACTGTTTTTATCGACGATAAATACTTGGCATTACAATCAATTGATCGAGGCAATTATTATTGATTTGTTACGTCGCGAAAATAAATATGATTCCAATGCACGTCCTTGTGTTAATATAATACTTGTGAATAGCTGAAGTACAGTTATTGTTTAATAAATAGAGGCTACTTCCTATTATAAGTAAATAGGTAATTTAAAACATTTGAGGGGATGATTTGGAAAAAAAATGAAATAACTGAAAAACGAAGATACTTTGTACTAAGACAAAAGTTTTTCTGAACGACCTTAGCGCAAAATGTCATCAATATAGACAAATGCGAAATCTAAACCCGAAACTACTTCATTGATAAATTTTTCAAAGGTTTGTGGCACATTTCTTAAGCCGAATGGCGTTCTAAGAAGCTCAAAAATATTTTCTACGCCAAAATTTAAACATTTAAATTAAAAGGGTAAACACGAATCTTAAAAACTCAGGCCTCAATAATAAAATACCACCGTATTGTTCAATATTGAATGGAGTTAGGAAAAAATCAGAAAAATATAGGAAAACTATTAGGGTAAATATGATGTTTTTTATTTCTCGCAGAAACGTCACTATTGGCGCAATGAGATTACAGTTTCCTCTAAAACGTCTTATAATGAGCTGTTTGTGTGGTAATAATTTGAAAAAATAAATTAACCTGTTTATAAGTAAATCCCAAATTTTAAAGCTTATAGGAATCACCCCCTTAAGTATTTTTGACCAGAAAATATTTGAAAAAAGTTTCATAAATTTATCCGTATACAAATTCTATTAAGAATAAGGACAGCAAAATTTTTTTATTACACATGGCCCCAATGATTTTTTTAAATAAATAGCACACATTGCTATTTTTCGAATGGTTTTTTTAAATAATCTGGTTATATAGATAACCCTTATTAACACGAGCATCACTTAAAATTCCATTATAAAAATCTAGAAAGGATTAGAAATGACTGGTGATAAAACATTGACCAGACTGGTGATTATAATGTACAGTCTACTTAAAAGTTATATTCACAATTGCGGGCATCCTTAATGACAATTGCAGGCTGTATTATTTTACCTACATGTAATAATATTTTTTGTCATATTCGGGCTTTTCAATGCCTTTTACATTTTTAAGCTGACAAAGAAACTTATCATAATTATTTTAAATATTTAAGCTTCTATTAAAAAAGTTGTTCTACTTCATAATTTGATAAAATTTGAGATACTAGGGTCTTAAGTAATACTGATTAACGGCCATGCGAATTGTTCATCTTAAAAAAAATTGTAGGCTGTCCTGGTTCTTAATAGACCTTGTTGGTAATTTCATAAAGAGTTAAAAAAATACTGAAATACTACACAACAAAAACGTTTCATTTTAAAGACAAATTTTCTATTCGGTTATTTTTAGAGGTATCGAAATTAGGATGGAACTTTTTTTTTTGATTTCGAAAACTCTGGACTGGACTAAAGGATGATTAACAAAAATTAATTTTGCTTATATTTATACCCTATATTTAAGAGCTTTGTATCTGATTAGAGATTAAATGATTCAAGTGAAATACATTGCAACAACAATTTATTTTTAAACGATAAAAACTTAAGTAACAGCAAATAAGATTGCCTCGACTGATATTGAAGATAAAACAACTGTGAGAATCGAGTAATAATACACGAATTAGTCTTTTTTTGGTTTCCTAGATTATATAGTAATGTCAGCAACAAAAATTTACAGTAAGTGTAATCAATTAATAAATTCTTTGTTTGTACTAATTAGTAAATATTAAAAATTTGTTTTAATTTGTAAATATACATCAGTTCTCAACTAAGTGAAGAAACCTTTTATTTTTAAACGTAACTTTAATTACATTAAATTAGTAATCTTCGCCATATGTACTACGTTACTAATTAAATATTGTATAAATTAACATTCTGCTCTTAATAATAAGCAGAACAAATAAACTTTTATTACGTGCTTTGTTTTGTTGGCTTTAAATTTGTCATACGCAGGTAAATTCACTTTAAAAGAGTGTATAATCAATCTATTCTCTTCGAGCAAAACGAGGCAAAAGAAATTTTGGAATGTGAATAATGATAGGTACTAAACGCTATCGTTTGGTCGCTGAAGTCACTTTTGCCTCATGTTCTTTAAACGCAGAAAGTGTACAAAGTAATTGCATATCGATACATTTTTTTACAATCTCTCATGTGTTTAAAACAAGTTGTATTTTTTCCACATTCACATAACGCATATTGTTATAGGTTCCGACTCTACACCAACATCACCAGAAAAAAATAACAAATTTGATCTCATCAGAAGCAAATCCGTCACGTATCCCCCAGTCTCCGACCATGACTCTTCCGGTAAGAACGACTTCAATTACGCTTTAATATGCGTCGAAAAACATTTTCATTGATAAAATTCTGCAGGATCTGACAATTCTACGAGAGCCTCAGGCAGGAAGGTGTCGGTTCCGAAACCCGATGATTTCACATTCGAGACGTTCTTCAAGAGCTTAGAAGAGACGAAAAATGTAGAACCGGCGGACTTGTCTCTGGAAGATTTCGATGCGGTCCAGAGGCAGTCGCTTCTAGTCATAAAGAAAAACGTTCAAGTGCAAAGACGCAGGGGAACCACGAGGAACCCGATCAAGGCCCTGGCTTCGAGGACCGACATTACCAACGAGTACACGGAAGTGATCACGGGGGTCGCCGAGAGAGAGAAGAAAAGACTGAATATTGAGAAGTGTAAGTGATCGATTAACCTTTCGCTACTGCAATTTTTGAAATTTAAAGTTAAAACTTTTAAAATAAATGTCACCGCAATAACAAACACACATGTATTTAATTTTGCTCTTTAAATATTAAAAGGATAGCGGAGTTTGTAAAATTAGTGTTTAAAGTAAAAGCAAGTGTCAAAGTACAGAATTGCAACTACTGTGTAAATATTAAAAATCCCTGAAAATCATCAAATTTGGTCAACAAATTGGAACAAGTTCTATTGTCTCTAACTTTTTTTATCAATTTATTGAAAAATTTAGTACACTTTATGTATACCATTTAACTGGGCCAATTTCTTAATCATTTGGTTGGGTAAAAAAATTGGTAAATTGAAAATGGGTTTAACTGACACATAAAATGTGGAAAATTTTTTACCCTCCAAAAATTGGCCAAGAAATTGAAGGTAATAAAACTGGTATTGCCTAATTTTGGTGATTTTTAATCATTTTCATCATTTATTCAGTTTTTCAGTTAAATTCAACAATTCTGAGATTTGTTTTTATTTTTAAAGTGAATGTAATCAATAAATTGGCCAATATATTGTAACCTAACCAAAAACATCAGAGATATAATTTTTTACTAATTTCTTGAACAACTTATTGTGTTAGAAATTGGTAAATGTGAAAACAAGTTTAAATTTATCATTTATCTTTATATAATGAACATTCTTAGTTGTTTTTTTATATTTCAGTAACTATTTGAATGTATGTACATTTTTTTATCGGTTGTTTTCAAATGACTCATAAAGTTATTGTAAAAACAACCATATTCTAATAAAGTAAACAAAAACAAAGCAAATACACACTTATAAAATAAATTTGAACAACCTTCACACTGATAACGTGTAAAATTGTGAGGTAGTTCACCTAAAATATCCCGCAATGACAGCAGGTTGTCTCATCTCCTTCTATCGCATTTCTAACATTATTAATTGCAGGACATAAAAATAAATATGTAATTTTTTTTTAATTTTCAGTGGCCAAACACTCGAACAAAGCGCTAGAAGCTCTAGCCGGCTTGGCGAGTAACGAAGACTTCAAATCCGTCGCCTTAAAGAAATCCACAGGCGTCACGCAACTTCTGCCATGGAAAGACCTGATGTTACTGCAAGTGAAGGGGCGCAGACACATACAGACTCGTCTGGTGGAGCCTGTCGTGAGCAGCATCAACGAGGGCGACAGCTTCATATTAATCACCCCCACGGTCTTATATAATTACATCGGGAGCTACTCCAACGTTATCGAACAGTCTAGAGCTGCGGACATCGCCAATCACATACAAAAGAGCTCCGATATGGGCTGCAAAGTAGAGAAAATCGTAACGATTAGCGGCAAGAGTGGAGCCAATAAACAAACAGAAGCTTTTTGGAAGCTATTGGGGACCGAAGAGGCGCCCGAGGTTGTCGAAGCCGGTCACCCCAGCGAAGACGAGACTTACGAGTCGAACATTCTGAGCACGAACATGATTTACACGTTGGAAGGCGAGGAGTTGGTTCCCCACGAGAAATATTGGGGTGCCATACCAAAAATCGAGATGCTGCAAGAAACAGGCATATTAGTGTTTGATTTTGGTTCCGAGATGTACGTGTGGAGCGGTAAAAATGCGTCTTTGGACAAAAAGAGGCTTGCCCTGAAACTAGCGAAGGAAATGTGGGAAGACGGTTACAATTACACGGAATGCAACATAAGCCCGTTAAATATTGCCTCGAAACTTGGCGCCCGGGAACAGGAAGAATCACCCTTGAAGGGGGACAAACGTCCTGACTGGGCATTGTTCGCGAAAGTAACGCAACATCGGGAGACCGTCTTGTTCAGAGAAAAGTTCCTCGACTGGCCCGACTTCTCCCGTATAATCAGAGTGAAGAGCATCGAGGAAACGAAAGAAGTTAGCGCCTCTTACGACATCCGACCCTGCGACGTCAAAGAAATGCTTAAGGAGAAAGAAAAAGAACCCGACATAGTAATCGACAACGTTCACTTGGGAAGGGGCGACAAGTACTTTGACGAGGAAACTAGAAGACTGTTTGAATATGACACATTAGAGATAAAAGCGTGGCGGATCCTGGAAAACACGCACGAAGAACTCAAAGACAAATCCATAGGGCAGTTCTACGATGGTGACAGTTACATTTACAGCTGGAAGTATCGGCAGACAGTCAAAGGCCGGGAGTTAAACGGGAAACCGTCCAAGCACGCCCAAGTGGGACGGGATCGTTGCGTGTTCTTCTGCTGGCATGGCAGCGACTCTTCCATAAACGAAAAGTGCACGGCCGCGTTTCTAACGGTGGAACTGGACAAACAGAACGCGCCTCAAGTCAGGGTGGTCCAAGGCTCCGAGCCGGCCGCCTTCCTGCGTCTCTTCGACGGTAACATGGTAATACACAAAGGCAAGCGCGACGAGGCGGAAGACACCCAAAAGCCGAGACTCTTCATTGTGAGGGGGGAGGTCGAGAATGAGATATACTTAATGGAGGTGGCTCCGAGCATGAGCTCACTACGGAGTAGATCTTCGTTTGTTATAATCGACACCGAAGAGGAACAGATAACTATTTGGCATGGCAGTAAGTCGTCCGAGCAGAAGCGTAAAGTAATAAAGGACACAGTGCACAAAATTATGAAGAATAAGCCCGCCGAATTGTACCTGGATGAATTCGAGGAGGACTTGAACATAGTGGAGATGGACGAGGGTAGCGAGAGCGAGGATTTCTTCGATATCCTGAGCAACAACAGAGACGTGTACATGTCGCTGTTGGACAGCGAGGAGAATTACGATCATACCCCGAGGCTATTCAGGATGAGCAGCGTTACCGGCACTTTTATCGCGACGGAGATTTTGTGTCCGCACAGGAGCGAACACTCTAGTCCGTACCCGTTCGTACAGTCCGAGCTTTATTCGGCTAGTCAACCAGGTACGTCGATAGAGTAAAATCTCATACAGACACGATATAAATTATTTTTGCAGCACTGTTCCTCATCGATAATCGCCACGAGCTGTGGTTGTGGCAAGGCTGGTGGCCCGAAAAAGAGGACGAGGTGGACCTCAGCGACCAAACGGGATCCGGCGCCGTACGGTGGCAGGCGGAGAGGAAGGCTGCTATGCAAACGGCCGTGAATTATTGGAAGTCGACGCACGAGGAAGACGAACCTGTCGTGGCGTATTTGGTCTGGGCGGGTCTGGAGCCCCTGCAGTTTACAAATTTATTTCCGATGTGGGAAGATAAGGAGGACGTTGCTGAGCTCAACAAAAAGGTAGGTTTCACAGTGCAGTTAATTATTTTTTTAAAACATTGACCTTATTTAATAAAAGAATGCTTTTATATTGAAAATTGATAAACAAGAGAGGGAATAACCCGTTATATTCTTATATGACAGGTAGTATATGTGCAATCGTTTCGCGGCCACAGCATTTCGTCAACATTCACCATAGATTACTATGTTAATAAGGTTTTTCTTTATTTTGAGAGGGTCTATAGTTGTTACGATATCAATTGGAACCGTATAAAAACATTTAACTCATAAACTCTACGGAATCCATAGGCGTCCAGAAAAATTTTGTCCTGTCTCGTTTAGATATACTATATTCCGAGCTATATTCCTATTTAGTTGACGATATTCTTGAATTTTTTGTAAATAATCTTCCCGAAGTGCAACTATACGTCGTGACTCCATAATTACCATACGATTGTCAAGTTTTTTATGTTTAAAACCCCATTGTAATAAAACATGTAAAGTATCTAAAAATTTATAATAATTATAATCAGGATAATCGCTTAATTTATCTCGAATCAAGTTTAAAGTAGGAGCTTTACTTTCTTTGTACATATAAATTGTGCGCTATGCAAAAAATTATTTACGACCTAGTGGACCAATACAGGTTTGCTTTGACGACAGCGCGCCGCCGTCCATTCTACATCAGGCGGACGGCTACCAATACCGGACTCGCCCAATGGCTATTCGAGTATAAATTAGGAGACACATCATGGCTAAAGCATAAGAAGAAATTTCAAGAGAAGTGCAGACGGTCCTGCACTTTAAGATTCACAGGTTCCAATTGATATCGTAACAACTATACCACTAAGTATAAATTGGCTCATGAAATGCGGATGCCCTGTATAAAGACCCGAATCTACAATGTCCTTGTAGCTTATTCTAAATCTTCCTATTTGCAGGAGGGTAAAAAGCCTGGAGACATGTTACCATTAGAAAAGGAGCTGGCTCTTCTTTCAAGAACCACCTACCCGTTGTCCGAACTGTTGCAAAGGCCTCTACCGGAAGGGGTGGATCCTACGCACATAGAGAAATACCTGTCCCCTGAAGATTTCGAGGAACTGCTGTCTATGACGAAAGAAGAATTCGAGAAGCTTCCTTCTTGGAAGAAGACGGCTCTCAAAAAGGAAAAGGGTCTTTTTTGACCACTGCTTAGCCTTCTAATAGAAAAACTGGACTACCTATTTGGTGGATGCTTCGGCCCATCAAAGTCCATCGATTTTATTTAATATATAATATAAACATGATTGTATCTGAGAATTATTTATTATATGTTTTTTTTTTAATTAACGGACAGAAATTATCACACGTATTATTTTATTTCACATATCAAATTTTAAGGGCTTGCAGATATTGGGAATGTTGGAAATGCCTTTTAAAACGTATTTTTATAAAATATACTGTTCTAGAAGCATGAAAATTCGCCTCAGCAGTGCATCGGACAAGGTTTTGTTATTTTTTTTTAAGCTGTTCTCGTCGAAATTGTAACAATTTTTTGTTTCGTTGTTGTACCTTAAAAAACTGCCATTTACAATAGCTTTCCTGAGAAAGGATAGAAGTACTTAAGTTTTTATATAATTTTTGTTAACTTCCATGTCACCCAAATAAAATTAGCGAAATTGATCCTTCACAAAAATGACATTATTTGGATGAGACGAAGGGAAAAATAATAATTACCAGAAATAGCTGCTTCGATGTTCCTTGGAAAACTACGAAGACGTAAACGTTACGAAGGGTTTGCTATATATAAATTTGTTTTTTTTTATATTTTAATAAGGTGAAGTTGTGAATAATGTCTGAGCAAATTTTAACTTGTCATTGTTTTGAAGTTAATAGTTCATCAATGGAAATGCGTAAAGTTCCTCACCCAACATGGATTTTTCACTAATTCTGTATTTATGATCAATGATCAAAAGTATCTTTTTTAAATGATTTTCATTATTACGTTGTTCAATAATTTGAAAATTTGTAAATAAAAAAAATTCACTCTAGTTATTAATGGTGATTTAACCCCATTAGAGCTTCACAGTTTCTTTTCACTATTTTATTTCTTTTATTGCCAATAATAAGTATACCAAATTCGAAAAATAAATCGCATAAAAAAATTGTTTAGATTATATAATTCTGCAACACCCTGTATTTCATGACTGATAAACAGCTCTTCTGCTTTTTTATAACTTAATATTTTACCAGTAATATTAATCTTTCATTTAATTTCAAATTCAAATTTTTTCAAACTTTGGTATTTCTCATCGTCCCACTTCTGATGACGAACTGTTTAGGTTGTAAAACTCTGACCAAATTAAATATATTGTACTGACACATTGACCGCAAACCTCACCTGGGGCGGAACGAAAATTATTCGACGGTAAATTATTATTTTTCGTTAAATAATACATTTTTGTGAAATACGCTTAGTAATATTAATTTTAATGATATATATCTGTGATTAGGCTACGTATTTATGTTGATAATTTGTAATATATGCCGTTAAAGAGTGTAAATAAAAATGGTGCCTTGTAATTTTTGGAATTGAGAGCTCTCGTTTTTGAGTTGCAGAACATTTCTAGTCTTTGTGATCCTCAATGGCACTGATCTATTAGTTTGTTTTGTACAATGTTTCTTTTTTTCATATGTTTTCTAATTTTAATACAGAGTTCTGAATGCCTTACTAATGAGTTTTAGATGATCTTTGTGAATCAAAATGTTGAACGTATCGATTTCAATTTACCCCTTAAATTCGTATAAGGCTTTTCTACCTATACTAAAAGTAAGATCAATTTATAATTATATTGTGTATCTTATGTGTTTTGTACATAACTTTTCAATTAATAAATATTTTCACAAACCAAGACTATGTGTCTTTTAATTTGCCTACATAATTATACGTATTTGTAAAAAAAAATCTATTCGCATCATAAGCTGCGATATTTACACTTTTTATAACATCATCTCATAGCTTAGTACAATTTTCTTCTCAGTTTTAGGAATTAAGGAACAAAATTATTTTGTAATTATAACCTTAAATATATAAATACATATAGATAGAATAGAACTTTACTCACCATGTTTATTTTGATCCAAATCACAGATAAATGATGTAAATAAAACCTCACAAAATTTAAATTCTTGTACTAGAACTCGAAACTTGAAATTATGGAGTTTATACAAGTAGTAAGTAGTGATCACTCCATCATCCGTGTTAAAAAAAGTGAGCCATTTCTTGTGTCATGCTGTCATGTAAAGGCGGCGCTGATGTAATTAAGTAGAGTATAAAAAAGATGCGCGAGCAATTTAAAATGATATAATGTTTATATAACTTTTATTTTTCACTAATTTCTTCACTGGGTCTATGTCTAACGTTGTAAACGCAACTTCATAACTCTACTAAACTAAACTACAGAATTGAATATTCTATTCTGTGATCTGTGACTACTGACTAGGCTCTTCAGTGCATCAGCGTTACAACGGCGACTCCTTAAACTTTACTTTGGGTCATAAAACGGGATCAGAACTTGTATGAGTAAAAAACAACTGAGCATCACAAAATATTTTCATAGAGCGACATGCTCAACCAATCTATACATTTGTGTAGTCTCCATGACATTAATAATGAAACACTTTTAATTATTTTACATTTCCGTAGAGCTGATAAAGTATATACTATATACAACTTAAATAAAACTTCTTAAACTGAAACCGGGTTTATTTTTATTTTTCAATGGTAATAAATTATAAGTATGAACCACATTTAATTCATTATTTCAATGCTTTTCTTCGGTGTCGTCCTCTTCGTCACTTTCAGAAGTAAGTTTATTTTTCGATTCGGGTAGTCGATCTGGCGGAAGGTAACTTGGATTGGTGAATGCCAGGCATGAGTTCTTGTTTGTCATCAATACAGCTGAATACATATGGTCGTGTGCTCCATATGGTTTTAAATTACTTGGTTGCAGGTGGCCGTTCAGATCGATCTCCTTACATACGGACTTAAAGACGTCAAAAGTCGCACCATTTGTGTCTCTTTTTGGCTTGGCAGCCTCAAGTTCATACTTTTCTTGTTTGCGAGGTTCATATTCTTGGTATCTGTACTTTATGGGTTCATTTTGTTCTCGAGACTCGTTTGATTTTCTTGTAGAAAGCTCTCGATTGGGTATCGACTTGGTGGAATTTTGATGGTTGACACTTTTCTGGGAAAATTCCTTCCGAGTCACCTTTTTACTACCCTTGCTCCAGGATTTGGTTTCTGATCTGTTTAGCAGATGACTATCCGATCTGCATGACTGCGACAAACAGGATTTGTGCAGGGACCTTGACTGATCGTTTTCAACTTTAACTGCATTAAGAGACTGAAATAAACTATCTTGTTTACATGGGGGCAGTATAGTGAAGTTTATTTTACTCCCGAATGATTTTAAATATTTATAACTAAACATGACACAGGAATTTGGCACTGGCTTCAGTTGAAAACAATTGATTTGATATGTTCGGAATATTTTTAATACACACATTTGATTTTTGAAATTAAAAAAACATAGTAGAATGATAGCGCCATGGAGACTACACAGCGCCTTGGCATGGAAACTTAGTTTTCTGCCACAGATCAGAAAAAGGGCGTTATATGCTTATGTCGCGATGTAATTGGTCAGCCAATACATTCAGTTCAGATGAAAGTACAGCTGCTGCGGAGCAATGGCTAGATCTCTTTCTAATTCATGCATTAAAAGCAGATACCAATATCGCCCGGCAACGCCACATGTTTCAACCTTTTTTCCTATTATGTATTTTGTGCTTTTTTCCACGAAACAATCAAAACATACACTTTTTTCTGTTTTGTAGTTTCACCTTCAGCTGAACAGTGAACACACTCCAACACAATAGTAAAAAGGAATATGTCGTTTGTCATTTAGATTTGAAAAGGTCGTAAAGAATTTGCCATTATTTGCCATCATAACAGTAAATATATCATAAAATTAAAATGTCTTCGGTAAATTTAGATTCAGTTACAATAGCATTACAAAATACCCGAGTTAGCCCAAGTGGGGTTAGTTTTGCTGGAAAGTCACTTAAACTGGATTCTGAAGAAGATGGTATATATATTAAAAGATGACTATTGTGCTTATTTTATTAACAGCGTGTACTTTCAGCCAAACCTGTTGTTGAAGAAATAGCTAAGTGTTCAGACCTACAATATCTTAATCTCGAAGGAAACACTTTAGGTGTTGAAGCTGCAAAAGTGATAGCAAAAGCATTAGAAAAACACCAAGAGTTTAAAAGGGCATTATGGAAGGATATGTTTACCGGGAGAATGAAAACAGAAATTCCTAAGGCTTTAGTAAGATTAATCTTATTCATGTTATTAACAATTCTTTTAAATCTTTCTTTTATATATTTTTGTTTAATTTAGTTTGATGTATCACTTGCTTTCCCAATTTGAGTATAATGTATTAAATTATTATGAATACACAGGAATTCCTTGGCCAGGGTTTAGTAACTGCAGGAGTTCGTTTAACAGAATTGGACCTTAGTGACAACGCTTTTGGTCCTATAGGGGTTCAGGGTCTTGCAGCCCTTCTTAGAAGTTCCTCCTGTTATGCATTGGAAGAACTTCGCCTAAACAACAATGGACTCGGTATAACAGGGGGTAAACTGTTGGCATCTGCGTTAACAGATTGCTATAATTGCAGCAAATCGGAGGGACAACCGTTGGCATTAAAAGTTTTCATTGCTGGAAGGAATAGATTAGAAAATGATGGTGCGACTGCCTTAGCAGAAGTATTTAAGGTTAGTTTGAGCTTTATTTATTTTATCGTACAATTAGAAAAATGATCATGTCGTAGATGATCGGTACATTGGAAGAGATTGCTATGCCTCAAAACGGAATATACCACGTTGGTATCACAGCCTTATCCGATGCTTTTACGTACAATAAAAATTTGCAAATTTTGAACCTTAACGATAACACCATTGGACCTAAAGGTGCGGAAGCTATTGCTAGCGCATTGCCTAACCTGGAAAGCCTCAAAGAAATCAATTTTGGAGATTGTCTGTTGAAAACGCAAGGTGCTATTTCGTTAGCGAACGGGCTTAAAAAAACTCATTTTGAACTGGAAGAAGTAATTCTTGGATTTAACGAGATTAAGAGGCAAGGAGCTCTTCAGTTAGTTGGAGCGATTGCGAACAAAACCAAACTGAAAAACTTAGTATTAGATGGTAACCAGTTTGGTAAAATTGGTAGGGCAGAACTGAAGCAGAAATTAAAGGAAATAGGTACGTTTTTCTTTTAAATCTAAAGAAACACGGTCAGGTTTGTGATTTTCTAGGAAAGTTAAACGTTTTGGGTACTTTGGAAGATGACGAGTCCGAAGACAGTGATGAAGATGCCGAGGAAAGTGAAAGCGATAGTGAAAAAGGTGTCGAGATCACTGAAATCGTCGACTCGGTGGAAGTAAAAGCAACGGCGCAAGATTTTATTACAACACCCAGTGCCCAGAACTTTTTGGGTTTAGGAGATAACAGGGCGGATTTATTGTTGAATGAGATAAAGGTAAGGGTTCCCCTTTGTTTAAAAATTCGTTACTAAAAGCTATTTTATTGTAGAAGAATGGTGAAATTTGTGTAGATTATTTTGTGTCCGTATTGATGAAAGTGGCATCGTTGAGTAACGATGCGAAATCTGAAGTTACTGAATCGTCACTGAAGTGTACAGAGTTGTTATATAAAGATTTATTTATTTGGGCGCAACAAACCGATAAAACGTCTATCGTGAACAATTCCATTCTAGTAAATCTGGGTCTGATAAAGGTAACTGTCAATTTTGTGATAATTTTCATTATTTGCAGCTTAATTTTTTTGTTGTGTATAAAACTGATTGTTGTAGAGTGAAGATAAAAAATTTAAACCTACTTGGAACCTCGAGGGTTGCTTAGGTGCATTGAACAACATAGTGAAAAAGAATTACGTTCCAGAGAGTACGAAAGACACCTTAAAAGTTTTTATGCAAAGGCAAGTAAAGGAATAAATGGACATTGGGTGTAGAATACGATTTTTTACCAATTTAATATACATTTTTTTAAAAGTACTTCGTTTTATTTCCTGGTTTTGTAACGCTTCTCAATTTTCTTTCAGGGAAATTGACAGACGAGGCGTATTACTGGAAATCAAAAAGCAAATATTGACAAGTTTAATTTAAAATATTAAATAAATTTATTTACATATTAATTTTTTTATTTCTTCCAAGTGCAAACAAAAAAAATCTAAAGGTAAGTTTTCTATGAGCAGTTTTTGTATAAATGATAGAAGTTTTTCCTGGAGATGCCCCTGCACGACGAGCCGTGCAAATATAATTTTTTTGGAAACTTGAACACCCTGTATCTCGATACCACATTCCCCAAGAAAAAAATTTATGGAGTACTCTTATTTTTTTGGCAATTAGTCTGTTCCTGTATTTAAAGTGAAATCACCCTGTATATTAAATAATATCTGTTAGAAAAATGATTTAAATTAATAAAAGGGGCCTTAAAAGGTCTTTAACATGTCGGTTTACCAAAATAAAAAGGAATTTTTAATAAAATATATTCAAACTTCATATAAAAATTCACATTATCTTTTAAAGAAAAAGAAAGTAGTTTTCAAAACTAATCGATAATCTCAAAACTATTATTAATCCTTTAGGAATCACAATTTTCCTTATGTCCTATCAGTCATTTTTAAAGTTATACAAATATCTGCATCGTACTCTCTATGTCACAGCGACAAATGGGGCAAGTGTTATTATACATCTGCAACGTGTTGATGCATTCATTACACGTACATAAGTGCCTGCATGGCAGTAACAAAACACATTTTATATGTTCTTGGCAAATAACACAACACCTATCATTTCCATCACTCTTTGATGTATTCATGGGATTTCTTTCCGTTCTTATACGAGGTCTCCTTGTTGGTAGAATTTGTCTTCTATACACCTCTCTATGTGGATGAGAACCCCTCGTTAAATACCGTCCAAATTCAGTATATCTACGTCGAATGTTTCGATACAATTGTCCGAGTCGCAGATACATAAACGCGAACACTATAATGTAAAAGCGGGCGAAAAGATATATTAGGCAACATGAAATCGTAATGCCTAATATAGACTCTACAGGTACTTCGGTTAAAAAATCATATACTGCTCGAGGCAAATTAATCCAAAACAATATGCTTTCAATTACACAATCCCTTGCCTTTTGAGAAAGAAAATTAATGCTTCCTAAGAACAATGTACCTATATCGTTAAATGTCTCTTTGATGCCTGATATAATAGACCAAAAGGTATTTGCTAAATAAAGAACTAAGTATTTCGGACTCAACAAAATTGTATGAACAGCAGTCACCGCACTAAGAATAGTTTTAACCACACAGTCACTTAAAGTTACTGTCACAATCACTAATGATTGAATAATGTTTCTAATATCACTTAAATATGTTATAATATCCACTGATGATATTGTCCTCAGGATATGTTCAAAGTTTTGTACTACATCTTGATAGAATGTTGTAAAAGATTCTAAAACTGCACCAAAAACCTCAAATAATATGTAAGCCAGTTTTGAAACAATTTTTTGTAACGAGCTGAGGATGTTTACTAAAAGGTGTCCTAGTTTATAACTAACGTACAAACTGTAATTAATAATAATACAAGTTAAATCAACGCTGGCTTTTATAGTTTCAATCATTGTCAATCATTAACCACAATTTAATAAACCTTCAAACGAAATAACGGAAAATCTTATCTCTCAAGTCCAAAAGATAAAGGTTAAAAACACTCACAACGCGTCGCGTGAGACAATTTGGGAGGGCTATTTGAATTTAGTAATTTTTTCTATTTGTTACCACAATTCTTACTTGCTAGTGCTAAAGCTAACTTAACACCAGTTTTGGTATCGGTAGTAGTACCAGCGTTACAAACCTAGAAAAAAAAGTCTAGTGGTCGTTTACTAAGATCAGAAGGCCTTTCGATTTGGCAAAAATAGTAGCTATTAATAGCTAATAGCAACTTAGAGTTACTCTGAACTGATATTAGTTGCTAATAGGTACTATTTTTTCCAAAACGAAAGCCCCTGAGGGAGACTTATGTAGTCTCAATGACCAAAGCTTATAAAAACAATGAGCAATGAGTCTCTGTCTAAATTTGTGCTTTAATTAAAAGAGAAATTAATGCAGATGAAACAGACTACAAAAAGTAATAGGGAATTTTATTTTTTGAGTAATTTTTAATTATATATGAGGGTCTTTCGATTTAGCAAGAATAGTAGCTATCAGCAGCTAATAGCAACTTAGAGTTACTCTGAACTGATATTAGTTGCTATTAGGTACCATTCTTGCCAAAACGAAAGCACCTATGTATAGGAACTTTATTCTGGTATATTGATATTGCAAATTGCAAATCATAGACCTTATTAAAAGTCTATGGTGCAAAGCAAACTCGACTCGACGTAGCGTCAAAAAACATTAGTCCGTTTGGTGCATTGTGCATGTATATCTTTTTTACTTGTTTCATGTTTATAAAGAAATTAAACAGGAAAGAAATATTAATGACCCTTAATATTGCACGTGATTTTATATTTCAAGAGAATGAACTACATAATTGATTTAGAAAACATTAAGCATAAATGTAGAGTATGCTTAACACCTAGCAATCAAATGATTTCCCTCACTTGTAAATTAGAGGAAGAAAATGATGAAAGCCCAGAAATATATACTGCCCTGGAAAATATATTTTCAGTTAAGGTACAATTCAATTTTTACAGTAAAAGAGATAATACCAATTTTAAACGTTATAAATAAGAAATGAATGAACGCTACAATTTTATTAAATAGAAAATATTAGATGCATAATAATTACCAATATTACTTTGATTTTTAGGTTAATATTGATCCCAAGTATCCTGAAGGAGTTTGTCTCATATGCTACAGAAGAATTAAAATATCATACAGCCTAAAGACGACATTTAAAAAATCACAGTATATTTTAGATAAATATGTTTCTCTATTAAAAAGTGAGAATTCTGATAACAACTATGCTGCTGAAGTCTCCCAAACTCAAGAAGAATCATTAGAAGAGGACAAAAGTGAGTTGGAAATTGATCCTGAAGATTTTGTCAAACAAGAGCTAATAGGAGAAGAATTAACCGATTATGTGATTTTGCAAGTAACTGATGATAATGAGGAGGAAGAGAATAAAACACAAGAAGAGGATATTTTAAAAGATGAAATAGATGAAAAATTTGATAGCGTAAATAGCAAAATAACCGAATTCCTTAATCCAAATAAATATCAAATTGAAAAACTAGCTTCTAAATCCAGAATATTACATAATTGCCCCTTTTGCAGCAAGCGATTCTTAACAAAAAGAAATTTCGACCAACACACAAAAATTTGTCAAAAGTACACATTACTGAAGTGTGAATTTTGTGATCAACAATTTTCATCTTTGATGCGAAAACATTATCATGTAAAGATGAAACACAACAATGCTTTAACTAAAGAATCGAAGTGTGAAATTTGTAACGAAGTGTTCCAAAATCAAAAGAGTCGAACGTACCACATCAAGACAAAGCACGCTTTGAAAAAGTTTGTTTGCAAAATATGCAACAAAGCTTTTCATTTTAAAAACGGTCTAGCTACGCACATGGACACTCACACTAAGGATCAATTTAAAGAGATATGCCCGGAATGTGGGAAAGGTTTTCATTACAGAGGTAGGTTTCTAATTTTTCTCCAGTGCGAGTTTGATAATCAATCTACAAATTCATGATAATCAGAATTGGCTTAGTCCGAATGTTTTACTTTTTATGTAATTTCAGGCCAATAAAGCATATTTTTAAGCGATTCCCTACTCATCTCAGTTTCTATAAGTGGAAAGACTATTTTTAAAAATTACAATTGCCTTCCTGGTATCATTTCATTATTGTTTCTATTGTGATATCAAAAGAACTAATATTGGCCTTTAGACGTATCAAGATGGTTTATTTTTTTTTCAGGGGGGCTTTTTTATCACATGAAGATCCACAGGAATGAACGAAACTATGTATGCACCTACTGCAGTGCAAGGTTTTTGAACATATCCGGATTGAAAAAGCACATACGTATTCACACCGGTGAAAAGCCTTGCCAATGTGAATACTGTGGTAAAAGTTTTCGTTCGACAAGTATTTTGAACAAACACGAGAAAACGCACACAGGTCATAGGCCTCACAGCTGTAAATATTGTGGAAAGGGTTTTATATCCACATACAACCGTAAGGTGCACATGGCAGGCCACAGCGGGAACCATCCCTGCGTATTTTGTGACAAATCGTTTTTGAATGAGGAAGTTTTAAAGTTGCATATGAAATTTAAGCATGCTGTCAAGGAAGACGCTTCGAAAAAGGAAGACAGTGAATAATTAATTAGTATTTGTTATTGCGGTCTGATTTGTTGTACATTTTCTAAAATGATAATGTGATTAGAACCCAAATAAATTTTATGAATAAATTTTTGTATCTTTATATTCGTTTTAATTGTTTGTAGAACAAAAATAAAACCCTAAACCTCTTAAGATCTTGGTTTCATGTTAATTGAATTTTTACATTAAAGCTGCGTTAAATGTATGGTCTGATGTGATCACTGAAGTCGTCATTAAGAATTTTGCCAATCGATCACGTAGTATAGTCAAATCATGCACTTTGACTCAATTTAAAATATGCTTAATATTGAAGTGTACTTAAATACCACCTTTTATAAGTCACATTTGACTTTAAAACATTGTAAAGAATTAGTGATGAAAAGAAACAATTTCCCTGCTGTGAGGTGAGGGTGAAAATAAAGTTACTTACAAGAGGGGTCGCTATTTCAGCAGTGGTTAGAACTGTTGGCCATAGACTAATTCTTGTCCATCAAATGGTTGCTGCTGGCCATCAACTGGCTAATATCTACCTAGTCTCAAGGGTTTATATACACACTTTTATAAAATTTGTCACTTTAAACCGAATTTTAAATCGTCACTAATGGAAAATTATGTTGCCCGCGCCTAAGAGGCGGAGTTTAGGTCTATTCTATTTGGAAAAAAAACTTGCATTTAAAAAGGCACACATTGTACTGTTGGCCGAACTGAAATCCCAAATTTCAAAGTACATACCACAAAATAAATAACTCTAAAGCATTATTATTAACTATTTATTTAAGGAAGGTAGTAAAATAAAAACCGAAAAATTGAACATCAAGATCACAGTCCTTCAAGGCCGCCTATGCATTAATCTGTGCTATGGGTATATTTATGTTTTATGGTCTATGGTATGTTTAGTATTTTTTTAGGTTATTTGTTAATTTTGTACGAATTAAATAAATGTAGGGATTTGAATTGTATCTCATGTTGATAAAAAATGAATAAGAGAGGAGAATTAGAAGACGTAAAATATTCCTGTCGAGTATGTTTATCTCGGGGTGAAAAAATGTTTTTCTTGGATAATCCATTGAAAGAAGAAAATAGTCCTTCAATTTTGCAAATTTTAGAAATGATTATATGTACCAAGGTATTTATTTCTGAATTTCCCAATACGGATTTCTTTATTATTTCTTTTTAGGTGGAACTTAATAATAGTTACCCTTGCCTAGTGTGTGCAGATTGTTTAAAATTTTTGAATGTAGCTTACGATTTTAAGCTCAGATTTGAACATTCACAAAAAATATTGCAAAACTTTCTGGATAATTATGAAGGAGAGAAAAAATTTCTTCAGAATGATGTCTGTGGAAATAATAAGGAATGTGAAAGTAATGAGGATGTGGAAACTATTTATATTAAATATACAGATATTCATGAAGATTTGGATGTGAAGCAAACAGAAGCTGAAGATTATGATTATGAGAATACTGAAAATCCTTCTGATGATACAGGTGTTTGGGATCAAATTGTAATGCCTTTGGAGGAAAACGAAATTAAACCATCAAAATTTAGTAACAGTAAAAAACGGCGTGGCAGAAAGCAGTCATTTAACGTTGATAAATATATAATAGAATACACGGACACAAATCCTGTATCCTTAGATCTGAAAAATCTGCCAGACGTTGATGACGAACTCTTTCGAGCAGCGTGCAACTTAAAATATAAGTGTTCTGCTTGTCCCAAATTATATTCCAGTAAAGGAAAGCTCGAAAAGCACGAAGAAGGATGTAAAAAATTAAAATGTAGGATAAATTATAAAAAATTATGTACTGCAAAAAATGTGGCTGCCAATCAAGATAACTATTTGTTACTGTATCAGAGCGATAAGTGCTCTCGGGTGTATTCATCCAAGGGAGAGTTAGACGATCATACCGAAACAACCCGTGATTCTTCCCACACGGACACGTTCTTAAAGATAAAGGTAGAAGGACTCTCGGAGATTGATAAGGAGTTATTTAGAAGTGCTTCGCTTTTGAAATACCAGTGCGATAGTTGTACAAAAGTGTACTCCTCGCACGAAAGATTCAACAGGCATAAAACGGTTTGTGGGAAGTCTAAGAAAAAGTGAAAAAGTCCACGTTAACACGATTACGTAAGGAATGTTTCAGCAGTGAAGCGTGTCAAACAGAATTAATTGAAATAAAAAGTAATAATAATGTGTCTCCAGAATTTACATTGTTTAATAGCAAATATTTAAAAAGTTACATTTGTAGTTTTACTGAAATATCTTTATATAAAATAGTACATTTTAAAAATAACTGTTTTTTTTTTGTGTTGTTAGCTATGGGCAGCTTGTGCGAATGTTATTTGTAAAAAATTTTTGTATTTGATTATGAAGAGGTACAAAACGAGACGAAATTATTAACAAACGTCTCCCATTGAGTGGATGGGCTCCAAAATAATTTAGTTTTATTTATCGTCGGCAAATGGCGGTAAATGCTGTGTCCATAATTGAATTAAACAAGAAAAGCGATATTTGTGTATGTCAATTCTTTATTTATCACAAGACAGCTGTCCTAAATTTAACGACATGCGAAATGTGGCCAACATTGCAATATTTTTGGGGAACCTTCATGCTTAAAAAAATTTTCAAATACATTTTTTACTGATTATATATTTATAAATACTAGTCTTATGTAAAAGTACAATTTTTTTTTAATTTTGTAGTATCGACATTAATTTAAAAATTTTGAATTTTTGACGCAGAGTCACGGAACCCACAGAAAGGTTGCGGGGAATCCCAGAGTTCCGCGGAACACAATTTGAATACCGCTGCTTAGAAAAAAATATAATTTTAAATCTCGAATGGAGTAAAATGATTATGAATTTTTGTCTTGCCTTTTACCCACTCATAAAAAGAATGCAAGGTAATCGGATTTTTGTAATTTTTGATATTTATGGTACGTGTAGCTTGGACCCTGAATAAGAATTTTCCAAAGTAGTTCGACGTCAAGAAGTCTTGGTTCGATGCAACGTTCATAAATTACCGAGATAATCAATTTTGAAGTTTAACCTGTCGGCTAAATCCACTACTAGATGCGACACATTTTTCAACTGGGAGCGTGGCCTAGTTAGTAGCGTTCGGTTCCGACAGTCATGAGATCGCTGGTCCAAGTCTCGTCGGGCGACTTTTTTTTTTCCCTTCAAAATGCACCATGTTTTTTTTGTCTTTTTCTCATCTCGAAAATTATGAACAAATGAAATATTGTAATAACTCCTTATGTACATATATGTAGGAATATTCTTCAAATATTTCACTAAACTGCACAATTAATTAATTAACAATAAGGTTTCTTTAAAAAAAAAACAAACGAGGTCAGGTAGGATGTTCTATTATTTTATATTTAAAATTAATATTTGACATTTTACGCAGAATGGTATAGTATATCATAGAAACATGGGAAGCAGACGTTATTTAAGCACCCAGCATACCATATAAATGTTATAGGCACATTTTGCTTTTAAAATATCGACGTCGAAGCAAACTTCGTTTAACATTTTGAAAGATTGTACCACACTGTGTAAAATGTCAAATACTAATTGTAAATATAAAATAAAAGAACATCTTACCTGACCTCATTTGTTTTTTTTTTAAAGAAACATTGTTAATTCATAATAATAGTATATTATTCAACGAGCGTATAATGATGGGTATTATTCACAAGGTGAAGTTTAGTTTATGTTATTAATAATTGTAATATTTGAACAATTGGTGAAGTTAATCGGAGGGATAGAATTAACATCAAAACTAATGTTTTGGTGACTTGAAACATTTGAATTCGTTTGGTTTAGTTTTGGTTGAATTGAAGATGATATTTTGTTGGCCGTATTGGTTTTATTTTTGACGGATTCGTCTATGTAGCCTTCTGCTACGGCGGTGGACTTCCATCCACCGTGTCTTTTGAGAGCAGTAATATCCCCGCCTGCGTCAACCAGTATTGTTGCAGAAGATCTGCGGAAACTGTGCCCAGAATATTGTTCTGGATTCGGCAATTTGAGGAAAGCAGCGATATCCTTTCCCATTTTTGTAAATTTGTTTATCCCAATTCTCTGAGTTGTACATTTACCATTTTGGAAATTTAAAAAGAATGTGTCACTGGTTACATGACTTGGTCGAAGACTTATATATGTCTTGCATATTTTGTAAAAGTTATCCGTAACAGTAAATTTTCGGCAAATTTTTGTCTTAGTATTTGGCACATTAACCAAAAAAGCTGATCCAAAATCTTGTAAATGGCTTATTTTCATTTCATACAACTCATTACTTCTGCATGCACCCATTACTCCCATTATTAAAGCAACCTTAAATTACAGAATGTAATGAAATAACTATGTGCAAGATTTACTTAATATCTTACCTTTGTTGCTAGGTATTTATCATCAGATGCTTTAGTTAAAAAGTTATTGATATCTTCGCCAGAAAAAGTTTTCGCTTTTTTAGTCTGAAAACCTGATTTTCGTTTTAGTAATGCTCGTAATTTTTTATAATCTTTTAAATTTATATCTTGATGTAAGGTGATCGTACTTCTAAGCATTGAATAATAGGTCCATAGTGTTGAAAATTTATATTTTGTGGATAATTCAGTGAAGTATACTAACAAAGTCGATTCAGAAAATGAAGTGGTTTTCTTTTCCTTTTGCCACTTCAAAAAAGATTCATATGCCATATTATATACTTTCCTTGACTTTTCCGGCAACAAATTTAATGAGGCAACTTCAGCAGCTTCTCTAATTTCTGGTGGTGTTAAAGAAAAGTCATTTTCATTTTCTATATCCATTTTTAGTTCGTTTTTTAACACAATTTAACACAAAATATCAAAACACTGAGAAATCTATGCACACAAACAATAATGTTGACAGGTTTGAGTCAAATTTGTTTTGTTTTAAAAGCTACTTAGATTTATGAAATGTTTCGAAAAACATGGTATGTTAAGAAACAGATATACGACACGCACAAACGAAGTCGCTGATGGCTCAGTGTAGATGCTCCTTCCCTTCCAACCGCTGGTCCCGGGTTCGAATCTGGTCTAGGAAAATTCACTTTTTTAATTTTTTTTTTATATGTACAGCACTGAATTGAAAATATTTAGTGGTTTACACGATAAAATTTTAAAAACGGATTGTTTGTAGCAGAACAATATAATATTATAGCTAAATTAAGGAAGCATCTGACAGTAGTGATTAATGACTCATTAATCACTGCCGTGATTAATGGGTATTATTAAGGTCGAGCAAACAGACGTATAATGGGTACATTATACAATAGTCGTGGATAAATATTGTTTATCAACCAATTGTGCAGATTAATGAAATATTGAAGTATATTCCAACATACAGGGTGTTTCACGGTGACGGCCTATTAGAATTATTTCAGAGACTACTTGGATTTGAATTTTGAAAATTTGGGATACAGGGTTTTCGGGCATGCCCTTCTCAACTAAAATAATGGCGTCCACGTATCGCTTCCGTTATACCGGAAGTCGCCATCAACTTGCTTATTTTAAATGGAACGCCCTATATATTCTTGCAATTTTGGAATCTTCGTGTTAATTTAGGTGGACTTTTATAAAATTAACCGTTACCGAAATATAATTTTTTTCAAAAAATGGAGAGAAACAGTGACTAGCTTCAAACCATGTGTACTTTATAGTAAGAAAGATAAAGCAATAATATTTATAGGGGGGATAGCTAGACCCCTAAGCTTTCCATCCATACTTTCAAAGAGGCTTAATTGCATACAGGGTGCTAGAAATTTAATGCCGAGTTTAGTTAACTTCAAACCTTGTAAATTTATTTTAAATGGAACACCCTGTATGTTTTTTTATATTCTGATACACAATTTTATTCTCTTTCGAACGGTATCAGGGTTCCCTATACCTATCTCATCTAGTTTTTAAGTTACCTACCATTTTTTGTGTAATCACCTAAAATCATGTAATTTCTTTCAAGAATAGCCGTGGAATTTTTAGCAAAACTTCGAAACAAATTTGACGATTTTGGAAATTTTTAATAATCTTCAGCGACCTCTAAAAAAATTTTTCACAATTTTCGAGATGATAAAAAGAATCAAAAAAACAAATGGTGCCTTTTGAAACGGGGGAAAATAAAATGTTGTGCGATGAGACTCGAACCAGCGATCTCGTGACTGTCGGAACCGAACGCTACTAACGTTGCGTCGAACTACTTCGGAAAATTCTTATTCAAGGTCCAAACTACACGTAGCATAAATATAAAAAATTATAAAAATCCGATTACCTTGCCTTCTCCTCGTCAGTCCTGTTATCGGGAGCAAAAAAAAACTGCAAGTAAATTTGTATAGCTTTATTTAATCGTAAAGCTGAAATAAAAAATCTTTTAACGCTACAGAAAATTAATTTAAAATTAATAAACACTGTCACCATACAAATAGTAGTAATATTCTAATTGCTAAATAAATTCTTCTGGTTCTCGGGGCGCGTCCAGGTCCCTGTAATGTATAACGGGCCTGAAATCCGTGGGACCACCTCTGCGAACAAATACATATTTTTTGTTTATTTTAAGAATTTAAATGAGGCATAAAAGCAAAAATATTCCGACGGAGACCGCATCGGCAAGGCGCTTCAGGAAACGGCAATATTTTATATTTTACAAAGAAAACATTTTTTTTGTACTTTTCGAACCTATGTTCAAATACACCTAAAAGTTTACAAAGCTCAGTTGTTCCCGTCCTTTTCAAAAACATTTCCGAAAAAAAATTTTTTTAAACCTTATAATGCAGGACACTCAAGGGCGCAGCCGCAGGATATTTTCCACGACTGCTTCGGGCCAAGTCCTTACGCCTATCGATTTAACTAAAATATTACCTTGTCCTTTGCTGGTATCCTCTTGACCTTGGGGCGAAGCTTTGGTTGTAATACGGCGGCGGCCTACCGTAACCCGGCGCCCCGTAACCTGCACCGTAACTGCTGCGAAGGAAAAACAATCGTAAACAATTAAAAAAAAAAACTATTCGAATAACGCTTATTTCACCTCGGATGACTAAACGTTGGCGTCTCCTCGCGTTTCGGCTGCGGCGCCTCCGCCAACATCGGCCTCTTCGGGTCCCGCAGGTAGTTGTTGAAGAACTCCACTTCCTTCTTCACCTCCTCGATCTTTTCGCCGTGCTTGTTGAATATGTGCTTCCTCACAAAGTCCGGACCTGAAAACGAGACGGTCATTAAATAAAACCGAGTGGGACATTTTTATTGTCTCGCCTTTAAATTTCTTCCCCGACAGAGGACACAACCACTTGTCCTTGGCCAATTCCCTGGTGTTGGCCTGAACGAATTTGTCGATTTCCGTATCGACGTCCTTCAACGATAAACTGATCAGCTTCGATTCGTTCTTGTCCTTGTCCTCCTTCGGCTTTTCTGGCAGGAAACTGGCCATCTTCGTCTCTATCGGAGCGCCTATGAATTGCGTCATGTCCGTCTGAATGTAAAAAAAAAATTGTTACTATACAGGGTGGCCCAACTTTCACATTTGTGGATTTTTCATAGTACCGGGAGAGGAGATGGCAAAAAGTGGTCAAGGTGACACAAATTTGATTTTGATGAAAAATTAGAAAAGAACATCTTAATTTTGGTGAAGACAGTGTATTTCATTTGTTTGTCTTTGTGATTTTTTTATTTTGAACCCATTTCAATATCGACTCACCTTCGAAGTCGGCGGAGGCCCTCTCGCGTGAAGGATCCCGCACCTGTTGGGCATCTCGTCCTCGTTGGGGTACTCGCAGTGGTTGTAGTAGTCGACCGAATGTACAACTCTCAGGTAGAGAATTATACGATCGAGTACCGATATCAAACTCTCGTCCCTCTCGACTGTCGTTATCGCATCCTGAGATTCAACGGCGTGCTCTATGCCCAACAGTTCCTCTTCTTCCGCGCTGGCCTCCTCTATGAGGTAGTCGGTGATGTTGTGTAGAACGGGATTGTTCGACACCAGACCGAACGTCTGGAAAAGCGAGAAATTTTACACAATTGAATATTTAGTCGACGTACCTTTTAAGGTCACGTTCAAGGTTATTTCAAAGTCAACCCCTTTTTTATGGTACAATTTTTGTACACGAATTCTATACTTTGTACTTTTTGAGGTCATGTTCAAGGTTATTTCAAGGTCAACCCTTGTTTTTTTATAGTACAATTTTTGTACCCGAGTTCTGAAGAGAGCAAGAAATTTTAAGTTCGGAAAAATGCTTGATACTTTTTGAGGTCATGTTCAAGGTTATTTCAAGGTCAACCCTTGTTTTTTTAATAAATAGTACAATTTTTGTACTCGAATTCTGAAAGAGTAAGAAATTTTAAGTTCGGATAAATGCTTAATATACTTTTTGAGGTCATGTTCAAGGTTATTTCAAGGTCAACCCGTTTTTTTTTATAGTACAATTTTTGTACCCGAGTTCTGAAGAGAGCAAGAAATTTTAAGTTCGGAAAAATGCTTGATACTTTTTGAGGTCATGTTCAAGGTTATTTCAAGGTCAACCCTTGTTTTTTTAATAAATAGTACAATTTTTGTACTCGAATTCTGAAAGAGTAAGAAATTTTAAGTTCGGATAAATGCTTAATATACTTTTTGAGGTCATGTTCAAGGTTATTTCAAGGTCAACCCGTTTTTTTTTTATAAATTGTACAATTTTTGTACCCGAATTCTGAAAGAGCAAGAAATTTTAAGTTCGGATAAATGCTTGATATACTTTTTGAGGTCGTGTTCAAGGTTATTTCAAAGTCGACCCGATTTTTTTATAAATTGTACAATTTTTGTACCCGAATTCTGAAAGAGCAAGAAATTTTAAGTTCGAATAAACGCTTGATATACTTTTTGAGGTTATGTCCAAGGTTATTTCAAGGTCAAGTTGTTTTTTTGTTAAAATAATAAAATAAAAATTAAATATAATAAAATACGAACGTACCTGCTGCGGCTTGTCTTTCTTATCGTCCTGGTCCAGCCACAACCCGGCTCTGTTGTCCAAGTGCAACGCCACCCTAGCGGATATCCTAATATCCGACCGAACCACCTGCTTGTGGGCCATTATGCCGTTCACCGGCCTGATACGTCGACTCAAATCCCTGTTCACTATCGCCCCCAGCTCGCACTCCCTCAACCTGATATTGTTCAGGTTCCAGCATATCTCCTTGATGTTGGCGTCTCTCTTGAACGTCACCCATCCCCTGCGCAACCAACGTCTCTCCGGCTGCGGATCGGCCAGGGCGACGCGGAGGAAGCCGTCGTATCTCGAACACATCGCCTCGACCTCCTGCTTGGTGATGGTGGGAGCCAGGTTACGGAGGAATATGGAGGTGGTCTTGTGGAGGGACTTGGGCTTTTCCGGTTTGGCGACGTCCTCGTCCACCGAGTGGACGTCCTCTTCCTTCTTCTCGACGGGCTCTTTCTCCGTCTCCTTCTCGTCTTTGTCTTTCTTCTCGGCCTCCTCCTCGCTGTCGCTGCTGCTGCTCGAGGAGCCGCTGCTGCTGCCCGAGTACGACCTTTTCCTTTTCTTCTCTAAAGGCAACAGTAACAAAATATAAAATTCGTTCAAAATCGTTAAAATAACCGAAACTAACCTTTAGCCTCGCCCTCTTCTTCCTCGGATTTCTTCTCCTCCACCTCCATTTTCTCATCTTTTTCGTTCTCCTCGGCTTCCTTACTTTCGTCCTCCTTCTCCTTAGGCTCTTCTCCTTCTTCCTCCTCCTCAGCCTCCTTCTCTTCTACAGGCTTCTCCTCGTCTTTCTTCTCCTCCTCGTTTTCCTTCTCAGGCTCCTCGTCTTTGTCGTTAGTGATTTCCCCGGCCTCTTCTTTCGAATCGTCGACCTCGCCGTTTTGCTTGTTCTCTTCTCCCTGCTTGGTCTTTTCAGAGTCGAGCTCGCCTTCTTCCTTCTTGATATTCGCCTCCGCCTCTCTGGCCTCCTTGGCTTTCTCGGCCTCCGCTTCTTTAGCCTTCTGTTCCCTATACTTTTGTTCCATTTCTAAAAAGGTCAACATCAGGACATTTCCGGGTTCGCGCCCTCGAAAACCTTACCTTCGTATTCCTGCTCCAGCAGAGCCAAGTCCTCGTCGGTGCCGCCCTCTAGTTTAATCACGACTGTGTCGAGAAGTTTCAACAACTCGTTGGTTTTCGCGCAATCCACGGAAATGTTTCCGATTTTTCCGTTCCTCAGCAGGTCCAAGAATACCTCCACTCTTTTCTGAAATAAAAACGTTTTGACTTCCATCGATTACCGAAAATTTTAAACTTAAGTACCTTCAGCGCTGCCGCTTGTTCATCCTTCCTCCTTACGGAATCTTCCGGGTGGTACTTGAGGCGGAACCTACAAGAAATCCGTAAAACGCAAGTGTTAATCATCGTAAAACGCAGAACGGCGGATCCTGCATAATTTCCTCTTTCATACAAAACTTCCACATCAATGAAGTGTAAGGTAAATGAATTAGATGGATGCAGAAAAGGTCATGTAAATTGTAAAACGTAAAGAAATTGCCATAAAAAAGAAATTCGTTAGATAAAAATGAACACATTAAGTTACATTTACAGTGAGAAGAATCGCTTTGAAACATTCATCACGTATCAAAATCTGCGAAAAGGAAGGTGTTCATTTCTTCTACAATAACAATTTTTCCTACAAAGTTAAAACATATTTTACATAGAACGTAATTTTTTTAAAGACAAATTTTGATGCGAACGTACGAAATTAAGGGGTGAAATGGGTGTGGCACTCGCACGGAAAAGCAGGCGTAAAGTTTCCGTCGAGGAAAATGATTACGCCTGCTTAAGACAGTCACTCCAACCATACAGAGATAAGTACATGAATAAATTGATACGTTTCATCTTGAACGTGAATCTCACCTGTTTCAAATTACCCTAACAATGTACGCGAAAGCCTGTGCATTGCGCGCACGGCTTTATTTTAACGGCTAGTACAAATTCCACATTGCGTATCAGTATCATTATATTATACTTTCGATTTAAAAAACGCGAGTGATTCGTTGTGTATTCTCACAATGCTGTCGCACACAAGACACATATTTATATTTTACGAAGAGGTCAGCTTGTTCTTGTATCAATGCTGTAGAGAAAAAGGATTTTAAAGTAAAATGCTACGGAACAAGGTTAATACAAAATATTTCTTAAAAGCCTTTTTTAACCTAAATGTCTACACTTTAGGGGCTGGAAGACTTATGTACAGCTAAGAAAGGTGTATGTCAGTTTTATTTAAATATTCTCGATTTTAATCACGAATGAAACGCTGCAAATATACCCCACGATAATTTGAGTTTCTTAAACATATTTTCAAACATGGGGCGGACCGAATCAGATGAGATCTGAAATTTATGCGAAACAAAAAAACCGATATACATTTTTCCTTTCAGAAATACAAAGCGTTTTTCGACAGGAGAGCAGTTTCAGTTTCTCCCTGGCTATCCGATGGTGACATTGACCTTGAAGATCATTTCAAGGTCAAATGTGATTTTTCAAATGCAACCCTATACTTTTGAACCCAGAAATGAAAGCGGAAAATTTTACATTCAGATATGACCTTGGGTGACCCCTCCCTTTTGACCTTGGGGCCCGCACAAGGTCAAACTAACAAAAGTACAGGAACGGCAGAATAACTCGACGGGAGAGTATTTTAGAGAAATGATAACTACAAAAGTTTCAGTTTCTCCCTGGCTATCCGATGGTGACCTTGACGATCATTTCAAGGTCAAATGTGATTTTTCAAATGGGACCCTATACTTTTGAACTCAGAAATGAAGAGAGCGGAAAATTTTACGTCAAATATGACCTTGAGTGACCCCTCCCTTTTGACATTGGGGCCCGCACAAGGTCAAACTAACAAAAGTGCAGGAATGGAAGAATAACTCGGCGGGAAAGCATTTTAGAGAAATGTTAAATACAAAAGTCAGTGTTAAGGTCACCAACGGACAGCCAGGGAGAAATCCTGAAACTTTTGTATTTAACATGTCTCTCTAAAATGCTCTCCCGCCGAGTTAGTCTGCCGTTCCTGTACTTTTGCGAGTTTGACCTTATGCGGGCCCCAAGGTCAAATGGGAGGGGTCACTCAAGGTCATATCTGAACGTAGAATTTTCCGCTCTTTTCATTTCTGGGGTCAAAAGCATAGGGTCGCATTTGACCTTGAAAAAAGTCTTCAAGGTCATCATCAGATAGCCAAGGAAAAATCCTGAAACTTTTGTATTTAACATTTTTCCCTAAAATGCTCTCCCCCCAAGTTATTCTGCCGTTCCGGTACTTTTGATATACCCTGTATAAAGGCTAGACTGGTTAGAAAAATGTGTTGAGAAAAAACTGCTCTAATAAAATTTGCACAAATTTCAAAAATTAAGTTAAGGTTTCAATTTGAGAATTTTTTAAATTCTACGCCACGGTGTTTCACCCAAAAAAAATGTATCGATAAAGTTCTTGCCATTTTTCGAACTGACAGTAATTATGACAAAAAAAATTAGTAAAAATCACCATTTTTTTAAAGAACGCCCTGTGTCTGAAAAACAAAGGCAGAAAGATGCGGTTGTTTTCAAGATAACTTCTAATCTTATCAAATCTGGTCCACCCTGTATACAAAAAGGACCACCACAACAATTTATTTATTATTTGAACAAATAATTCTCGAGACAAGTAAAATTTTTGAACAGTTTTCTCTGAAAATATTGCCTTTTTAATTTGGAAGACATCAGCAAGTAAAAATCAAAAATTTACAATTTGCTTAAGATTCACTCGACTGCACATACACCTTTTCGAAAAAAAAAAAAGACCAGTTAGTAACTTAAACCTATCCGAAAAAATGCGAAACGTAAACAATACACACCATTCGTCATCTTTATGGGCAACAAAGAATTCGTTAAGTTGCTGCCTCTGAAACTCCAGTTTGTAATCGTTATATTTTTCAATGGCCTCGCTGTCGGAAATGTTATCGTCCTGGGTGGCCAGGAAGGCCTTAAAGGACATCATGGGGGGCTGTTGGCCCTCGATTTGCGAGGAGGACGGGGGATCTCTGAAGAAATAACCTCTTTAAAAGATAAGAAAACACTCGGGTTAGTAGGGGATTAGTGTTTGAAGTAGTGGTAACAAAAAAACGACATCTAAGGACAAAACACGTGCATGCAGGCACAGCTAAAAAGTAACAAATCGCTATTGCAACGACAACAATTAAAAAGTATCATGCGCTATTTATCGACATGTACCTAAAATTTGCACTAAAACAACTTTGAGATTTTCTATTAGGACTTATATTTTGCATAATACAATGAATCCTTTATTGTCTCTGCTGTTAAGTGTTAAAACAATAACGACGTAATCATTTTCTTGCTATTTCTGCATGTAAAGAAATAATCATTACTCAAGTTCATTTCATTCAATTCCACTATAACTTTAAGGTTAACAAGAACTTAAGAAGTACTAAACAGTACATGTTTCTTGCACTAATGCAAAATCTAATCCCCAAAATCTAATAAAATAATAAGTATCATGCAGACTTTATATTTTTAAAAAGGAAATAACATTTACCTGTGAGCTGGTTGATGATATGAATTGTAGTGATTATAATAATTATCGCCATAATAATCATGTCGAATCCTTTTTGGTTGAGGCTCCAGACTTGGGGAATAACCTCTATCTCTTACTCCAGGTCTATACTCCCGTGGCCTAGGGCGTGACCAGGAATCCCTGAAAATGCAATTGTACTTTATAATAAATATAATTACCAAGTACGTCTTGAATAGCAGTACTTGTATTATATAGGTACCTTTCTGCCCAATCATCCCTTGGTCTCGCAACTCTTTCGGTGCCTCTATAACTTGCTTCCGCCCTTTCTCCACGAAATTTGTCCCGGCGTTTTCGGTCATACTCATCATCACTGTCTGCCATTTTCCAGTTTCACTGTGTAATAGACAATAAAAATTAAACATTACTTAAAGTAAACAACCGATGTATCAGTTCATTTTCTCTAACATTATGCATAAACTACATTTTGGAAGAGTTTATAATTAGACGGAGGTAATAACAAGCTACAAAACAAGCCAAATGCCATGCAAATGGTGCCAAAGATGACGTCGATGATTGCAACCGGAACTACTCTTGTTAAATACATAAAAAAAATGCTTCCGGCGCAAGTGAACGAGTTGTACTCAAGTTTTTCTGATATACTTACGATTTGTTCGGGAGATTTTTCAAAAATTATTCATAAATAACATTAACTTTCCAGTATAGAGAAGCCGCTTCCGCTACCAAAAATGTTTAACGCTTTACATTCTGTCAGTGCAGTATTGCCAGATCAACAATAATTATTTAGGATTGGCGTATTGGAAACGAACTACACTTTAAATATATCAAAATGTAAGGTAATTAACTGCATAAAAAAGCATATATGTCCATTCAATTCATAATGACATTGAACACTCATAATAACTTAATATCTATCACTAGATCCGGAAGTGATTTTAAAAATTTTAAGCAATACGGTAAGTCTGGCAACATTGGCAACGATTGGTGCCATTGATTTGTGATTGGTACTATTGACACTGTAAGCGGGTAATTCGAATGTTACAAAGTTAATAATAGAATAATGCTAAAGTTTGGATGAGGTTAGGGTGAACTTAGCCAAAGAATTATTAAATGATAATATAGAAAACACTAGAAATGTAAGTTCCTAAATAAAAACTTAATAAAACAATCTATCAAATATAAAAATATTTGTTAAAAAACATTGGGCTCGTCCGGGATTTGAACCCGGGACCTCCCGCACCCTAAGCGGAAATCATACCCCTAGACCAACGAGCCGATGCTTTAGTTAATTATATTCAATATATCTATATATGTAATGCTATAATCAGCCAGGAAATGATTTATCTAAAGAAATTTTAAATTCCTGGTACATTTGTAAGCCCACAGAACAGAGAAAAATCAACTCCTTTTAATATGGTAGATTCGCTCAGGGTATAATTCCTTAAAAAAGTGTATGTTCTTACTGATCTGCATTATACTGTGATGCCCCAAAATGAAGAAAGTAATGTGTAAATATTTACTTAGGGTTCAAGGTCGTACACTACGTAATATTCCATATCTTTGTAGTACATTCATTCTTTGATACCTACCTTGGTATATTACTTTTATTATGGCATTCAAAATTATAAATTTAATAAACTGGTTATCTTAATAAAAAATAATAATAAACACATTTAATCTACAACAAGCGTGGTTCTAATCAGTACATACTACCTTTTAGACTTTGAACGTAAATGATAAAACTTTCCATTTTGAATAGTTCACAGTGCAGTAAACAATTATGGCAACGTTTCGGCAGGCAAGTAAAATTACCTCAAATGTTTACAAAACTATAAACTATAAATTTTTTTTAGATCTATAAAGTTATTAATTATTCTTCAAGTGTCAGGACTCTTTCCACTTCCACCGTAAGAACTGGATACAACTTTGGTAAGAAATTCTAATTTAAATTCTAATTTCGCTATCAGTGGATGTTATTCGGTTTTGTTATATCTTTATGGTGTTGTTTGTGTAACTTTTGAATTGAATAGACTTTAGACATAGATTAATTTTTATTCGCTATTCCTTTTATGTGTGAAAACAAATTTTTTACCATAAAATTTTGCTATAAATTGTATTAAATGAAGCATTCTTATTGTCATTACATACACAGGGTGTACCAGTTGCGATAAACTTCCAGGCCCGATAAAATAAATATAATAAAGCGCTAGTAATTTTTGTAATAATAATGATAAAGTGGGAGAGTATATTAGTAACGAGCGTTCAAATAAAAACGTGGTCAAGTTGGTTCTGAAAATTTGGACGTAGGGCGTAGCGTATAGCAAATGAACTTAAACGTCATCTGTCAAAGCGCTATATCGCCGCTATCAATTTGAATATTTTCGTTTTAAAAAGCGTTTANTTGTGTTTTCAAATATACTTCTATTCAAATTGAAGTTATATTAAATTACTACGAATATCATGGAGATGTCTAGTCTCCCTGACGAATATAATGACATTTACAAAACAAACTTCAAAATCAAATCAAGTGACTAAACATCAGGGTCGCCAATAATGGCACTGAAATATTGAAGAAAACTCTGCCCGCTGATTGGTCAGTTGCAAATATATCCTCGACATACGGCATAAATTAAATTCTCTAGAGAATTGGATTCCTTCAACGTTCAAAAATAAGTGTTTAAGTTTTTAAGAGAAATTTGTCAGGTGAATTTTTTCTCTGGAGAATCAGTTCTCCTGTTTTCAAAAATCAAGCCCCAGCTCGTTGAGAAATGAGGTTAAGTTGGTCGCTATAAGCTACGCCCTACGTCCAATGTGTCAGAGCCAACTTCGACCACGTTTTTATTTGAACGCTCGTTATATAAGTTGCGCATGGAAAAAAATGCTCTTTATATATCTTTTTGGATAAAAAAGTGCGCAATTTATACAAATCAACGTGCCTGAACATTTTTTATAAATATTAAACTTGCTACAGTGTCATTAGTTCCTACTACACCTACAAAATTTCAACAAAATCTAATCAATGACGTCGAAGAGAAGTTTCAATAAATAAAATGACGTTCAAAAATATTTACAGATATGGACCATTTTTAATCAAACTTTGTACCTCTTGGTTGCCTTTCGTAGATTGCAGAAATCATAGATAAAAGTCAATTATTTTGCTTTAATTTCTCAATAATTAGATAAATATGGAAATTAGATAAATATGGAGTAGTTGCTTCCCACAGTATTAGCCTTGGTATTAGTTAAAAAATATAGAAAAGTTAAAAATATTCATCTATTTTTCAATCAAATAAACGTTTATGTAAAACTTTCGTTATTCTGCTACTATGCTCACCGCTACAAATAACCTTTGTTACAATTTTAGGACATTCAACCATAGTTTAATTCACAAAATCCATACACATTTTATTTAGAAATCATCTAGTACACAAATATGACGTATGAAGATCAAAGCGACGTCAATTTAATTTTTTGACACTTGAAAACTTTAGGCTCGTCTGCGCTGGTTATTTTTAGATCAAATTTTTCAATCAATCAAAAAATCAATCGAAGGCCGTGATTCTGAAGGATCGTAGGAATCGTTTTAAGAAAAAAATCTTTACTCTTAATTTTTTTTGTTTTGACGCAGAACTCAGCGACACCCAGTTAGAATTTCAACAACTGGCAAGAAAATTCGCGAGGGAAGAAATTGCCCCGGTTGCTGCACATTACGATAAAAATGGGGAATATCCAATCGAGCTGGTCAAGAGAGCTTGGTCTCTTGGCCTGTCGAATTTACACATACCGGAACACTGCGGTAAGTTATATGACTATAAAGTTTCTTGTTTAGCGAGATATACTTATGGAGTGGTAAAAATTAAAATTAATTTAACCAAACACTTTTCCATTATTTATATTAAACTTAAAATACCTCGCTGGACTTGCACATTTATTTGGTATAATCATAGAAAAATAAAAATTTGCTATTTAATAAACTGTAAAATGAGATGATTTCAGGTGGTGTGAACGAAACTGTTTTTAACGGTTGTCTTATTACTGAGGAATTAGCTTGGGCATGCACAGGAATAACTCTAGCTGTAGGGTCATCAGAACTAGGCGTAAGTTATTAAGTACAACACAGGATTTTTTAAATATTCTTTAAAATATGCGAAAATGTGTACAGCATAATTAGAGTTCGGGAGACACGGCTCTTAACAGTGTCGTACTGAAACAAAATCACAGAAGGCCATTTCAAAATGGTGGAATAGCCTGTGTTCCGACAAAAAAATCGTTAGTATGGGTTGATTTAATTAATATATGGTGTCATTTTTTTTTAATAATACTCAAACTATGCTGATGCTGAAAATTTGAGATTACATGACAAGAACAAGTGCCAGTGTATTTTTTTGAGAATTTCAAAAATTTTTTTTCATGCGATTAATAAAGGATTTGTAAATTCGAATTTATATTATGTATATCTTTAACGATTGTAAAATTTCAAAACTTTATTATTTTTTTCCAGCAAGCCCCTGTGATAATAGCAGGCAACAAAGAACAACAGAAAAAGTATCTCGGGCGACTAATTGAAGAACCACTTGTAGCCGTAAGTACTTTTTTACGCACGTGAGTGATATCCCTGTATTAACAATAACTTTGTAAATTGTATGCAATAATTAGACATCGGAAACTTTGTGGCGACAATCAAACAAATAAATAAATAAATATTATGTTAGTAAGAGGCAATACGCGTTGTGGTGGTTTATGCTCAATACACGATGCTGTTGATGCCACAAAAACACATACCATACGGCCAATATGGCTCAACAAAAAACCTAGAGCGTTCACCAGCACGCCAGGCCGACAGGGCATATCGAATAAATTGATCGATGCGATGCTTCAGATAAGAGGATTTGTAAAAATAACATCTATTAAAAATTATTATTGTTTCCAATCTCTAATAATAACTTTGTATTTTGTGTACGATAAGAAGTCGTCGCTTCTTGCTTTTAACTACGTATTTCGTGCTTCAGGCATATTGCACAACCGAGCCAGGCGCTGGTTCTGATGTGAACGGCATCAAAACGAAGGCGGAGAAGAAAGGAGACGAGTATATTTTGAATGGACAGAAAATGTGGATTACAAACGGTGGCGTGGCCAACTGGTAATGTTATTAATTGACTGAAAAGTAAAAATTAAACAAAAAAAGTAAAAATGATACTTATTTCGGAAATTCCATAGGATTTAGAGCAGTTGTTGGAACTGGATAAACTAATACCCACTTCTCGGTTCCATTCATGTATTATCTCGTGTACGAATTTTCGGGTAATTTGATGCATGTGCCTATGAAAATTTGGTATTCATTGACAGATATTCTCCACATTTAGTTAATGATTTACTTTGTCAAATTTTGGTGGCGGCAAGTGATTTTTTTATTGAACTTTGGCAGAGTATATCATTAACATGGTGTAAATCAATCTGATCTTAATTTCATGGAAATGCAATTTAATACTTTATCTGAGTTAAAAGCAACACATCCTTAGCATCAAATAAAATTTTCTTTAAAAAATTTTTTATGCTTAAAACAATAGTAGGATTAGTTACTGGGCAATAACTACCATTGCCATTTGTCACATTCGTCGAATAAAACGGACTAGAAAGAAGATAACAGCATTAAAAATTACTTTTTTTTTCATAACATACAGGTATTTTGTGCTGGCACGTACCAATCCAGATCCCAAGGCTCCAGCAAACAAGGCATTTACAGGATTTATTGTTGAAAGGGACTTTTCTGGAGTGCAACCTGGCAGAAAGGTATATTAATTAAATACTTTCATAAATGTTTACAAGCTACGTGACCAGTATAAATTATACCCTTTTCTTTGTTGTTAACTTCTTGAAAAATCAATCATTAGCTTAGATGATGGCACAGAATCTTGCTGAAGGTACTCAACTATAAAATCATGTAATTTAAAAGACTTCAAAATATTCTGCATCTCTTTTCAATCAACTCACTACCATTGTCAGTGTTAGCTTTAGTCCAATCATCGAAACACTGCAGCGCTAGGATTAATTCAAGATAAAAAAGTAGATTCTATTTCCATTTTTCATTCATTGTTCATCCCAGATGATCACTGATGTACTTTTAACATGTCCATTTTTCATCCACTTCGTATGACTCATCTGCGCTGCTCATCCAAAGAGACTCGTATAAATGCGGTTGTACGTGGTTGTACTGTAATTTCAGGAAGAGATGATGGGGCAGCGAGCTTCGGACACTCGCGGCGTCACGTTCGAAGATGTGCGCATACCTAAGGAGAACGTCCTTCTGGGAGAAGGTCAAGGTTTTAAAATTGCCATGGGATGCTTCGATTTAACTAGGCCCTCGGTAAGTTCTTTTAGATCTATGACAAACGTATTTTAACAAAAGTGGTGATGTGGAACTGGAAAAGTAACCTAATTTGCCAGTGCCAATACAGCTTGACTCAATATTATCTTAATTTTCTTCACGTTCTCTAGGTAGCCGCTAACGCAGTGGGCATAGCGCAGCGAGCCTTAGACGAGGCCACCAAGTACTCCCTGGAGAGGAAGACGTTCGGCACCGTCATCTCCAACCACCAAGCGGTGGCCTTCATGTTGGCCGACATGGCTGTCGGCGTCGAAACGGCCCGACTCGCATGGATGAAGTCCGCTTGGGAAGTGGACAACGGTAAGAGGAACACCTACCTGGCCTCCATAGCCAAGTGCTACGGTTCCGAGATAGCCAACAAGTGCGCTGCGGATGCCGTGCAGGTATTTGGAGGGGCGGGATTTAACAAGGAATACCCCGTGGAGAAGCTGATGAGGGACGCGAAGATCACCCAGATCTACGAAGGGACCACGCAGATTCAGAAGTTGGTTATTTCGCGTATACTTTTGGACAAAGCGAAAAATGCTTGAAAGCTACTTGAAGAGATGGGGCGGAGATAAGGATGGACCAAATGTAAATTCTCTTTCAAATTTATTGGTGTAAATAAAAGTTTAACGATTAAGTGCTATTTTTTATTTTAAAAAGGGGTTTTAAAGTCGGATTTTGCAATCATTTTGTTTGGGAATTAATATGCGATGGAAATTCAAAATTTTGTATAAGAGCAAAGTACATAACTCATCTAATAAGACTCTACTTCTATCCAAAAATAAATCCTGCAAAAAACCTTGAGCTAGATAAGTCTCGTCCAAAATATAACCTGAGATTTAAATCTCCTTTGCACTTTTTCTAACGATGTTCTATAACAATAAAAAACAGAGGGGTCATGAATCACACACACTGAATGCCTTGGGAAAGATATGATTTCAATAAATGTAAAAGGGACTTACTGAGACCAATGACCGCCGCGGTCTCCTGACTTAAACCCTCCCGACTTATTTCATGAAGATATTTAAAAGAAGAATATCGGACTCAAATTGAAGCGATTGATGATCTACGTGAGTGTGACTTAGCTACTGCCAAAAAGGAACTCTTTCCCTCGAATTAATACTTTTTGCAAATAATGTGCAAACAATAAAAAAAATGTTAAAAGCCAAAATTCTAAACGGTTCGGTAAACTCTAAAGCATACTACAAAAAATAAAAGGTATACTTGTCGAAATTCGGTAGCATGTACAATTTTAAATTTACCAGACCATGATAATTTTTTTTCTCGAAATTACGCGATATTCGTGGTTTTCGATGATTAGTAACTATATTCAATTTCTACGTAATATGTATTACGTCTAATATGTTACATTATTCGTGACATTCAGCGAAAAATCTTACTAATACGCATAGGTGGCTCATGTCTTTCATACCAGAGAGGGCGGAAAAATTTAGGTACAAAGTATTGAAAAAAATTAAATAAATATAATTGGGTCGTTTTATTTTAAGTACTATTGAAATATAGGGAATATGTATTATTTTTTATACTGAAAGTCCATTCTTCTGCTTTCGTCCGACATAAACTTTGCAATTACTTTTCCAATAAAATTTGGTATTTCTCGTATCATTGATATTTCAATAACATTACTGTTAGTCTGTCTTTATAATAAACTTTTACAATCTTTTAAAAAACATACAAGAAGCAATATATAAATAACAAAATTTTACACCAGACCTTAACAAATTACGTTTATTAAGAAAAAAAGCCGTGAAAAGCTATTATTATAGGTTACGATAGGACTAAACAAAGTCCAAGCTGCACTACTGCACTGTTGCGGGACGGTAACCATGACCACAGCTGTAAACACTTTACAGATGTAGGAGCGAGCTACGCGGTACTCGCGTATTCAAGTTTTTCAAACGAATCTTACATGTCGTGTTAAATTGACTGTACATTACAAATTTAACATTTCCTTCTTAATGTGTTTATGGTAACCTATTTAATTATCCGGATAACATTGCAAACTAAATTTTAAATTATATTTTTTAGGAAATTTCTAGGAGCTCACAGACCCCCCCCCCCGCGCCCGCCGCCACTGCTAATACACTCATTTTTTGTACGCAATATCGATGATTCTGCTAAATTACAAGACATTTTTACAACGGGAAATTAAATTTCATTCATTCATCTCAAATTCGGTGGGCTTCAAGTAGATATATGTATATAAGGGAAGACAGGTAAGTTTAATCCTAATTAGATCGAATTGTAAGCCATATAATCAGCCTGTTATCGCCCGAATTGTCAATAATTGCATGGTAACAATTCGTAATCCGTTATCCCCGCTACCGTTTACAAATTGATTTATGGTTCCTTTAAAAATCTATATCTGGTTTACAGGTAATTGTGCAGTAGACCTAATAGAAATACAGTCAAAATATAGGGTGTCCCCGTAAAATCGTCAAACGCACCGACATGCGTAAATCAGAAAATCACCACGGACAGAATACTTCATATGGAATTTAATTTCTAAAATAAAATCTGTAGTTCATAAGGTATCATAGTTTCAATGCATTCGCTCTGTATATATTTGATATTCACGTCTCGAAAAAATGATGAATCCTGTTCTTTAAACATATACATTTTATTATTAATATAGTTCTCGATTTTTACCTTTATAGATTCCTATCGACTGAAGTCAAACAAATGTTTGTTATCAAAGAACACTGTTTAACTGAATTCTTAACTATTTTGAATTTATTTCAAATAGTTTAATACGTTAATAAAAAAAAAAATAAAAAGATTAAAGTGGTTATGTGAAAAAAACTATCAAAATTTAATTGGTTTAGTATTTTGGATCCATAAATATGTGAAAAGTTGGTAACAGAGATTTTGTTCCAAAATTACAGTTGATTGAGGAACTTTATTAAACCAGGACCTTTACAATATCCTATCAAGGGACTTTACTCTTCACATCAAATTATGCTAAGCCTAAGAGCATTGATTGCAATATCTCCTGAAAACTGGAGACCTAAAACACCAAGTTTGGGCAGTTTATAAAAACATTAGGATAATAGACTTTTAATACAACAAGTATATAGATCAACTTCTAGAGTAAGAATTTTAAGCATACACGGTGTAAGGCTGCCATTACTTCAGCATGAAATAGAACAATCATAAATGAACAAAAAAGTTGTATACGTATTAAAAATAATTTAGTTTTATTTTTTTCTCGGAAATGGCTGAGTTTAGGACCCATGTCATAAAGTTTTTTTGTTTATTTTAATGTTACCGTCTCTTAAAATAAAGGCAGTCAAACTTCTAAGACCCTGTATAGTAACAGCAAATGTAAATAGTTTTGAAAACATGATTAATTAAAAAAATATGTTGTGCTTATATTTTTAGTTCTGTAATGATTGTAATTTTCCCATATTTACTTTTATTATACGTAGATCAAAATACAAAAAATCAAAATTGTTCTAAGTTTAATATATTTTCGAACCCAAATAATGAAATTACCAGATTTGTGGAATTGTATGTTATCATTAGAGGATTTAGGTAAGGTCAGATAGGATTTTAAGAAAACTCAAATTTCTCTCTCTCTCTCTTTCTCTCTCAACATAGTTAAATAACGATATATAGGTATTAGTAATCAATGACAAGGGTTATTAAAATCTGTATTAAAATCTTATTTTTTCATGTCTGTTTACAATTACAGAACCAGACTTAAACGCAAGAAAAATTTGGGTTTATCTGATATAAAATAAAACCACGCCGATGAAAGTTTTAATTTTGAAAGGTCAAAAAATAAATAGTACAATGTAGTCAACATTAATTGACATTAAAAGAAAATAACATACAGTAATTCAATTGAAACATCTAGGAATAGAGCAGTAGAAGTTGAAAAATCTGTAACAAAAACGATATCTCCGAATGACACTTTTGGATGATTTAAGTATGACTCATTTTAAGTATAATTTAGTGTTATTTTCCTGTGTTGATAAATAGTTATTTTTAAAATGTTTTAACAATGGCTTGAACTTAATCCAAACGAAAAAATGTACTACTTAGTTACACATTATTCGAAATTTATTTGCAGCATCATTTAGGTATATTTATTTAAGAAAGTGCCTAAATTATGTATAATTTTTACGGAAAATATCCAACGGCAATATAAAATTTAACAAAAATAATTGAATGTGGATAATGATCCTTGAATTTAAATTTATACAAGTGTCCCGGAACACCTGAGAGTCTTCCCATTTGGCAAAAATGGTAACTATTAGCAGCTACTAGCAACTGAGATTTACTCTGAACTGATATTAGCTGTTAATAGCTACATACTATTTTTACCAAAAAAACTACCTGATAGGTATCAAATGCACTAACAATAACTATTAAGATACGACGGACTTTTTAACTGATGATATTGGAGGAAACAACTACTCTGACGGCTACATGTCCCGATCAACATTGAAGGGCCAGCAATATCTACCAAACAGCTACGATGATTTGACCTGCCAGACATGTACCAGTTTCTGACATAATTTTTCGGTCACTATATCAACCGAGCCAATGTTGCTATGTCGCAGTGGTTCGCCTACCTGGTAAGAGAGGTCGTGCTTTCATAACACCTGTGTTACGTCTCGATTTGTCACACTGGAAAATGTGGGTAAAGAGCGATAGTCCCGCTCGAGCTTGCCTCATCCGAGGTCATATATCCAGCCACAATTCTGGCATATATAGTTCAGGTCACAAATTGTGTCAAAGTTTTGTACAATCTTGTGTGTTGTAGTAATAGTAAAAATGTACCTAATTGTTGCATTTTTATATTTTTTTAACAACATTTTACACAGCTTGTAGTTGGGTCCATTTTTGCTACAGTTCTTTGAATTTTGTTGACAACATTGTCCGAGTTCACATCGTCATATGTCACGAATACTAAAATAATTTAATGAGGCAAGTCTTTCTTCTATTTTTGCCTATATTAAAAAACATTTTTTCCTGAAGGGAATTTCTAAAGGCTCTGTGCTCGTTTAGAGGTTTGAAGCAGTGATGTGCATTTATCAGTCTAATAGCCTGTTAAGACAACTTATGCAAGCAAACCTTCAAACTCACTCAGACACTCACAAACGACAATGAACGCCCCTCAGGAAAAATTGACAACAAGAAACGTAACTCAGGATATCCTTGTATTTTGGAGCCGAAATGAACAATAATACGAAGAGCAACACCTAGTAATCCCTTGTAAATTATTCGCCTTCAGAATTTAAGAAAACGAGGTATTATAGGGCAATAAATCGACTGTTTGTTTATTTTGTAACGTAGTGATTATCTAAAAAAATAGAGGCGTTGACAGAATATTTACAACGGGCGGTAATCTAAGGATATCATCCTTTTATGACCAAGACTTATAAATACATAAATCCAACAATGTCTCTTATTCGTTTTATGTAAGCCAGTGGAAGAATATGAAGTTCAGCTTCGGGTTGTTCTTGGTCTTCGTCTTTGGTGCCGTCCTTACGGTCAATGCCTACTACAGAGATGAGGAGGTCAGGCGGTTCATAGCCGATATCCCTGAAGAAGGTAATTAGATTTTTCAATAGATAATTAGATTAGAAAGAACAGAAAAAGTGACTTGATGATAGATAAAACGTAAAATAAAGATAAAAACAATTTTTGAAAACTGTAAATATTTTGTAGTTTGTAGATATTGATCAAATATTATTAATTTCACTTAAATTGATTACTTCGATTTAGTTCAGACATAAATCTAGTAGGCAGGTGTTCCAGATAAACAGAATTAATGTGGCAATTTGAATACATAAAATTTTGAGTTGTTGGAAACTATATCGAATATATCGCTATTACATATAAAATTTTAACTACCAATATCAACAACTAATTTTTCTGTAATTGAAATGGCAATAACTAATTGTACATTTATTACGATTTTATTTTTTATATTTAATACGCAGTTTTCAATTCTAGAATCAGTAATTTCGTAATAATTTTATATCAGAATACATGTTTGTCATTTGAATTACAGAATTTTATTTATATGTTTAATGTGAGGAAATAATCTAAAAATATACTGGCTTTGGAATGGACACAACATCTACATTTAACAATTATTGTTCAAAATAATTGTCAAGCAGTAGTAACAATTATTTTTATTTCTAATGTACAAAGAATTAGCCAGAATTTATTATTCGCATTTAAATATAACAACATTAAAAATAAAAGTGATAATTTTAGAGTTAAGAAACCTAACAATGAAATGTTACTAAAATTAATAGTACTATTTAAAAGTCGTTAAAAATCATTCATTTTTATCCTGGCGGAATTTCAGCGGAAAAGGCTGCTATTACTTCCAAGCAACTTTGTTACAAAAATAAGATAAAAAATAATAATGCATCTCATTTTCCGAAATATAAAAGTTTCTAGGCGTTTTTTTTCTCTAAATTCTAATACAGGATGAAGATTGCCACAATTAAAAACAAGTGCACCACTAAACAGAATTTGGCTATGTAGAAAACCAAATTCAACAATAACGCCACTGAAGTTTAAGTGAAAAAATCAAATTATCGCCGTTATAGGGATCACCTAAAATATAATACTTTGGTATCTGCTACAATTTTAAAAACATATGGAAAATCTGTTTCGTCGTAAATATTTCAGTAAAAATCCTTTGTGTCTGTAATAATAATCGAGATATCGAAAATTCGAATTAAGATTAATAAAATAAATACAGACGTCTGAGAGTAGAAAATTTTTTAAATTATATTTTACCTATCTATTTTACTACCCGTATAATTACTTTTTCAGGAAGAATTACCGTTCTGAGGTATTCAATCATCAGAGGCTATGAACTTACCGAAAGAAAATCTAGTGGCCTGCAAGTACCAACAGTAAGTAATGTTTAAATGCTCTTTCAAATATATTGTTTCATTTATAATAATAAATCGAACTTCATAAGACGTAATACTTAGCTAACTTTCCAGAATGTTTAGTTATTCACGTTTAGTTAAAATTGAGATCGAGTTCGCATAGTCATTCATTCATCAACATACTTGATTTACAATTAGTGTAACTTTTTAGACGTCACATTGCCAGCTCAATCAACTACTAAGTGTTTCACGTTTTACACACGTGACAAGATATTACATTCAAAAATTACTTTTCTCATCGTAGCTAGGGCGATATGTAACATAACACTGTTTTTGAAAAAATTATGATTTTCGAAAAATTTATGCATAGTGTACATTTTTAATGTATAAACTTTGTGAAAATACATATGTCTATGACATGTCGTAACTGTCTACGACTAGTCTAAGAAGGCTTACAGTTTTTGCTTTGAAATTCTGGAAATTCCGCAAATATTCTTTTCTATTTGCGACATAATATTATGTTTTTTAGGTTGATTACAAGGTCAATCCAAGAATGATGAAGGCTATATATAGATACCACGTTAAATACCACACAATTGAACATGTCAACTACCCTTACCCGTTGGATATAATATGTTTCCCTAATGGATGCATCGAAATTGATGATCCAGCGGTTCATCCATAGTGGCCAGCGTTTTATATATATTTAATATGATATGTGATGTTCTTGTACTCATTAAGTTTTAAATAAATTTATATAAACCTGCAGCTAATATACCGTAAAATATTCCTGTATTAAATATAGTGCTTGCAAGATCAATCAAATTGTAAGGAGTGTTTTTTCTTGATTATTTTATTAGAATATTTGATTCTCCGATCTTTGAATATTTAAGGATAATGTTAAGCAAATTTTTTCTGATTTTGTGATTCCGTTTTCTGAAGAGGTCACTAATTTCTTATCTCACAGTAATATATAAAATTTTCAAAATACCAACGACCAAGCTAGAGAATTTCCTAAAATTTTAAATTAAATTGAATACTCAGTTCTTAGAAAGTCACACAATTATGTTTAGAGGTGGCTTACACAAGCATTTTGTTTCTTTTTTAATCAATTAAAAGATGTTTTTACAATTATTTCGCAGAAAGCTGTATTTGGTCCAGTGGATATTCTTAATATGACTCACAAACCAACTCTGACTTTGACGTCAAATAGATCTATCCTCTTGTGATAAATTGCATGTCATAGCATTAAGTACCAAGCATTTACACGTTACCAATTGTTCAGGTTGGACATTGAAGTGTTTTTATTGTTCCATAGAACCGAAGACAAAATATATTCATTTACGTATGAATCTATTGTAATCTCAAGTAGTGTAAAAATAGATCCTTGGAACTTTGTTTAAGTACGAGTATTTATTAATTCAAGCATCATTTGTTGATTAATAATTAATTTTCCAAGAAGCAGAAGTATAACCGCTAACAATTTCGATACGATTCGTTCTGTTTGTAAAATATTCTGCATTTTTCTCAAAGATTGCTTAATATCGATTAACATTTAACCAAATGGAAAACAAATGATTTCTTCGATATTTCTTTGTATTTTTCTATGCCCATTCATATTCAAGTTTAAGAAATTGCTTACATATTTTATTTGATATTTTGTTTTATTTCTGGAAAAGAGTGTATTATCATTTTGTAACACTGGTGTGTTTGATTACTATTTTAGGTGTTGTAGTGAAACAATGTGTTATTGCAAAATAACATAGATTTGCTGATATTACTATTATTTTGATAGATTTCATAATAACAAATTTTTCTGAAAATTTGTTCACATTCTTATCTCATATATTGCCTCACTTATTTGTTAGCTTTATCAGTTCTCCCTAAAAATGTGAGCCATAATTAAATTCACAACCTGTTTCAAGATATGAGTAGAAACCCCTTTACAATAAAGACCGTTAAGAAAGTGCATAGTTGCATAGTTAAATTCGTCCCTTTTTTTAAACCTCGGCAACATCGCAAAACGTTTCGAATCCAGAGTTGAGCTGGATTTAAAGTCAACAGTCGAATGTCGATTTGCTGATACTTGTCTAATAATTGCTCGTGTTAAGAACTACACAAATAAAAATAAGTCGAATATGAGTTGTATTATTTTTATTTCTTCCTATAAAATTAATTGTTGTTTTGTTTAGTTTTTGACAGTTAGCATTTTTTTACTGTCCTGCAAATCACATGTGAAACCATGTGATAATCATGTGTAAATTATTATACTCAGGAACTAAAAAGTAGAACTGCTAATCTCACAAGTGACAGTAGAAATGTTTCAGTAGGTAGTGTACACTTACACTAACACGAGTAATGATTAAAAATACTAATTCGAATAATATTGCTGCCACTGATACTGATACTGAAAAAAATGTTTAAATATAATTTTTTGGTACTCTGTACTTTGCATAATATGTTCTAAGTGTTTTGATAACGAAAATAGAATGCAACATATTCATACGTCAATTAATTGATGATGAATGATGTTAATTCATTATCTGTTCTTTTCAAGTGTGGGACTTTGTCATTAAGTAAATATAGGAAAAAACTAGCATATTTTGAGACCATGGCGAAGAAATATATTTTAATTATGACGCAAATAAATAATTGAAGTAACAAAAATATGTACGAATAAAGTAATATGATTTTCAGTTAAGGGCACATATTCCATTGTCGTCTTATCAAGTCTGTGGTGATATTTTTACTTTGTCTGGAATGAGTTATATTTTATGACTCATGTGGTAGTAATTTCGATGATAGAGATAACTCTTATTTTCGGAAATTATAGAGCAACTTTATCTTTAGAAAAGAAAGAGCATAACACAGACATACTCCATTGTAAACATAACGAGCGTTCAAATAAAAACGTGGTCGAAGTTGGCTCTGACACATTGGACGTAGGGAATAGCTTATAGCGACCAACTTAACCTCATTTCTCAACGAGCTGTATAGCAGCTGTCAGTTTCAATAACGTTAATGACTATATAACTTTATTTTAAAGAATAATCGTGATAACAATAACAAACAATTAAAGGAGCTNAGAATGCTTTTAATGAATTTGAGACTGAGTAAAACTTTTTCGACGTGCTAATAAAAATTGTTAATGAAGTATCTAAATTATTTTAGGATTAGTTAGTATTAGTGCCTCTAAAAATGTATCTCTAAAAATAATCTACATAAATTTTTATGCTGCGAACTAACCATTGCATATCATTTCTACAGGACTAAGGTTTGGCGAACCTGCTGGCTACGGAATTGTTTCAGTTGGAGTTATTCTTGTGGCCCACTTTCTCTAACTTCGTCGTAATCTACAATGCACTTCCTTAGTCTTAGCTAGAAATCTTTGACTTTTACGTGATGATCTCGAGCTAGACTTTGTGGGGGAGGACCCGCCATCAAATGTCCTACAGGCCAGCCTTGATATTGATTACGGTTTTTGTCGTTAATTCTAAGTAAAGTCGCTAAAGGGTCCAGATACAGGTGCTGTGTGCTGTGCTTTCTAACTGGGGTACAAAATTAGAAACTGACAATGTTGACCTATGATCTCCAATAAGTGACGAGTGCATTTGAGTACAATATTACCTGTTATACTGATTTCAAGTGTTAATAAATAAACAACACTATTTTGTTAAGTAATTCACTTGATACGTCCTTTATAATGGCAGATGTACTGCATATCCATTGACGGGCTAATCCTTTTAGTAAATACTTACATCGATAATTGAATGTTATCATGAGATCAGGGATTAGTTGATAAACGTATGCAAGATAAAACGTATTTGTCAGTGTATTACGCAGGTACTTTTTGTGGCTTTTCAATAAATGCATCATCGATAATTTTGCGAAAAAAAATCAGGATGTAGTAGCTGTTTATAAAAATTTTCTATAGATGGTGTCTCACGAGCAAATGCATATATTCTAAGGGGACATTGCTTAAGTAAAAGTAAGTTAAACTGTTTATCGAATCCTGGTTTTGAGTAGGGTTGTGTCCAATTTTTTTACAAATGATTTGTTTAAAACATGTAACACGTATTTTATCGTTTTTTTGTTGTGTTCGTTTTATGCAAAAATGATGACGTACATCTAGATATTTACATATTAGCACTATGATTAAATCTAGTTGCAGTTTTATACTTACCAGTTTTGACCGCAGTTGGCAGTGACATCTATAACGCAGGGCAAAATAACACAGAATTGCAGAATACTATTCAATGAAAATGACGATTTTTTCCAGGATTGTGTCACAGAGAAATTATACCCTCTCTGCATCTGTCAAGTTAGAACAGACAAGGTCTTCAAACTAAAAACGAGTATGTAGCTAATTTTTTAATATCTCAATAACCTGACGATAACATCACAAAACTTGACAATAATTCTGGTTTTACTGTTAAAATAAATCATGCTAATTCTATATATGGACTGTGCATGTCTTTGTGGGGTACATATATTAGTTCTGCCAAAACCATTCATTTGAAGAATAAACAAAAACATTGTTTGAACAAGAATTGTAGGAATTAAATGAAATGTCAAAATATGTTGACAAAAAGAAACAAGTGTAATCATGAATATCTGTACACAAATTAAGCTTGATTATTTTAGTATATCCTATAAATTATTTTATAGTTACCAAATAGACTTGCTTATTATAGTTTTGTTGGAATTGGTAACAATATCAACAGATAAAAAGCGACATTCAGACATTTCAGAAGATTGGGTTGGTTCCCTAAAAGAATTGAACACCCTGTACATAAAATAAGTAGGTAGTGACATTTTTACGAATCTCAGCATAAACAGGAATTCTTATAATGATTCCATAATAAAAAAATTCTTTTCTTCGAGATACAAACGGGAGACACACTATATTTTAGTTTTATGGCAGATCAAGCCAGTAATGATTTACAAAAAACTACACAAATAGTACATTAGGATGTTCCGCTTCTTAATCAAACAGTTACAACATTCTACAAATTCTTATACTCTTCACATAAGACTAAAGGTTTGTCGAACTGCTTGTTCCGTCAGGATTAAAACCAATTTCAAATTCGTCGAATTAGCTATTAAGGATATATTCCAATGTCGCTAAGGTCGATACATTTCTTGTTAGGAAAGCAAATGATGGTATCGCCACCACCGTTAGAAGTTGGAGAATAGTAATATGATCTAGGCTGATCTGCTAGGTAGTAGTAAAAGTAATAGAATTTTATAGCTTTTTGATCTTCGGGGTTCTGAAAATAAGGAAATTAGACACATTGTTAGTAGTATAAGTTGCAGTTCATAATGTAGTTTAATTTAATTGATACTTAATGTTCAGTGGGTTACCTCATATTTTCATTATAATTTATGATTTAATTAACTTTTTATAATGACGCCATCTTAGAAGCTATAACCTACCAAAGAATAGTTGTTTTCATCGAGTTCGTCAGTTCTTTCAAGTACCTCTTGTCCCCTTTCTATATAGTATTTTATTGTATTAATATCTGAAAAAAATACGTTAGTTAACACTATCACATTCGAATTATCAAATTTATATTGCATTGGAGATATAACCAACAACCAATTTTTTAACCAGTAGTGGTAAAAATAGCAATAAGCTTAGAGGATAATGCATGTGTGAGAAAGGGTAACATATTATTATCCTAAAGTTGTTCATATACCGTTTGTGTTATTGTTTTCTTACCAGGTTCAGCGTTCAATATATTTGGTGCTCCTCGACAGAATTTTGGACATATCAGCACAAAAAAGACAATCAGCGTCCACATTTTCGCACTTTTAGGTGGTACAACATCGACAACAAATTGAAATACGTACATCGTCTGCGGTGTATCTGTTAATATAGCCCATCCAATAAAGTTTATCAAGAAAAACTGGGGAAAACGGTGTTGATTCAGCATGACCCAATAAAAGATTATCTCAAGATATTTTTACAGGTATTTTCGATACTCGAGTAATAAACAAAGAGACACCCAAACATAAAAGTAATAATTTATGATATTTCTGAGTAAAAGGAAGGTAGTTTTATCAGTTTCCTCTACGCGTGTATTAAAGTGTGTATCAATGTACCTAGTTTATCTATCAGGAAAAAAACAAATAAAACGGTGGCCTAGATGAAATCCAAGGAAATAACCTACATAAGATATTGATATAATAAATACCTAATATAATTATATAATTTCACAATAATTATCTGAAGGTCACTATTTGAGGTCAATTTTTAATCCGTATAAAAACATTTCTATAATTTCAATATGAAAAACCCTTAATTCATCAGTTGTGTCTTTTGTATCTCAACTGGAATGAATAATATCATTTTGTAACACTTTCAAGTTACGGGTCCTAAAAGTTGAAAATTAAAAAGTTATTTTTGTTTACAACTTTAGCATGATGCAAATTTCAAAATCAAAAATAAGTTCCCTGAAGAATTTGCCATCGATTATACCCTCTTGGTTCAACTCGGTAAAATTAACAGTTTAGGAAATATTTGTGATTTTATGTCACATCGGGCGGCGCCTCCACCATTTTTTGTTTTTTATTTTTAATTGGACATAATTAATATGTTAGAACCGTACATATTTTTAAAATAAGAGCCTAGAAAATCTTACTTTCTGCTAATATAATTTTCACTAAAAAATTTGACAAACACACTCTATAGATAATGCAAAATAGAAAAACAAAAGAATATGTTAAAGTAAGTTACATATTCAACTCCACTAGGATGGTGGCGAAGCATCAACCACCATCCCATTTTATGGTCTGAAGCTTCGCATCGATCAATTTATTCAATATGTATCTATGGGCACCCTGATACCTGTGAATTTGACGCTTTGCTTGGTCGAGTATATGGCACGTGTTTTTATGGCAGTCATTAGCATTGCGTATCATGAGCTTGACGGTCTATTTCTGCCACAACAACGCCTTATTTATTTGATTCTCGCCACAAAGTTTCCGACGCCTAGTAATCATTTTGTGTTGTTTAGATAAGAATCGGTAATATAGATTAGTTAAAATGCTATAAATTGCGTATATTTTCACACACACAATCCTTATTCGTGTCCAAACTAAAAAATTTGAAAACAAAATATTTACTGCTGTTGCATATCTTATATTTCTACCACTTAATTTTCGCTTCTCTAAATTACTTGTAAATATTTTTTTCGAGGGTTTTTCCACTTACAATAATCTAAATTTCCCAAAATATGTTTATAAATATATAAATACTGCAATACTGTCTAGACAAAAATTGTATCGTGCTGACGCGACTGTCAGTTGAAAGCATTTCGACTGCCTAAACAGAAATGTTGGCCTGAAATTAGGTTTAGTGTCAAAGAGTGACAGCCAATGAGAGTGACAAATCTTTGCTCTCTGGTAATAGTACTGTGTTGCGACATATTTTATGTAAACATATTAATATTTCGTAATCTGACTACGGTTCTGTTAAACTCTGTGCCGCACTAAGCCACTAAGCCTACTCATTACACTAACAAAATAGGATGTTTTTAAAACTCATATTTGATAATATTTTCATATAACATTGATTGTAGGCATTGGCATCATTTGTACTAAATACTTATTATTTTAATTAATTATAGGCAGTATTTTGATGAAATATTAGGTCGTTTTCATTGCCTTAATTTTGTTAGACATCATAATCCAATAACTCAAAGTCAGTACGTCAAAAAAACATAAAAGAAGCTACTTTTAGACAACAAATCCTTTTTGTTCAGAGAGATATATTCTAAAAACCAAAAAATTTTAAAAAATGTCTGTTATTAATACTCCTACCACTTTTGGACTTTAAGCATATGAAATTCGGATTCAGCATGCCCAAAATAGTAAAGCCTACTATTAGATTGGGGTATTTTCCATGGATAGATGATTTTAAGCTAGTTACTGAACTATCTTTTTTTTAATTTCTAATTATAGTCGTTATTTTGTGACTGCCATTTTGAATTTCGACATTTTCTCAAAAATGGCCATCGTTTATTCGAAAGCTCTGGAATATACGAACATTTTGAGACCTTAGACGTATGTTTTCCTTGCTTTTATTTTTGGAGAGCACTGTGACCCGGTTGACAAGAAACATCCCCTATATATTTTATGGTAAGTTCATGTGAAGTGTTTAGTATTGAAAAATAGGCACTATCACTTTTTGTTTCATATTGTTATGCAAATACTTACAAATATATATTCTTATAATGTAAAGAGTGTGTGAATAAAATTACATAAAAGTGAATACGATCTACAGTCAACCCTGTACCCCATCGTGGCCACCCTAACATTTCCGATATCCCTAGTCATTAGTTATGAATCGTCAGATTGGTAATAGTTTAATTGTATTTTTTTATTAATAATGATTTAACGTATATTTCAGACGTGATTAAAAAATAAATCAATCCTTAATCTAATTCCAACTAAGCAATTTTCAATCTGACGATCCATGATAGTGCCTAAGGGATTTAGTTATCAGTCGCGACTAATACATGAATATAATTAGTCTTAACATTCTACTACAACTAGACCAACTACATCTTGTTCGCAAAATTTAAGATGCGCAAAGGTAATTTGCTCATATATTTAATAATGTAATATAAAATCTTCATTAAATAACTATATACAGACTCAAATTTGATTGGTGCATCTCGACAATATGAAATTGGTCTAGCCCTAACCGTCATTGGTTGGAAGCGAAACACTTTTTGGTAAATTAGCATTGAAAATACCGAGTTCAGATTTGATACAGATCAATTCCTCCATGGTAGCTAACTTCATATGTGGAAGAAAAACAATTTGATATGTTTGTTCCTTGATTTTGGCTCATACACCTTTGTCTTGCGACGACTTTACTTGGAACAATTTGACGCAACGAATCAAGGATAAATGAAATAATAACTCTTCTCATTTTGTCATAGTTTTTTTAACGTGAATCCTGTGAATAGGTACAAAAATTTTCACTGGGCTCTACCAAATTAGTATATTTTCAATCGTTCTTGAGTAATTCAAAAGCTACGTTCCATTTTCTGTCTTTGAGGGCCAGAGTCGTACTCTTTTTATTCGCTTGTCCAGACAAAAGCACACAGCCCCGAAATTTCGTTGTAGCGTCGCAACTACAGTCGGTATGAAAAAGCGCAAAAAAATGGCTACAAGAAATGAATTTTGGAGCAGAAGGGGACAATAAATTCGAAGAGCAACACCCAGTAATCCCTTGTAAATTATTCACCTTCGGAATTTAAGAAAACGCGGTATTATAGGGCAATAAATTGACTGTTTATTTATTTTGCAACGTTGTGATTATCTAAAAAAATAGGCGTTGACAGAATATTTACAACGGGCGGTAATCTAAGGATATCATCCTTTTACGACCAAGACTTATAAATACATAAATCCAACAGATGTCTCTTATTCGTTTTATGCAAGCCAGTGGAAGAATATGAAGTTCAGCTTCGGGTTCTTCGTCGTCGCCATCGGCGCCGCCCTCACGACCAACAACGCCTACAACAACGAGGAGGACAACAAGGAAATCACCGACAACACCCAAGAAGAAAATAATAATAATTAATAATAAATAAGAGGAGAAAAAACAAAAAAAAGAGGATGTAGAATAACAGATAAAACGTAAAATAAAGATAAAAACAGTTTTTGAAAACTGTAAATATTTTGTAGTTTGCAGATATTGATAAAATATTATTAAATTCACTTAAATTTTGATTACTTCGATTGAGTTCAGACATAAATCTAGTAGGCAGGTGTTCCAGATAAACAGAACTAATGTGGCAATTTGAATACATAAAATTTGGAGTTGTTGGAAACTATATCGAATATATCGCTATTGTATCTAAAATTTTAACTATCAATGTCAACAACTAATTTTTCTGCAATTCAAATGACAATCAGTAATTGCACATTTCTTACAATTTTAATTTTATATTTAACACGCAATTTTCAATTCTAGAATCAGTAATTTCGAAATAATTTTATATCAGCATATATTTCTCACTGTTTGTCATTTGAATTACAGAATTTTATTTATATGTTTAATGTCAGGAAATAATCTAGAAATATACTGACTTTGAAATGGACATAACTTCTACATTTAACAATTACTGTCCAAAATAATTATCAAGGAGTTGTATCAATTTTTTATATTTCTAGGGTTGCAATAAATTAGTCCAAATTTACTATTCGCATTTAAAAATGCCAACATTTTTATTTTAAATGTGATAATAGCATTTATTAATGGTGTTAGTCCACATGTTGTCTTATTTAAAATATTATCTTTCGAAAAATTTGTTATTCGTACCACAAAATTTAATAGTTCGAGAAACCTAATTATGAAATGTTACTAAAATTAGTAGTGCTCTTTAAATGTCGCTAAAAATCACTCTTCTCAGTTACAATTCATATGTAAATTTACCTCACAACAATAAAACTAATATTTAGGATTATAATTAACAATAAAAACATATCCTTTGTTTTATCCTGGCAGTACTTCAGCGGAAAAAGCTATTACTAGTTAAACCAACTTTGTTACGAAATCACGAAAATAATATAAAAATTACTACTACTAAACTAATACTAACATACTTTACTTAAATGTACATTAAATTAATATAAGGAATTCAAAATAGCCGACAGGCAAAAATTGAAACTGTTCACTTTCTGGTACTAGACTGATACACTACATCTTTTGAAAAGCTCAGAATACCTTCTTTTTAGCTAGACCTTGAAAAACAATGATTTTCATTTAAAAAATGAAACTTTGGTCTATAAGTCGGAAACTGTTATTTAAACAATAAGGACGCCACTGAAGTCTATGTGATAAATCAAATTATCAAAGCTTCAATGATCACCTAAAATATAAAAACTCTGATATCTTTGAATTTTTTAGAAGATTTAAATTAAGAATAATAGAGTAAATACAGACATCTGAGAGTAGAAAAATGTTTAAATTATTTTTTACCTATCTATTTTGCTATCTACTTTTTCAGAAAGAATGGCCGTTCTGAGGTATTCAATCATCAGAGGGTATGAACTTACCGAAAGAGAATCTAGTGGCCTGGAAATACCTATAGTAAGTAATGTTTAAATATATATAATAATTTCATTTATAATAAACAAATCGAATTTTATAAGACGTAATACTTAGCTAACTTTCCAGAATGTTTAATTATTCACCACAGATACGACTTATTTGGTATTTTTCCAGAATCTAAATTGTTACTCAGTTACCAATAGCGCAATTTTTCAAAAGTTAGTTAAAATTTGTTTTAGTGTAGCTTTTAGACGTCACTTTGCTATACGGACCAAATACCTCACGAACGCATTTGTTTTAGATACGTAACATACCATTACATTTAAAAATTACTTTTATCATCGTAGACTAAGCGATATGTAACATAATAGTAACACTGATTTTGAAAAATTATGATTTTCGATGCATAGCCTTGTTTAGAACATTTTTAGTGTACAAACTTTGTGAAAGTACATGTGTCTACGACATGTCGTAACAGTCTGCGACTAGTCTATGAAGACTTACAGTTTTTGTTTTGGAATTCCGGAAATTCCACAATTATTTTTTAGTCGCGACATTATACTATGTTGCTCTCCGTGTATCATTATCTATTTTTTTTTTTTAGGTTGATTACGAGGTCAGTCGCGGGATGATGAGGGCTATATATGAGTACTACCTTAAAAACCATACTGTCGAACATGTCAACTACCCTTATCCCTCGGATATAATATGTTTCCCTAGCGGATGCATCGAGATTGGTGACCCAGGAGTTCATCCATAGTGGCCACCGTTTATTTGTATTTAATATGATATGTGATGTCTTCGTACTCATTAAGTTCTAAATAAATGTATATAAACCTGTAGCTAATTATACATACCGTAAAATATTTCTGTATTAAATATAATGCTTGCAAGATGTTATATCAAATTTTAAGGAGTGTTTTTTCTGGACTATTTTATTAGAATATTCGATTGAATATTTTGTTATTACGTATTCTGAAGAGGAGACTAACTTATCGAAGTAATATATATATATTGTATGACTTCTTACCTAATGACTACTAAATATTTTGATGATAATATTTCCTTGGATTTAGAGAACTTACAAATATTTTATAATGACACTGTCATTGATAACAACACTAGAATCATAAATAAAACAAAGTTTTCACTGTACTTTCAGAAATATCCGTTAAAAATATAACAAATGCTATTTCTCGCCGTGCCATATGAGTAGTAAGTAGCTGCAAAGCGTGCTTAATGAATAATTACTATTTAATCTATTTCAGATAACCAGATACATGTTTTTTTACCGTCATAAAGCAATAGATTATATTAAGAAGGTAGATTATTATTCAATTTCTGTAACAATAAAAAAATACAGGATGAACGGAAAAACATAGATCCTATGGGTTATAAGGGACCTATGGGATTAAAACCAGTTTTTGTTTTATAATTCTGCAACCATTTTCAATGGAGATATGAAATTTGGTATTTTTCGAAATTACCAGTTATTTTCTGTTTTAATTATGATTTTAATGCCAATAGAGGGCGGCTAAAATTATTTACTAAAACTTTTTTAACAAGCCCCTTTCTAAATCCTCCCCAAAAATTTTGGTTTTGTCACATTCAGTACACTACTTATTTAAGAATAACTTTTTATGTGAAAAATTGAGAATTTTGAGAGTCTCAGATGTGTATCTTTAAACTAACAAGAGTAATAATTAAAAAAACTAAATAGCGAAATATCAGGAAAATTGCCTCTACAAAAGTTGTTTGGGTCAATGAGAATTTCCAAACAATATTTTAAATTTAAAAACCCATATCAATACTTGCTCTATTTTTTATTATTTGACAACTCTGCCTTTTATAACGCAATCCATAGTTTAGTTTGTATATTTGTTTTTTATTCTATTTCATTGATTTTTTTTCTATATTATAATCCCTTGAGACATTTAAAGACATTTTTTAGCTGCCTACCGGCATTTCTGTCGTGGTCACGATCACACAAGGTGCCAAGTACGGCGGCTGTTTGTTTTCATAGTTTATTTTAGGTATTACTGAAGGCGAGGGATTAGCAGATTCTCGAGATATAGATTTATAATAAATACCTTAAAGCCGATACTAAATCAATCTTAAAGCTTCTCTGGCGCGGTAGACCTGCGAAAGATATGGATTTGAAAATTCTGCTCTTGACGGTGGCGTTCTTCGTTTGTTCTAGTGCGGCCCCAACGGTGACAGATGAGGACCGATCGTACCTGACCTCCGTTTTGGAGATGGTTCCGGAATCGGGTAAGTGGAAGAGGAGAAATGCTTTTATTGCTGTATTTTGGGATTAAAAACTGTGCACTATACACACGACAGTTTAAAAGGCGTTAAAAATACAAAATAATGTTTTTTGCATCTTTTCTGCTCATGGTATAAAATTTAAGTCAACTTTGGATAAATTAAGTCTTCAAACAATAATTAAATTACTTAAATTACAGATATTTTAGTCTTCTTTATTCTTCCTTTATTCTCTTAATAATAAAAACAATTTGCATTTGCAATGTTATAAAAAACTTGGGTCTCAAATGTTCGTAAGAAATAAATACCACCATTTTTGTTATCAAAGTAGAGCGCATTCCCATTCAGAGCTATTTTTAGTTAAACAAACACTGGTTTGAATATTATTTACAACAACAGTAGCAGCTACAGCCATTTAGGATGATAAATTTTCAGCGGCAATCAGTTGATACTCGTTTTAATAAGAGATCCACTTGATTATACAAAGTATCCCATAAAATAGTGATCGTATACAGATTCATGAGGTAAAAACATTTGATTAAAATTAAATAATGTAGTTTAATCAACCTACCATAACACAAAAATGCTTAGGTTAAAAGTTAAAAGGTCTTACTTTTAAATATCTAAGGTAACTGATTTAAATTTGGTAGTTGTAAGGGCGTTTCTAGTTTATATCGATTGCTATAAAATATTTTGCTGGTAGAATTCAAAAGAAAATAATTACCTGCCCTGACATTTTAAGCTTCTGTTTTTTTTTTTGGGAGCATCAAATTGAATTTTCTCTTTTTAATCGCAATCTAACGATGTTAAAAGAAGAATTTCTTGTGCGACATATACAGATAATACATAAATTTCTTAAATGATCACTGATGTATAGGGAATTAAATGATTGAAGTCGATTTTTTCTACATCCTTATAATATGTACCTAATTTATTTGAACCATATTAGTATCAAAAGTAAGGACTAAAGTAAGTTGACTTGAATTCAACTGATTTCGCCTTTGAACTCTATTTTTTAGGACGCCCTGTATAAATTAAATTGTCANATTAAATTCAAACAATTTCTTAAATTCTTCTTAAATCTAAAATCAACCTCATAGACAGGAGACTTAACTGTTGATATTGCAGGAAATAAGTAGCACCAAGGGAACAAATTTCAATGTGTAATAGACAAGGCCACCATACCTATACGTTTATGGGGTCGCTGAATCCGAATTCGGTGTCCATAATATGAAATTCAAGGTTATTTGAAGGTCACTTTTTGTTTTCTGGTGATAATACAATTTTTGCCTTAGGATTCTGAAACAGAGAGAAATTTTACGTTCGAATATGTGGTTGATTCATGTTTTTGAGGTTATTTGAAGGGTAAATCTGGTGTTTGATGGTAATGAAATATCTAACACCGGATTCTAAAAGAGCGAGATTACGTTTGGAGTCGTGGTTATTATTTTCACTTTCAAGATCATTTGAAATTTTCCTTTCAAACTTTTCAGATTGGTATCATGCCAAAATTGCGATATATCGGGAAAATCACCTCTAAAAAAGTTGTTTGGGTCAATAAAGGCTCTCCAAACACTATTTTAAATTTAAAAACCCAGATCAATACTTGCTCTATTTTTTATTATGTTACAACTCTACCTTTTATAACGCAATCTATAGTTTTGTTTGTATATTTGTTCTTTCTATTTCATTTTAAATTTTCTTATATCATAATCCCTTGAGCCATTTAATGAAATTTTTCTGTTGCCGACCGGCATTTCTGTCGGGGTCACGATCACAAAAGGTGCGAAGTACGGCGACTGTTTGTTTTCGTAGTTTATTTTAGGTATTACTTAAGGCGAGGGATTAGCAGATTCTCGAGATATAGATTTATAATAAATACCTTAAAGCCGATACTAAATCAATCTTAAAGCTTCTCTGGCGCGGTAGACCTGCGAAAGATATGGATTTGAAAATTTTGCTCTTGACGGTNCAATGCACTTCCTTAGTCTTAGCTAGAAATCTTTGACTTTTACGTGATGATCTCGGGCTAGACTTTGTGGGGGAGGACCCGCCATCAAATGTCCTACAGGCCAGCCTTGATATTGATTACGGTTTTTGTCGTTAATTCTAAGTAAAGTCGCTAAAGGGTCCAGATACAGGTGCTGTGTGCTGTGCTTTCTAACTGGGGTACAAAATTAGAAACTGACAATGTTGACCTATGATCTCCAATAAGTGACAAGTGCATTTGAGTACAATATTACCTGTTATACTGATTTCAAGTGTTAATAAATAAACAACACTATTTTGTTAAGTAATTCACTTGATACGTCCTTTATAATGGCAGATGTACTGCATATCCATTGACGGGCTAATCCTTTTAGTAAATACTTACATCGATAATTGAATGTTATCATGAGATCAGGGATTAGTTGATAAACGTATGCAAGATAAAACGTATTTGTCAGTGTATTACGCAGGTACTTTTTGTGGCTTTTCAATAAATGCATCATCGATAATTTTGCGAAAAAAAATCAGGATGTAGTAGCTGTTTATAAAAATTTTCTATAGATGGTGTCTCACGAGCAAATGCATATATTCTAAGGGGACATTGCTTAAGTAAAAGTAAGTTAAACTGTTTATCGAATCCTGGTTTTGAGTAGGGTTGTGTCCAATTTTTTTACAAATGATTTGTTTAAAACATGTAACACGTATTTTATCGTTTTTTTGTTGTGTTCGTTTTATGCAAAAATGATGACGTACATCTAGATATTTACATATTAGCACTATGATTAAATCTAGTTGCAGTTTTATACTTACCAGTTTTGACCGCAGTTGGCAGTGACATCTATAACGCAGGGCAAAATAACACAGAATTGCAGAATACTATTCAATGAAAATGACGATTTTTTCCAGGATTGTGTCACAGAGAAATTATACCCTCTCTGCATCTGTCAAGTTAGAACAGACAAGGTCTTCAAACTAAAAACGAGTATGTAGCTAATTTTTTAATATCTCAATAACCTGACGATAACATCACAAAACTTGACAATAATTCTGGTTTTACTGTTAAAATAAATCATGCTAATTCTATATATGGACTGTGCATGTCTTTGTGGGGTACATATATTAGTTCTGCCAAAACCATTCATTTGAAGAATAAACAAAAACATTGTTTGAACAAGAATTGTAGGAATTAAATGAAATGTCAAAATATGTTGACAAAAAGAAACAAGTGTAATCATGAATATCTGTACACAAATTAAGCTTGATTATTTTAGTATATCCTATAAATTATTTTATAGTTACCAAATAGACTTGCTTATTATAGTTTTGTTGGAATTGGTAACAATATCAACAGATAAAAAGCGACACTTTCAGACATTTCAGAAGATTGGGTTGGTTCCCTAAAAAAATTGAACACCCTGTACATAAAATAAGTAGGTAGTGACATTTTTACGAATCTCAGCATAAACAGGAATTCTTATAATGATTCCATAATAAAAAAAATTCTTTTCTTCGAGATACAAACGGGAGACACACTATATTTTAGTTTTATAGCAGATCAAGCCAGTAATGATTTACAAAAAACTACACAAATAGTACATTAGGATGTTCCGCTTCTTAATCAAACAGTTACAACATTCTACAAATTCTTATACTCTTCACATAAGACTAAAGGTTTGTCGAACTGCTTGTTCCGTCAGGATTAAAACCAATTTCAAATTCGTCGAATTAGCTATTAAGGATATATTCCAATGTCGCTAAGGTCGATACATTTCTTGTTAGGAAAGCAAATGATGGTATCGCCACCACCGTTAGAAGTTGGAGAATAGTAATATGATCTAGGCTGATCTGCTAGGTAGTAGTAAAAGTAATAGAATTTTATAGCTTTTTGATCTTCGGGGTTCTGAAAATAAGGAAATTAGACACATTGTTAGTAGTATAAGTTGCAGTTCATAATGTAGTTTAATTTAATTGATACTTAATGTTCAGTGGGTTACCTCATATTTTCATTATAATTTATGATTTAATTAACTTTTTATAATGACGCCATCTTAGAAGCTATAACCTACCAAAGAATAGTTGTTTTCATCGAGTTCGTCAGTTCTTTCAAGTACCTCTTGTCCCCTTTCTATATAGTATTTTATTGTATTAATATCTGAAAAAAATACGTTAGTTAACACTATCACATTCGAATTATCAAATTTATATTGCATTGGAGATATAACCAACAACCAATTTTTTAACCAGTAGTGGTAAAAATAGCAATAAGCTTAGAGGATAATGCATGTGTGAGAAAGGGTAACATATTATTATCCTAAAGTTGTTCATATACCGTTTGTGTTATTGTTTTCTTACCAGGTTCAGCGTTCAATATATTTGGTGCTCCTCGACAGAATTTTGGACATATCAGCACAAAAAAGACAATCAGCGTCCACATTTTCGCACTTTTAGGTGGTACAACATCGACAACAAATTGAAATACGTACATCGTCTGCGGTGTATCTGTTAATATAGCCCATCCAATAAAGTTTATCAAGAAAAACTGGGGAAAACGGTGTTGATTCAGCATGACCCAATAAAAGATTATCTCAAGATATTTTTACAGGTATTTTCGATACTCGAGTAATAAACAAAGAGACACCCAAACATAAAAGTAATAATTTATGATATTTCTGAGTAAAAGGAAGGTAGTTTTATCAGTTTCCTCTACGCGTGTATTAAAGTGTGTATCAATGTACCTAGTTTATCTATCAGGAAAAAAACAAATAAAACGGTGGCCTAGATGAAATCCAAGGAAATAACCTACATAAGATATTGATATAATAAATACCTAATATAATTATATAATTTCACAATAATTATCTGAAGGTCACTATTTGAGGTCAATTTTTAATCCGTATAAAAACATTTCTATAATTTCAATATGAAAAACCCTTAATTCATCAGTTGTGTCTTTTGTATCTCAACTGGAATGAATAATATCATTTTGTAACACTTTCAAGTTACGGGTCCTAAAAGTTGAAAATTAAAAAGTTATTTTTGTTTACAACTTTAGCATGATGCAAATTTCAAAATCAAAAATAAGTTCCCTGAAGAATTTGCCATCGATTATACCCTCTTGGTTCAACTCGGTAAAATTAACAGTTTAGGAAATATTTGTGATTTTATGTCACATCGGGCGGCGCCTCCACCATTTTTTGTTTTTTATTTTTAATTGGACATAATTAATATGTTAGAACCGTACATATTTTTAAAATAAGAGCCTAGAAAATCTTACTTTCTGCTAATATAATTTTCACTAAAAAATTTGACAAACACACTCTATAGATAATGCAAAATAGAAAAACAAAAGAATATGTTAAAGTAAGTTACATATTCAACTCCACTAGGATGGTGGCGAAGCATCAACCACCATCCCATTTTATGGTCTGAAGCTTCGCATCGATCAATTTATTCAATATGTATCTATGGGCACCCTGATACCTGTGAATTTGACGCTTTGCTTGGTCGAGTATATGGCACGTGTTTTTATGGCAGTCATTAGCATTGCGTATCATGAGCTTGACGGTCTATTTCTGCCACAACAACGCCTTATTTATTTGATTCTCGCCACAAAGTTTCCGACGCCTAGTAATCATTTTGTGTTGTTTAGATAAGAATCGGTAATATAGATTAGTTAAAATGCTATAAATTGCGTATATTTTCACACACACAATCCTTATTCGTGTCCAAACTAAAAAATTTGAAAACAAAATATTTACTGCTGTTGCATATCTTATATTTCTACCACTTAATTTTCGCTTCTCTAAATTACTTGTAAATATTTTTTTCGAGGGTTTTTCCACTTACAATAATCTAAATTTCCCAAAATATGTTTATAAATATATAAATACTGCAATACTGTCTAGACAAAAATTGTATCGTGCTGACGCGACTGTCAGTTGAAAGCATTTCGACTGCCTAAACAGAAATGTTGGCCTGAAATTAGGTTTAGTGTCAAAGAGTGACAGCCAATGAGAGTGACAAATCTTTGCTCTCTGGTAATAGTACTGTGTTGCGACATATTTTATGTAAACATATTAATATTTCGTAATCTGACTACGGTTCTGTTAAACTCTGTGCCGCACTAAGCCACTAAGCCTACTCATTACACTAACAAAATAGGATGTTTTTAAAACTCATATTTGATAATATTTTCATATAACATTGATTGTAGGCATTGGCATCATTTGTACTAAATACTTATTATTTTAATTAATTATAGGCAGTATTTTGATGAAATATTAGGTCGTTTTCATTGCCTTAATTTTGTTAGACATCATAATCCAATAACTCAAAGTCAGTACGTCAAAAAAACATAAAAGAAGCTACTTTTAGACAACAAATCCTTTTTGTTCAGAGAGATATATTCTAAAAACCAAAAAATTTTAAAAAATGTCTGTTATTAATACTCCTACCACTTTTGGACTTTAAGCATATGAAATTCGGATTCAGCATGCCCAAAATAGTAAAGCCTACTATTAGATTGGGGTATTTTCCATGGATAGATGATTTTAAGCTAGTTACTGAACTATCTTTTTTTTAATTTCTAATTATAGTCGTTATTTTGTGACTGCCATTTTGAATTTCGACATTTTCTCAAAAATGGCCATCGTTTATTCGAAAGCTCTGGAATATACGAACATTTTGAGACCTTAGACGTATGTTTTCCTTGCTTTTATTTTTGGAGAGCACTGTGACCCGGTTGACAAGAAACATCCCCTATATATTTTATGGTAAGTTCATGTGAAGTGTTTAGTATTGAAAAATAGGCACTATCACTTTTTGTTTCATATTGTTATGCAAATACTTACAAATATATATTCTTATAATGTAAAGAGTGTGTGAATAAAATTACATAAAAGTGAATACGATCTACAGTCAACCCTGTACCCCATCGTGGCCACCCTAACATTTCCGATATCCCTAGTCATTAGTTATGAATCGTCAGATTGGTAATAGTTTAATTGTATTTTTTTATTAATAATGATTTAACGTATATTTCAGACGTGATTAAAAAATAAATCAATCCTTAATCTAATTCCAACTAAGCAATTTTCAATCTGACGATCCATGATAGTGCCTAAGGGATTTAGTTATCAGTCGCGACTAATACATGAATATAATTAGTCTTAACATTCTACTACAACTAGACCAACTACATCTTGTTCGCAAAATTTAAGATGCGCAAAGGTAATTTGCTCATATATTTAATAATGTAATATAAAATCTTCATTAAATAACTATATACAGACTCAAATTTGATTGGTGCATCTCGACAATATGAAATTGGTCTAGCCCTAACCGTCATTGGTTGGAAGCGAAACACTTTTTGGTAAATTAGCATTGAAAATACCGAGTTCAGATTTGATACAGATCAATTCCTCCATGGTAGCTAACTTCATATGTGGAAGAAAAACAATTTGATATGTTTGTTCCTTGATTTTGGCTCATACACCTTTGTCTTGCGACGACTTTACTTGGAACAATTTGACGCAACGAATCAAGGATAAATGAAATAATAACTCTTCTCATTTTGTCATAGTTTTTTTAACGTGAATCCTGTGAATAGGTACAAAAATTTTCACTGGGCTCTACCAAATTAGTATATTTTCAATCGTTCTTGAGTAATTCAAAAGCTACGTTCCATTTTCTGTCTTTGAGGGCCAGAGTCGTACTCTTTTTATTCGCTTGTCCAGACAAAAGCACACAGCCCCGAAATTTCGTTGTAGCGTCGCAACTACAGTCGGTATGAAAAAGCGCAAAAAAATGGCTACAAGAAATGAATTTTGGAGCAGAAGGGGACAATAAATTCGAAGAGCAACACCCAGTAATCCCTTGTAAATTATTCACCTTCGGAATTTAAGAAAACGCGGTATTATAGGGCAATAAATTGACTGTTTATTTATTTTGCAACGTTGTGATTATCTAAAAAAATAGGCGTTGACAGAATATTTACAACGGGCGGTAATCTAAGGATATCATCCTTTTACGACCAAGACTTATAAATACATAAATCCAACAGATGTCTCTTATTCGTTTTATGCAAGCCAGTGGAAGAATATGAAGTTCAGCTTCGGGTTCTTCGTCGTCGCCATCGGCGCCGCCCTCACGACCAACAACGCCTACAACAACGAGGAGGACAACAAGGAAATCACCGACAACACCCAAGAAGAAAATAATAATAATTAATAATAAATAAGAGGAGAAAAAACAAAAAAAAGAGGATGTAGAATAACAGATAAAACGTAAAATAAAGATAAAAACAGTTTTTGAAAACTGTAAATATTTTGTAGTTTGCAGATATTGATAAAATATTATTAAATTCACTTAAATTTTGATTACTTCGATTGAGTTCAGACATAAATCTAGTAGGCAGGTGTTCCAGATAAACAGAACTAATGTGGCAATTTGAATACATAAAATTTGGAGTTGTTGGAAACTATATCGAATATATCGCTATTGTATCTAAAATTTTAACTATCAATGTCAACAACTAATTTTTCTGCAATTCAAATGACAATCAGTAATTGCACATTTCTTACAATTTTAATTTTATATTTAACACGCAATTTTCAATTCTAGAATCAGTAATTTCGAAATAATTTTATATCAGCATATATTTCTCACTGTTTGTCATTTGAATTACAGAATTTTATTTATATGTTTAATGTCAGGAAATAATCTAGAAATATACTGACTTTGAAATGGACATAACTTCTACATTTAACAATTACTGTCCAAAATAATTATCAAGGAGTTGTATCAATTTTTTATATTTCTAGGGTTGCAATAAATTAGTCCAAATTTACTATTCGCATTTAAAAATGCCAACATTTTTATTTTAAATGTGATAATAGCATTTATTAATGGTGTTAGTCCACATGTTGTCTTATTTAAAATATTATCTTTCGAAAAATTTGTTATTCGTACCACAAAATTTAATAGTTCGAGAAACCTAATTATGAAATGTTACTAAAATTAGTAGTGCTCTTTAAATGTCGCTAAAAATCACTCTTCTCAGTTACAATTCATATGTAAATTTACCTCACAACAATAAAACTAATATTTAGGATTATAATTAACAATAAAAACATATCCTTTGTTTTATCCTGGCAGTACTTCAGCGGAAAAAGCTATTACTAGTTAAACCAACTTTGTTACGAAATCACGAAAATAATATAAAAATTACTACTACTAAACTAATACTAACATACTTTACTTAAATGTACATTAAATTAATATAAGGAATTCAAAATAGCCGACAGGCAAAAATTGAAACTGTTCACTTTCTGGTACTAGACTGATACACTACATCTTTTGAAAAGCTCAGAATACCTTCTTTTTAGCTAGACCTTGAAAAACAATGATTTTCATTTAAAAAATGAAACTTTGGTCTATAAGTCGGAAACTGTTATTTAAACAATAAGGACGCCACTGAAGTCTATGTGATAAATCAAATTATCAAAGCTTCAATGATCACCTAAAATATAAAAACTCTGATATCTTTGAATTTTTTAGAAGATTTAAATTAAGAATAATAGAGTAAATACAGACATCTGAGAGTAGAAAAATGTTTAAATTATTTTTTACCTATCTATTTTGCTATCTACTTTTTCAGAAAGAATGGCCGTTCTGAGGTATTCAATCATCAGAGGGTATGAACTTACCGAAAGAGAATCTAGTGGCCTGGAAATACCTATAGTAAGTAATGTTTAAATATATATAATAATTTCATTTATAATAAACAAATCGAATTTTATAAGACGTAATACTTAGCTAACTTTCCAGAATGTTTAATTATTCACCACAGATACGACTTATTTGGTATTTTTCCAGAATCTAAATTGTTACTCAGTTACCAATAGCGCAATTTTTCAAAAGTTAGTTAAAATTTGTTTTAGTGTAGCTTTTAGACGTCACTTTGCTATACGGACCAAATACCTCACGAACGCATTTGTTTTAGATACGTAACATACCATTACATTTAAAAATTACTTTTATCATCGTAGACTAAGCGATATGTAACATAATAGTAACACTGATTTTGAAAAATTATGATTTTCGATGCATAGCCTTGTTTAGAACATTTTTAGTGTACAAACTTTGTGAAAGTACATGTGTCTACGACATGTCGTAACAGTCTGCGACTAGTCTATGAAGACTTACAGTTTTTGTTTTGGAATTCCGGAAATTCCACAATTATTTTTTAGTCGCGACATTATACTATGTTGCTCTCCGTGTATCATTATCTATTTTTTTTTTTTAGGTTGATTACGAGGTCAGTCGCGGGATGATGAGGGCTATATATGAGTACTACCTTAAAAACCATACTGTCGAACATGTCAACTACCCTTATCCCTCGGATATAATATGTTTCCCTAGCGGATGCATCGAGATTGGTGACCCAGGAGTTCATCCATAGTGGCCACCGTTTATTTGTATTTAATATGATATGTGATGTCTTCGTACTCATTAAGTTCTAAATAAATGTATATAAACCTGTAGCTAATTATACATACCGTAAAATATTTCTGTATTAAATATAATGCTTGCAAGATGTTATATCAAATTTTAAGGAGTGTTTTTTCTGGACTATTTTATTAGAATATTCGATTGAATATTTTGTTATTACGTATTCTGAAGAGGAGACTAACTTATCGAAGTAATATATATATATTGTATGACTTCTTACCTAATGACTACTAAATATTTTGATGATAATATTTCCTTGGATTTAGAGAACTTACAAATATTTTATAATGACACTGTCATTGATAACAACACTAGAATCATAAATAAAACAAAGTTTTCACTGTACTTTCAGAAATATCCGTTAAAAATATAACAAATGCTATTTCTCGCCGTGCCATATGAGTAGTAAGTAGCTGCAAAGCGTGCTTAATGAATAATTACTATTTAATCTATTTCAGATAACCAGATACATGTTTTTTTACCGTCATAAAGCAATAGATTATATTAAGAAGGTAGATTATTATTCAATTTCTGTAACAATAAAAAAATACAGGATGAACGGAAAAACATAGATCCTATGGGTTATAAGGGACCTATGGGATTAAAACCAGTTTTTGTTTTATAATTCTGCAACCATTTTCAATGGAGATATGAAATTTGGTATTTTTCGAAATTACCAGTTATTTTCTGTTTTAATTATGATTTTAATGCCAATAGAGGGCGGCTAAAATTATTTACTAAAACTTTTTTAACAAGCCCCTTTCTAAATCCTCCCCAAAAATTTTGGTTTTGTCACATTCAGTACACTACTTATTTAAGAATAACTTTTTATGTGAAAAATTGAGAATTTTGAGAGTCTCAGATGTGTATCTTTAAACTAACAAGAGTAATAATTAAAAAAACTAAATAGCGAAATATCAGGAAAATTGCCTCTACAAAAGTTGTTTGGGTCAATGAGAATTTCCAAACAATATTTTAAATTTAAAAACCCATATCAATACTTGCTCTATTTTTTATTATTTGACAACTCTGCCTTTTATAACGCAATCCATAGTTTAGTTTGTATATTTGTTTTTTATTCTATTTCATTGATTTTTTTTCTATATTATAATCCCTTGAGACATTTAAAGACATTTTTTAGCTGCCTACCGGCATTTCTGTCGTGGTCACGATCACACAAGGTGCCAAGTACGGCGGCTGTTTGTTTTCATAGTTTATTTTAGGTATTACTGAAGGCGAGGGATTAGCAGATTCTCGAGATATATATTTATAATAAATACCTTAAAGCCGATACTAAATCAATCTTAAAGCTTCTCTGGCGCGGTAGACCTGCGAAAGATATGGATTTGAAAATTCTGCTCTTGGCGGTGGCGTTCTTCGTTTGTTCTAGTGCGGCCCCCGCGGTTATAGATGAGGACCGATTGTACCTGACCTCCGTTTTGGAGATGGTTCCGGAATCGGGTAAGTGGAAGAGGAGAATCATTTCTCTCTTATTGAGGTATACTGGGATTGAAACTGTGCACTATGCTCATAACAGTTTAAAAGGCCTTTAAAAATGTGTTTAATGTTTTTTTGCATATTTTCTGTTCATGGTAATCAAATTTAAGTCGATATTAATACATTTTGGACAAATTAAGTCTTCAAACAATAATTAAATATTAAAAAATTGCTTTTCTCTGGCATGTCATCTTCTAAAAGAGATATTTTAGTATTCTTTATTCTCCCTTTACTCTCTTAATAATAGAAACAATTTGCATTTGCAATGTTACAAAAAACTTGGATCTCAAATATTCGGAAGAAATAAATACTACCATTTTTGTTATCAAAGTAAAGCGCATTCCCATTCAGAGCTATTTTTAGTTAAACAAACACTGGTTTTAATATTATTTACAACAACAGCAGCAGCTACAGCCATTTAGGATGATAAATTTTCAGCGGCAATCAGTTGATACTCGTTTTAATAAGAGATCCACTTGATTATAGAAAGTATCCCATAAAATAGTGATCGTATATAGATTCCTGAGGTAAAAACAATTGAATAAAATTAAATAATTTAATTTGATCAACTTACCATAACCCAAAAATGCTTAGGTTAAAAGTTAAAAGGTCTTACTTTTAAATATCTAAGGTAACTGATTTAAATTTGGTAGTCGTAAGGGCGTTTCTAGTTTCTATCGATTGCCATGAAATATTTTGCTGGTAGAATTCAAGAGAAAATAATTATCTGCCCTGACATTTTAAACTTCTGTTTTTTTTGGGGAGCATCAAATTGAATTTTCTCTTTTTAATGCAATCTAGCAATGTTAAAAGAAGAATTTCTTGTGCGATATATATAGATAATACATAAATTTCTTAAATGATCACTGATGTATAGGGAATTAAATGATTGAAGTCGATTTTTTCTACATCCTTATAATATGTACCTAATTTATTTGAACCATATTAGTATCAAAAGTAAGGACTAAAGTAAGTTGACTCGAACTCAACTGATTTCGCCTTTGAACTCTATTTTTTAGGACGCCCTGTATAAATTAAATTGTCAAAACCAGCGCAGAAGCCAGTTTAAAGAGTTACTTTTACGTTAAATCTTTATATTTTTTATTTAATTAAAAATAAAAAAAGAATTCCGTTTTGTTATTTTTTTCTTAGGAAAATATTAAAACCTTTCAATTTGACGAAAAACAAATTCATCGAACTGTTGGAATGTATCGGTATCTGACAATTTTGATGGATTAGAAAACATCTTAAAACCTTTTCCTTTCTTACGTTAGCTCGTCGTTTGTCGACTTATCTATCCGTCATCTAAATCCGTCATCCTTACGCGATATAAAATACAAATACCTCCGCAAACATTAAAGGTATTGTTTTTTAAGCGGTTTTATTAAATTTTTGAAAGCTTGGCTGAGTACATAATATGATTGTTAAGGAGTAAAAGATTTCCAAAGAATAAAATTCACAATGAAAACAATGAGTTATCTAAAGAATTGGAGTTTCAAACGATAATTTTTCTTGATTTCAGAAAGGAAGCAATTTCTCGTTCACCAGTTATACAAAGGATATATTTTAAATCACCCAAAGGGTATAGTAAGTAATATTTGTAGAATAATTATTATGTCTAAAACAGCATATACATATAAAAATTAAAATACTTTTCGATATATAAAACATGGAACTATTACAATACCCATTAGTACTTTTTAAACATTTTTAAATGGTATGGCATATGCTTAAAGACAAATATAGATTAGAAAAAAAAACTATTAAATTGAAACAAGGAGAAACTATCCCATTTTTTTTTGTTGCAGGCAGTGACTGTGCCCGAAGAGACAACCCAAAGATTTTACGAGCTATTTTTGAGATATTTCGAAGTCGACCCAGTCGACAAAGAAGCACTCTCCCAGTTGTGTTTCCCAAGCGGTGAATGCGTAGATACCGACGATCCCGGCGTATATCCGTAGAATACTTTTAATGAATTTGAGACTGAGTAAAACTTTTCCGACGTGCTAATAAAAATTGTTAATGAAGTATGAATAACTGTATCTAAATTATTTTAGGATTAGTTAGTATTAGTGCCTCTAAAAATGTATCTCTAGAAATAATCTACATAAATTTTTATGCAGCAAACTAACCATTGCATATAATTTCCACAGGACTAAGGTTGGGCGAACCTGCTGGACGTACAATGCACTTTTTTAGTCTTAGCTAGAAATCTTTGTACGTGCTGATCTCGGGCTAGCCTTTGTGGAGGAGGACCCGCCATCAAATGTCCTTCAGGCCAGCCCGATAGATTTTTCAACGTGGCAGATGTACTGCATATCCATTGACAGGTTAATCCTTTTAGTAAATACTTACATCAAGAATTGAATGTTATCATCACATCAGGGATTAGTTGATAAACGTACGCAAGATAAAACGTATTTGTCAGTGTATTACGCATGTGTTTTTTGTGGCTTTTCAGTAAATGCATCTTCGATGATTTGTGTAATACTTATGTAATAGTTACTTTTAAAAATTCTAAGAAATTTTGAGGACAAAATATTTACTGGTGTTGCTATTTTATATCTTTTCCTTTTCCACCACTTAATTTTTACGTTCTCTAAATTATTTGTAAATATTTTTGGGAGGGTTTTTCCAACACAAATGAACAGATTGTAAAAATGAAAACAAATCTAAAACATTGTTAGTTTCGTTAGCAACAATTGACGTAAGTGAGTGTTGGGTTGCCGATGCCTAACAATTTGAAGACTGCTTTAACAAAATTTGGGTAGATTTCAGATAGGTTCAGTGCATTTTTGTAAGAGAGATTTGTTGTTTAACAAAAGTTAGGATTGATAATTAAAAATCACTACATTAAAAACGAATTTGATATATTACATTACATACAAACATTTAGGTACTTAGTCTAGGCAAATTATTTTGCAAAGTCAGGATCGGCCTCGAGGCGTTTTTGACATTGACAAAATGGGATGTTTTTAAAAGTTATATTTGAACTATAGGTTATATTTTCATTATAATATACTGTAGTTTTTGGCATCATTTGTATTAAATACTTATTTTAATTAATTATAGGTAGTAGGTATTTTTAAAAATTTATTGAACATGTGTTTATTCTTAACTTGATTGCTACGTATTTTATTTCGTGTTAACGAATTATCTATCTTCGTTTTGATGCATAACTGTTTAGTTATAAATAAAACAGATACATATAAATATTTTCTGTTTTCAACAAAAAGAAAAAAATTGAAATCTAGTATCGGTAGTAAGAAATACAGTAATTTCAAAGCGTTTTCATCATAATTAAGCACACTTAAAGTAAAGGTGTAATACAGTTTAATGTTTTCACCACACAATGACTAGACGAGGTATAATAAAAAAAAAATCTGGTAACTTAACCAAATGATCGCTCTGTAACCCAAATCACGTCAGCAGTAAATGTCAGTCTTTCGGCAAAGCGCTGTCGCTCTTTCCCCTGGCGTAGAGCCTGAGGTTGCTGGTCCTCGTACCCAACATCCTCTCCAACAGAGAATGCTTCGACTTCCTGCGGGCGGCCAAGACAGCCCTGCACAGTTCCTGGAACACCACGGCGACTGGCGCCACCATTTCAGCAGCCGCCACCTCGGAGAAGCCACACTCGAAGTTCCTGGCCAGGATGGCGCCCTCCTCAGCGCTCACTTCTCTCAAGTGCACCTGAAACGGGATATTGACTATTAACAACAAACTGTTTCATTAAATTGATTAAAAAATCAATACAGTTTCGAATCCCCGGAACTGAAAAATTTTCCGAATGTTACTGAATTCTTACTGGGAAATCTCAATACAAAACCAAAGTGCCACAGTCTATAAGTCAACCAGCACCAATATTTCAAAGATGGACAAAATTCGGGGAGACAAATTGTGACCTCTGTGGAGACATCAACGGATGTGATGGAACGTCTACCCTGATACTTTGTAGGTAGGAATCATATACTTATTTATTAAAAATGCATTTCATTTAAATTAAATTTGGATAGTCTTTAGATATAAATAGCAGCCAAATATAAAATAGTGTTATACTGTGGAATATTTAGAAACGTCATTTTCAAACCGCCATATTGGGACAAAATGAGGATAACAGTTGAGACACTTGGTCAATCTAGGTCTACAGACGGTAATTTTCAGTATTTGCAGATGCCTGTATAATCGAAACGTCATAGAAATATGCGGAGAAGATAAAAAAAGGTTACCTAAACTTACCATATCGTTTTTATTTGCTACAATGTAAACGGGAATGTCAGATTCAGCAATAACAGAACCCACTCTTTTAAGATAGGCGATGGAACGTCTGTCTATGATGGAGTATACCAAAAGCAGTCCATCTGCCCAATTTATAGTTTCTGATGAGGGAAGATCGTCTTCATTCTGCAATAGGAATAAATAAGTGCCTTAAATAATTGTTACTTTTTGTTAAGGGTACATTTCAGTTAATATCAAGCTGCATATTTTATTTTATTACGATTAAAATATATACTTTTTTCAGCGCATAACAAAGCAATACAGGTGTTCATGCGTATAATATTTTAGTTGGGAAAATACTTTACAAACCGATGTTTTCTGGCAAAGGTCCCAATAAGTAGGCATACACACGTGAAAAGTGCTATAAATTGAGTTTGACTGCACTGAAATAATCTTAAAAGAGCGAGTTTAGTTACGACATTGTAATTTTTCCCCACAATTAAGACAGTCACTTCTCAACATCACCATCAATATAGATTTTATCATCGACGCCCACGTAGGAATTGTAAATATGCCAATAATTAGTGTTCGTAATGTCAGTTATTTTTGAAAATTCAGCCGTTTCGAAATGTTCGGGATATTTTTAACTCGGCGAATAAAACAGGACAACAATCTCTTTATGCTTGATCTAAGTTTGCGTGTTTACGTTTTCCTTTTGTTTTTTTTTGCACTGGACACTTGATTAAATTGCAATGTTTCATACTTAATTTACTTAGCATGCTTTCATACCTAAATATACTTTTTAAAAAACTATTTAATTTTATACTAAGGTTGTTAATAATTTTCCTATCACCTTTTTAGATACTTATAAAATGACTCTTTATCCAGTGGTTCCTATTTCATCTGGAAGTATTTTGGTATTTGTTGTTGTAGGTCTACCGAAAACAATAATTTTAATGTCTACTTACGTAGCTACTCTGTACTTCAATTGCCCTATTTTGACCTCAGCTCAGGATTAATTGCTGCTATTTATCCAGCCTGTCTTTTTCTCCCATATTGTATGTTTTCCTTTAGGATTCAATATAGATCTAAATCGAGTTTTTAGGATAAATATTTATATAGGCATTTTTGCAATTCTTGCTCATGACTCACTTAGAAATCGGAGAGTCTTCTAAGCTCTGGTGATTTGTGCATTTTACGTTTTGTATTGAAAAATAAATGCTTCTACAAAGCTCGACTTTAAAAGTTTTAGTAATTTCCTCTAAAATATTTATGTGTTAGGTATCGACGTTTTTACTTTAACGGATCTAATTAATATACAAGAGACTAGACAAAAATCTGACCGATGATAAACCTTGATCCGCATTTTCACCAAATAATAAAAATTTATTGGGTCGTAAATGTTCGCAAATGTAAATAGATATTGATTTTAATTTTTACTGGAGTATTTTTCTTCGCCACGAAATGTAAACATTATGTAGAATCTGAGAGAAATTTATATTTTTTTCAGCCAGAAGTCTAGCGATGCAAATCGTAAAACGTGTTACCGAGAGAATTGAAAAAAATACATGTCCTTCGCACATCAGATCACTCAAATAAGATTTTTTTCTAAGTTTGCATGAAAGTGACATTTTAAATAACATTTTCATAAATCTTCTGTAACAAAAGTATTACCTACACAAAAAAAATCGTGTTAGCAATTTTTTTTGGTCCGAAATCTAATAACAGAATGACTTTTGGATATTCAAGAAGAATCAAACTTTATTAATACAAAAAGTGCAATACGATCTTTTGTCTATATTAATTTAGAGCATTCAGATGTCAACTTGTCTATAACGAAACTATAATTTAAAACGACGATTTAAACTTCAGACTTGTTTCGACTTGTAACCATCAATGTTACAGCAAAGAAAAGCCTCCAGTTGCAGTGATGTAGACGAGAGACAACTCGGTAAATATTTGGCGTTGTTTAGACCGACAGTGCAAATATTTTAGTAAGCGTGTTATATATTTAGTACACAGGTAATCACCACAAGCACCTGTTAATAGCTGTTAGAATTGAAACATGTGTTTATGCAATTTGTAAACGAGTTCTCGCACACCCAACATACCTTCGGACATGTGTCTAATATTTCGTAGAGCACGGGTTCGTTGTCCACGAGCACTTCGTGTTTATACCTAGTTTCTGAAACAAAATAAACGTTCCTGATTGTTTGGTATTCCTGATCGAAAAGCGGCGTCGGCTGGGTTAATTGCTTCTGAGGGCTATTTGCCGATTCACTTACTATTAAACTGTGTTTAACAAACAATTTGGGTTTTACTGGCGGATTTAAGTTACTTCCGCGTCTGTTTTTGTTACTGGGAAATTGTTGGCATTAAATAACCCGCTGTGCAAAAAATAAGGTGAATTTGTTTAAAAATATATTACATTTTTGCTTCCAGGTCACTCGGTGCTAAATCTGGCGAATACGGTGGTTGCGGAACGATATGAACGAGTTGAATTTTTTTAAATAATTAGTTTTTCACTCATCTTAAAGGTTTTCATTAATTTTTTTGTAACTTTTCAATTCATTTATACATTTTCGAACATCTCAACTTGTCTGGCATTTTGCTGAGGGCGGTGTAAATCGCATACCGTTGAAGTTCAGGGATTTTTAGTTGATAGTGCCAATCATGTAATGTTAGTTGCCTATGCTCGAGGGTCGCGAGACTTGTAATTATTTATGAATACGCGTATATTCCCCGAAGATGGTGCGTTAGAGGAATCCGCGGTAGCCTAATTCCTAGGGGTCAAGGGACCACTCTGGTGGCGACTACTACCTCGAGAAAAACCAGTGGAATGGACGGGAATCGACAAAATACCCCCAATTCTATTTTTACCAGATCTTTGAGAAATAACCCAGCTTTTCGCACAATAAATAATTAAGGTCGACGCGACAACCTTCAAGCTCGAGTTGAAACTTCGTGGATTTAAATTTAACCAGGAAAATATCCCAGCGGTCAAATTAACGTAAATAATAATAACACCACATAAACATTTCGTCTTCCTTTCGGTAAATAAATGAAATTTACAACGGAATTAAGAGTTTAAGTTGTTGTTCTTGCCAAGGCTCCGAGCAATAATTTAAGTCACATTCAATTCATGGCTCTTTACAACAGACTTTAAATTTTATAATTCCGCCCAATACTCATTAAGAATTTTGATTTTAAAGTTGAAACTTATGTACAAATAATTAGTAACGGTAAAAATGTCAGTCATTCGAGTTAAGTACGCCAATGGTACAAATGTAGTATTTCTTGCGTTACATTGGTTTTTGGCGATTTGTTATCACTTTCGTAAAAAAAAACACAATTGTAAAAAACAGAAATGAATGCTATACACACACAATGAACGTAAAATTAGTGGATTCCAAATTATTTTCTAGTATTATTTGGAAGCGTTGGTTGGTAGTTTATTTAATTGTGTTTTTGAAAATTAAACACTATGGTTTATTCCATTGCGGAAAGGGTAGATATCATTTCGCTTTACTTTATGAACAATAAATGTGCGAATAGAACAGCTCAGCTATTTAATGAACAACATCAAGATCGACATGTCAGGAGGAAGTATGTTCTAGAGTTAGTAAAAAAATTTCAAGAGACAGGGAACGTAGCCAATAAAAAACGAGAAATTGAAAAACCTATAGTTAATAAAGCTATAGTGAAGTTGCAGTTTTGCGACAAGTTCATCTTGATCCTACATTAAGTACGAGGCAGCTGGCATCTGTGTCTGGGATCAATCAAACTAGCATACAAACCATTTTGAAGAAGAATAGATTCCATCCATACAAAATACATTTAGTCCAGGAACTTCGTGAGGATGATTATGACCGCCGTTTGCAATTTTGCGAAATAATGAGTGAGCGAGCAGGGAACGATCCACAGTTCCTTTTTAACATCTGTTTTTCTGATGAATGCAGTTTTTTCTTGAACGGGACGGTAAATCGTCACAATTGCCGCTATTGGTCCGATTCAAACCCAAGAGTTTTTCACGAGGTGCATACACAGCAACCGGAAAAATTAAATGTATGGGCTGGAATTTTCGGTGACCGGCTGGTGGGTCCTTTTTTTCTACCTGGTAATTTGACTGGCCAAATGTATTTGCAATTACTGGAAGACGCTATTGACCCTGCCTTGACTGATATTATTGAAAATGTTCCAGAGTATGATGAAGATCATTTGATTTTTCAACAGGACGGTGCTCCTCCGCATTATGCGTTAATTGTCCGTCAGTATTTGGACCAACGTTTTCTACGGAATTGGATTGGGAGAAGAGGCAGCATTGAGTGGCCTCCACGATCACCGGATTTATCGCCCCTTGATTTCTTTTTGTGGGGATACCTAAAAAGTAAAATCTATAAAACACAGCCAGCGTCGCTGGAAGATTTGCGTCAAAGAATCGTCGACGAATGCCGTCGAATCACTCCGGAAATGCTTCGGAATGTGCGCGAACGTTTCGAACAAAATCTTTATTCTTGTATGGAAGCGGGCGGTCATCAGTTTGAACATTTAATCAACTAAGTAGTAAGTAAGCAACTAAACATAATTTAAATTTTAAAATGTAAATTTTTTTCAAAGTATTGGGCGGAATTATAAAATTTAAAGTCTGTTGTAAAGAGAATTGTAAGAGCTTTCAAAAGAAATATTACTCAACCCCCAATGCCATTTAAATATTTTGGGGTGATGCTTACCCTTGCTTGGGGGTGAAAGTGGCGGAGTCAAAAATACCAGCAAAGAATGTCCCCCTTTAATCTAAAATCGACGGGTCTGAGCGTTTTTCTACAATCTTGACGCAGTTCCTGAAAATGGCTCTGTTTCGTTTTCATTTGGACACCCTGTATATACGCAATGCGTACACTTACCCACTGTCTACGGTTACATAAAAGTGGACTTTTATTTCTTCTAAAATTTAGATTTATTTTACTCAAATCTATATGTATTTCCAAATACTTGTTTATATCTACTTCATTACTGACAGTTTTGTGTATTCCTACGAATGTGTAGGTACTACTTTTTCAACATTGAATCATACGATTAAATATTTAAGTGAATACTTTTAAGTGGTATAATATTTATTGGTGGGATTTCCTCATGTCTAATAAATATGTCGAAAATAATGCTTTTGAGAACAGTAACAGATCGGAAATTCTCTGTAGTGAAAACCCAGACGAGCTTCATAAATGTTTTTCATTCGTTTACAACGCAGAAACTTGCATAATTACCAATTCTATTCTTTGATTGGAACTTGGAGAGAATTTTAAATTACGTTCTATTTCTATACATATTTTCTTAACCTTAATACATAAATGGGAGTCTAGACAAATAAAGAAAAATATGACAACGATAAAATATTTATTTTTAAGCAGGACTTTATACTAAAGAAATATTTACCGCTTTTATTTTCGGGAGTCACAATACCTCGATCAGTTGGCCTACATTGCAAATTTTATTTTTATTTCTCGTCGATTCGAATTAAAATATACGCAGTTAGTTTAAGTGGCCTTGATATAGAAAAACTTATTGTTCTCTTAACGCAAAAATAGATATATTTTCATAAAAAATTGTTTGGGAGTAATAGTATGTGGAAAAGAATTAAAAAATTAGCTCTAAATTCTATAAACCTCCAAAATATTTAAATTCTAGAAAAGTTGCTTCTAAGTTCTAAAGAATTTGGAAAGTGGAGATTTGAAAAAATTAACAATTGCCACACGAAGTCATTCTAAGTCATGAAAGCTTTGATCTTAAGAATAAATATTTTCAGTCTAAAGTGTAATTTTAAGTTCAAGTCCAAATTAAGGCCGTCAATATTTACAGTATCTGGAACTACTCAAACATATCAGAAAATATAGCTAGTAAGAAAAATAAACATTATCGTGTATGAAAGATGAAATATTTTCGAAAAGTCTAATAACTAGGTAGCACAAACACTTCCTACTTAAAAAAAATATATTCAAATGCTATCCAAATTCAACCAAGTCAAAGATTATGATACATGTGATGATCAGAGAGCGGACAATTTGTGACTTTAACCTTGAACATAGATATGTCATTCATAAACCTAGATACATTACCCATGACGCAGTGGCGTGTCGGGTATGCACCGGAAATTTACGTGATAATTCACGAAAATTCCACGGTACATACATTTTTAGGCGTTGTAAAATATTTAGAAAATCAGAAATTATATACTACATATTTATTAAATAAAGTTCGGTTAAAAATAGTGTCGTTCTTTTAATTGGAAATTAGGAGTCAATGTAACGAATAGCCTCAGGCGACGCACATGATAGAATAGTCCAATTCACGCTCCATTCATAACAGGGCTGCAGTTTGAATTCTGACCAATAGGAATTCGATAAACGCAACCGATGTCGACGGAAGGACTAGAGATGGGCGCGAGTGTCATTTCATTTCTTTAGAACTAAATTAACTTAATTATTTTCTCGTTATTTAACCTGTTCACATGATTTATGGATTTTAAATAAATGGTACAAATCTTCGCGAGAATAATACGATATATTTGCTATACATAATAATTATATTTTGCATAGTTTATACACAATACATTTTTGAACGCGTACACATCTCTACGAAAATTTGACGTATTCTTCGGGTTAAAGTCACACATTGTCCGATCTCTAGTGATGATATACTACACAAAAATGGATTTTCAACTTTGGTATTATTTTATTTAAGTAGAAATTCATTATAGAGGCTGAAAAATAAATTCGAGATATTTTAGCTCCCAAGAAAATGGGGGAAGTTCGCTAAATAACACGAATTCGATCGATCTGTATATTGCGAACACAATAAACAGTTCGCCCGTGACTCGGACTTACCCGCTTGATGGTCATATTCGCCAATGTACCTTCTGGTGAGGAACCTGACCGAGAGCGCTGAAAATAAAAAAAATACATTGTTTGTGGTTCCCAAAACGCCTCGGTTAATTTAAAACCACTAAAGCAGTCAGAACGTGCTGTTCCGGGCAATTTGCTTCGGTATTTAATATTTTTCTGCTCGGTTTTATGGCATGTTTGCAATTTCCAAGCTATTACTAACACATTTCAGACGTATGATACACGCTTGTGCTTATGTAGAGCAAAGTGCTAAGCGTTTCATTGTAGAAGGGTTCGTTTACTTTAGTATTTAAGATCAATTTGAAATTACCCTATGTTTTATGATAACGCTCTTGATTTAAACCGGAAGGTGTTCTATGTTTGCAACTGCATTTCATCAAACGATTAGAGCCGCGTATTAAAATAAATGTTATAGCCAACTTACTAGGAAAATCTAAAACTAAAACACGATTTTGCAGTTTTGTTGCATTACAAGAAGTATGAAAATAATCAATAGAGTAGTTTTAGCGAGTCAAAATATAATTTGCTTCTTTCAGCACCGTAGTTTATAAATAAAATCCAATTTGTTGTTTGAGCGGCTTATACCTGTTTTACATTGGCAATTTATTGATCAATTAATTCATGAAGTCGCTTCATCGAGAAATTGGACAAATGTAATGCACCAAATCTGCTGTCAAATAACTTCATGAATGTATTCATCAAGTTCTTGACGAATTAGAGCATGTTCTAATTTTCGTCAATTTTTTCGTGAAGTTCGGAAGTACCAACCCAACAGATTTCCAACCTCAGATCAGTAACGAGGTTATGTTATTGGAATATGTAAATAATTGTGTGGCGTCGTACTAGTTTTGCATTGTTTTTACTGATTTGTTACTTACAAACACTAATATTTATATAATATGTGTCAAAACGGTACCGCTGTTAAATCACTACAATTATGAGTGGAAAGGTGACATTTTTGAAATTTATTTGCTTCTTTGATTCGCTGGTAGAACTGATTCCTGCGTCAAAAAACTGGACAAGGTCTGTAGCAGTGTAAAACGACACTGTTTACCATTAAATTCGTGAATTAATTCATGAAGAACTTCGTCAATTTATTCATTAATAAATTGTCAATGTAAAGCAGCTTTTAGCAATGTGATTTTTACTAATTCATCTATTTAAGTACTACCAACGTTTCAAAGTAAATTGAATTTGTTTAAAAATTACAAAAATTACTTCTAGCGATTTGTAAGCATTAAAATGAATTAAATTCCTAAGCTATAAAAAGGGTGTAACAAGTCTTACTTGAAATGTATCATATTGTATATACATTCAAATACCATTGCCTTTAAGTTGGCGTTTATTTCCAATGATAAAACAACAAAGGAAAAAATCCTGAAACGCTGAAAATTGACATTTGAAACTTGTATGCTTGTATAATTCCACATTCCACAGGTTTATCTAACAGAGCAAACCGTCACTCACCTACAGACATTTTAGACAAATCGATGTCGATGACAAACGGATTTTTTTCATATTGTTGTACCAATCCAAGTAATAAGAATTCAGTTTCAGTATTCTATTTGATACTAAGTGACAACAGATAAGTTATTTTATCTAAAACTGAGCTATGTTTAATACAAACATTCATAATTTCATTGACGACATACATATTAGTTATTATGAAATTATTTATTTTAATTTCGAAATACTGATCGAGTTTTTCGAATATTTACTTTTACGTATATATGTTTTGGGTCAAACAATGAGACCAATGAAGTTTTTTTTGTATATTTTCCGTACAACTGAATGGTGTAATCAGTTTTTGATTTTTTTAAATGTAAACAAATTATCAATAATAACTGAAAAATTCATTGTTGCAAGTAATTTTTAATTTTTTTGCATTTTTGAGCATGTTTTTGAACTATTACAGATTTTTTTTATTTCACCAAAAAGTATACGTCAAAACGAAAAAAAATGATTACCGGCAGAACTCTGTACAATGATTTTTTAAAGTAGAATTTTTCTTTGAAAAAAAGTGTTTCAAGCTGAAAAAAATTAATATCTCAGAAACTTCTTGATTTTTTTATCTAAAAAAATTTGAGGTTATTTAAGACAGAGAAAGGTATACTTTCACAAAGTTTCGTCAAAATTAAATTATTTTTGCAGAAATAAGAAATAAAAATCGAAAAATCAGAAAAAAACTGTTTTTCGCATTTTTCTCGGAAATTTTGAGGTTATGTTAAAAAGTGAACTCTACAAAAGTTGTAGATTTTTGAATGATCTACAACTTTTGTATTGGATACTTTTTTGTTTGACGTCAACTTTCGCCAGAAATCCCAATAATACAATTTTTCATAACTTTTCAACCCCTCAAATCAACCCTCCGCCGCTCCTGCTCACGCATTTATTTTTTTTAGGTTTATTATAAGCCCTTTTACCATTTCCACTTATAAAAGTCCAGGTAACAATTTGTTTTTTCTCCAAGTGTAATTTGGTTGGATTATATACACATTTAGTCACATTACATCACTAGATATTTCCACATGCCACTTTTCTGGCAAAAGCAGCTTAGCTGAATGGCCTAAAATTTTTTTTTGACTGAAAATATGAAACATCGGCTTCAACTCATTAAAATGATAATTATGGGAAAGAGAATGACAATAATATAGTAGCTAAAAACACTTTTAACGTAAAAAAATTGTATAATTTTCGAGGTTGAGTGGTTAATCTAAAAATACCAGAAGAAAGTTGGCTTGCGTCTCCGTACAACTGTACAAATAAAACAATGAAAGCGTCAGTAAATGGTGAATCACCCATAAATCCGTTTGAAATGTGTGAGTTCTGAGTACATAATGATCAAATATAATATATGTTTTACAATTCCAACAATGCTGTTATCCGTGAAAACTTAATTCATTGTTGTTTATTTTCATTGCAATGAATCGCTACTATTAAATATGATGATAATAAATTTTTCGAGGCGGTTTCAGCGTCTGCAGTAAAATTTGTAAAGATCTCCAACATTTTAAAGTAATTAAAGATTTTCAGTGTTTTCACTACCTTTTTTTTCACTGCAGAACACTATATTTACAGATTTAACAATGCCAAATCATCTTGAATCTAGAACTAGAATTATGTTAAACAGTATGATGTTTTATGGACTACACTTTGTATCAAAATCTTTTTTTTTTTTTGGGGTAATTCCTCATACTTTGAAGATGATCCTCGACCAGAAAGGCCTTTGACTTCAACTGATGATTCCAACGTTCTGAAAGTCAAAGATATGGTGCGTGCAAATTGCCGATTGGCTGTCACAGAAATTGAGGAAGAGGTTAGCATTTCATTTGGATAATGCCATGAAATTTTGACTGAAAAACATGTATCGAGTTGCAGCAAACAATCCAATGACGATGAAACATTCATTCAAAGGATCACAACGCGAGACGAAAACTGGATTTACGGCTACGACATTGAGACATGTGATGATAATAGTTTTTTTACTTATCGATTTATTTTCTGGAATCGTTCGCTCAAATTTAAACAAAGAAATTGTTGGCCGAGGTCACTAGCATTTTAAAAGATTCTTGACCCACTTATGAGCCGATTTCGGGCGACAGAAAAAATATGATAGTAGCGCGTCGACAGGTGATGACGCTTTTTACAATCTCCCGCGTGGTCGTAAACATCCACTGTCGGCGAACCTCTGAGATTTTATTTATCACCGTTATTGATTTCCAAATTGTGACAGGAACACTGTTTTGCCCGTCTATTTTCATGCAGAGTGGTTCGGGATGGGTCAATATTTATATGCACACAGCCATACCTCCAGGAAAAAGTGTGTTAGTAGGTCTAGTATACCGCGTTAAAATTAAATCGAAGTAGTAAGAGCAAGAAGTTCTGGTTTTAGAACTGGATTAATCGGAAACCTTTTAGTACCGGAGCTATTGCCACATTGTTTATTTATGCAGTTTAATGATGTAGCAGGGAGGCATCGCGAGAAATTAAAAATGTACTTGTTACGTCGTTATATGTTTGCATATTTCTTCAAAATCATATTTTTTACATTTATACTCATCGTAGTTAGTGGATTAGCAAAAATTTAGATCCTTTTTTTTTCAATAATTTGGTCGTTTCATTTGGGCCTTCCTTACATCGAAAATTCCACGTAATTTGCGCACACTCTCAGCTACACACTCTCCGTGCTTGTAATGAATTTTCACAATCTTCACTCGTATAGTACTCTATTTTGTCTAAACGGGACATCCGTTATTTAGAGTGTTAATTGTTTCCGGAAAGTGTAAACAGAAGTTTTAATAACTTATTTACAGATGGAGGAAGATATGATGGCGTGCCTGTTCATAAAACTACCATTATTTGACGTGAATTATTTTGTTTTCCACCTATGTTGTCAGCCCAGTTGATTATGTCATATATTAATGATATGTTTCTGAAATAAAACATTTAATTTGTCAAAAACGACATTCGTAACTTCTATTTCGAATCTGTTTTCGTAATCAAAGACGTATTTGTATATTTACTACTGTAAATACTAGATACATTTGCACAAATTATCTAAAAACAGGTATCTAGGTACAGTCTTTCCGATATCAATTGGAGAACCAAGAGGATGACAGTATGTTCGGTCGCTGACGCAGCAACTCGACATTGAAATATTTGAAAAACTTGTTCCCATATTTATTTAGCCATACCCATATACAAGTATGGAGAATGCGAGCACGGGCAAACGAAATACAAATACAGTTGCATTGGTCCACTGGGTAATAAATCTCAGCCATTGACAAGTGGTTGACAAATTGCCCAACAGTGCAGTGCAGCAATGCGGAATCTGGTGCGATGCTGGTAATTTTAATTTATTATAGGCACCGTCTATTAATCATTGATATTACAATTGCGAAAGGAAGAAATAATATTGTTACCACATGGCATTTTGGAGACCTTTTGAAACGGAACAAAACGAAATTTACCATCAATAATATAAAATTGTTTGAGGACATAAATAATTAAAATATGTTGTTGGCCAAATGAACATTTAATAGAAATTTTCTGCACATATATACAAATTATTATAATTTTTTACCTTCATCACAAAACTTTTTTAGGGACGCCTATGAATCTCATTAAATTTTATTGCTGGGCGTTTTTTTACATGTTCAACTGACTTCGGAAAGACTATAACGAATTTGAATTAATTAGTTTCTAGGTATTAGGAGATATTTTAAACTTTTAGAAAAGTGATAGACCTCATCTCAAATACTACTACTAACTATTTAGTATTTGTACATAACAATAATAATTGTATTCTATTTAGATTTGTTATAGATTCGTTTCGATTAAATCGCAATAAATATATTTAGATTTTAAATGACGCGTGAATGTAAACTTACATTTCTATTGACTTGTGAAAGATAGTAAAATGTTAAATGTGTATACATATGTTTAGTTCATGAAAGTAACTCTTCCAAAATAAAAATTAATAAAAACAAGCACTGACTTTTTAATGGAAAGAAGATGTTATAAGGTTTATTTCTAGCAATCCACGAATATTTTTAATGAAATAAATATGCTACGCACCAAGCAAATACATGTATACTGAAATAGCTAATACAAAATTTGATTCTCGTATAAGCCTCTATTATATGCATACATTACAATTTTTAAGGCAGCGCATTGGATAGAAAATAAATATATTTATCAATGTACCCACAACATAGTTATAGTCTTCCAATAATGCCACTATATGCCAACTATGCCTAGCACTGCGTTGTTTATTCCCTGCCGTATTAATCGAAATAAACACATTTTTTCACTATTTGGATCCACCAAGGTAACCTTAATGACTGTAAAAAACGTAGATAAATATTTACCAGAATGATTTGTCTGTGAGTGTTATTGTTAAAACTCATTAAAACCTATTTACAGTGCTTTTATGAACGAGATATGCCATTGAGCTAGGCCGTTCGGTTTTGCGTAACTGTGAAAGTCTCGTTTGCTTGTTTTCATTCATTTGAATTTAGGAGGGTGGTGATGGAAGGTGTATCTATTTCACTAATAAAACTTCAGTGTTTTCTTTATGTCAAAATAAAGATACCCACAAATATTTGTTGGAAAGTTTGTACTGAAGCTTCTCTACCTAATGAAAATTACCTATTCAATACGTCAAAGTGGTTTTGTTTTGTAATTGCCATTGTAATAGTTAAACAATTATGTGTCATCAGATACAGTAATGATCGACAAGAAAGATCACGTATGATGTCATTAATAAAAGTATTGAACGGATGGGGGCCAAGTACAGAACCCTGAGGTACTCCCACACTCGTTTTTGCCACAACAGAATTGAAACCACGGTAATGCACTGATAAGCGCCTATTAAATAAATAAAGTCTTTAAAAAATTGTATTCTGTCCAGAAATGGACCATTTATGCCAAAAAATCGTGGTCCAGTCTGTCAAAAGCAGTATGAGTTTAGCACAAATAAACCATTTATATCAATTTTTATAAAATAACTAATACTAGGCACATCTCCTAGGCGTTTATTTGTGAAAATTTTCCTTAGATTTAGACCCGATGTTTATTTTCGAAAAACAATGACATATTTCGGGACCTTGAAATTAAAAATAATGTAAACTTGGGATATTTTGGGTGACAAGATATGTAAATAATGATGTGTTAAAATACCTCATTTGACAAGAATGTCGAGGACTAAGCGCCGGATCGCTTTTCGATGAGAAAAATGTTCCTTTTATCTATTTCGGGGTTAACAAACAGAAGGCAAAGGCGAATAATTAATTTTAAGAGAGTATCATTCCGGTCTATTTTTATTTCGGAAAATTCCCCTTATTAAATATTTTCATAAAACAACCGAAGTTCGGTAATAAAGATCTCGCTTTTAACGCTTCATGAGTACAATAAAATTTTTGAAAGTTAAATATTTATATAAATTCATTTTTCATTTAAGAACGTATTATTTTATCCACAGATGTTCGGACACTCAGCTATAAAATATTACTGTATATTTTGCTCCTTTTCGATGTTTCCGCTGAAAAAAGTTTGGAAATTCAGCATCAAATTTCGATGCTGTGCAGATTTCTAAAGGTTTAAATGTAATATACGTATATGCCCTTGTCTACCCCAGCCAGCCGCGATTATAACAGTTGCATCCGGTTCAGAAGATCTATTTTTGTAACACGTTTCCTGTAGCTAGCTCGCAAACCATTAGGAAAAGCAAATAATTAACCCTGTAATTTTATTTATTTATTCGTGGCTTTCGTGTCAGAAGAATTTTCAATTTTCATGAAAAAAAAAAAAAACAATGAAGCAGATTTCTAGCAGTGAGTGGAGATTTATATTGTGTACTAGATTATTTCATTAATTAAATATAATAATAATATTTTTTCGTATTTTGACTGATGATATGCTATTTTACTAAATTCAAAATCGTTTACTAAAGTGACACTAAACCACATGAAATGTCACTTTAGAATATGATAGAAAATTGTTTGTTTAAATATTGCAAACATTGTTATATACATATATTAACAGTACAATTATTCAAATTTGAAAACTTAATAACACGAAATTTATTCAATTCTACTATTTCTATTTGTTCTTCCTGAAAACTATTATGATTCTCTATCTGCCTGATTCCTCAATGATCTGGAGGTGCCACTAGTTCATCCTGATGAAATATACTTTTTGAAATTTTCAACTTATCGACGATGCTTTCCTCTACAGTGTAGGAAAGTACCGATGGTCTATCAGAAGTTACGTGAGAGCGATAAAGTAAGCCATAGAAATCCATGTGATAGACAAGGATGGCTATAATGAAGGCGTCTAATACTCAACGCCCATTTCGCCCTTCCACAAATAAGAAGTGGATCTTATTAAGAAATTTTTAAAATCAACTCTGACTAATCCTTTTGGCACAAAAAATGTCTCAAATTAAAATAGTAACGAAAAATACCATAATAATTATGGAAAATATATTTAACCCCTTCTGAAATGTGTAACAATTTAAAATTTGACATAATGTAACGTAAAAGTTTATTAAAAGCATGAAAACAAACCCCAACTGATTCTTGTGTGGTTTATTTAATCGTTTTTATTTTTTTTTAAAATTCGCAGAAAAAAAAAACAAAAAAAAAAAAATGGGAAAACTATAAACAATTTACGTTACGTACCGCTCTTTCCAACACCAGGGGAACCGATAACAGCCACCTTCACCTCCGATAGAGACGACTTCTTCCTCCGCATGCCTTTGCCGTTCATATTCACAGTTTCGAAATCAGACGGTTCGGCGTACACGCGTCTACTGCGGTATCTCGTCGCTCGGTCGGATACTGGTAATGCCGCCGTTTCTAAAATTATCCGAAGAATTAGACGCACAGCGGACGCACCGACTTGGAAGTGTGTGCGAAGACAGATCCGCTCTTTTAACGCGTTAACGAAATTTTCGACAGCAAATCAACAAAGGAATCCTTGCAGGTACGTAGCGAGTGCTTTCAGCGTCTTTGAAACGATTGAATGGGCTTATTTAGCATGTTCTTTTATAGGCTATTGTTTATAGGATTTGATTTTAAAAGGAACTATGATTCTAGTTTGCTGTACAAAAAAACTAGATGGGATTCCGTTCAAAATGATGCGTTTTCAAAAGTTTTTGGATTAATATTGGTCAAACTTAAATATCTTTTAGATTTTCGTCGTTTTTAACATAATAATGATTATAATTCTTATTATTTTTACAACAAATTGGTTCTTTACTTAGTAACAAAAGTTTTATTTGCTAATAATAAATAAAGATTATCCCAACTTAGAGTAAAAAAAGTAAAAATAAAAACAAAAAATCTTATTTTTTGCTTTTTTAAAATTGTTTATTAACGATTATTTGCATAAAATTTTCCTTTTAAATTTTTTAAATAAGTCATTTCGATGGGAAATTCAATTCTCTAAATAATTTTTCCTATGAACTATAGCGAAATTATGCTTCGTTTTCAGGCTACAATTAAAAAACTGAAAGGGGTGCATTTTCACCCCTACCTCCAATTTCCACCCTCTAATTTAATAGCACTCCGCGGTTTTTTCATCTAAAATAACCCTTTGAACGATTCTTGCAATAAAATTGCTTGAACGTCATAGTTTTAATCCTGTTTTTTGGATATAATCAATAGCCTATTAATGCATGTTCAGGGAGTAGACATCGGAGTTTGCTGATGTGCAAAAATCATATTTTTTTTCAGTAATTGCGCACTCAAAGTAATTAAAGACCATGTAGAGCGGGAAAACGCACCGAAGCCTTTTCAAATACCTTTGATTTATTCACACATTTTTTTAGTACTTAACAAATTTACCGTTAGCGAAAAATCATCACAAGTATCATATCATTAAAGTTTCCAAAAACAAAAATCAGTATAGATCTGCACGTAAAAAATGTATTATGTGGTGAGTAGAGCATGTAAATAAAGAGTCAAAATTGTAAATATTATTGAAACAATTAAATAAACAGACAGTAAATTGTTCTGTGAAAATTCCACACACATTCACGATTCCATCTGCTTCAACATTTCTCAGACGCTCTTAATGAACAAAGTGTCCGACTTGTATAAACTCATTAGAGATATTTTTGAAATCGTATCGATTTTTTTGTTCTTATTAATGGACATGTGAAAATACGTATTTCTTAAAATATGAAACTGATGATTTACAGACTCATAAATAACCGACCTTTATACGAATGTTTGTTTCTGCAAGGAAAAACTTCATTTAATAAAAATTCGTAAGAGGGCATGGTTTCATTAAAAAATGAATTACTAAAGAATTTTTTTAATCTATGGAGTTAAAGTGCCTAGTTGTTAGCTACGGTTAGTAATTAAACTGCCAAAATTTATAAATACACTTTAAGAAAAATATTTGAAATTTCAGCTCCGTTTATTTTTGTCCAAGTCTTTTAACACTCTGTGCAGATTATTTTGATGAGGCCAAATTATCATAAATATTTACCAGTCTTGATCACACTGATGCATAAAGCTTTATGTTGAAATTATATTTTCAAAAAATGATAAGACTAGACAGTTTTTAAAATCAACTGGATATTGCACAAAAAAAACAGAATCAGTATTCAAAGATTGGATGTAAGCTTTTCTTATTGGAAATTGCCCATACAAATCTGTGAAAAAAATCAGTAACAGTAAACAACTTTTTTTGACGATCACTTTTTTTTTTCAGGTTTTAAGTAGTCTCGAAGTCGACGATTTTAAATAAAAAGAATCCCATGGAGACTACACAAGGAGCACGAGCTCCTTGTAAACAGATATCTTACCAAATTAGAGGGCGCTAGTGTCCCATATGTACCGAATGGTAGAAGGGAGATAAAGAAAGTGGTAGTTTGAATTAAAAATCAATCATGTCGTTTTTGTGATGCATTAAAAATTTTAAAATAAATAATGTAGGCTACTTTGAATTAGATAAATAAATCAATAAAAGTAATTTCTACTATTACACTGACTTTTGTCAATTTTCCCGTATGAGTTCGTGCTCCTTGTCTAGTCTCCCTGGCTTATACAATCAATGGCAACGTCAAACAACGATTTTTTTTTGATAAAGCATGACAGCTAGTTGACAATTAAAGATTTTGATGTACCCAAAATTTTCTGTATCAAAAAATGAATAGATTTCAGAAAGACGATAAAGAAGACGAAAAGCAATCCCTGAAACACGTCGTAGACCATGTTATAGATTACATATCGTCCTCCAAGTCAACAGTGCAAATTCTAAGCGACAGGCGGGTAACTAATGACGAAAAAAAAGCGAAAGCCATGAAGCAGAACACAAAGGATATTATTAGAAGGAAAATCATAAGAGGTATGGACAATATAACGTTGTCATTGTCTTGATTTCTATGCTATGCGTTTCTTTTAGAGTTTTTAAGGGGTGACAAAAACGACAGTAACAAGCTCACCCAACTACACGTTAATGAATCATTTAAAGAGAGAACTGACTCAAAAGTCAAATGTTCCGCTGCTTTCACAGAAGAGCAATTCAAAAATTGCAACGAGTCTGCAAAACAACGACGTCCGTCGATGAGTTTTTTGGACGAACAGTACAACTTAACGAAACAAGCCATCGCTAGAAGGTATCGACCACAGATGAAAATCAATTCCGTATCAACGAAAAGCAATATAATGAGAGGTTGGTACTACATAACAGATATTTAAGGCGATTAATTAATGTTTACTTTACTTTCTGCTTTATTTGGAACTTCACTGATTAATTACTGGCATTTTTAATGAAATAATGCAATTGTCATAAAACAGCCTATTTTTTTAATCTTTACTGCTATTTTTGATTTTTAGATTATTTTGATGAACCATATGACCGAGATTACCACAGAATTACTAATGTAGTTTCCGAGAGGATACCTGTACACGAAGTTAAGAAAAAACATACTAAGAAATGCGACAAGAACTTACCTACTACAACTGGAAAGTCATCGAATCAAAAAACTTACGTACTCTATGAAAAATATTAGTATGGCAGAAAGATGAAAGAAATATACTTTTTAAAACAGCAGGGGTATATTCTTTATGTGTCTAAATATTGGCTAAAGAGTAAATATCCTCATTAATGAATTATAACACAATTAGTACAATTAATGTCTCTAAATTCGATAAATACGAGGTGTTGCAATATGTACAAATTCTGAAGGGCTTAGGTTCGATAAATACTCTGTATTTAAAGTATTTGAAAAATTTAAAACAAATCTGTTTAGTAAATCTAAAGCGGAAAAGGATATCTATATAATATGCGGTGGTCTAATGGGAATCTTGGCTTTATCGATTGTGGAGCGTCAGTAAATAAACCAAAATATTATACAAACTATCAAGGTAAATATATACGACACGTATATACACGTATATGTTTTCAGCCAGGAAAATTGAATAATTTCAGTTATTTCGAATTTTCACCAGCCTATATATGTATATCATGCAATAAGAGAAAATAGAGGATATATCTTCGAAATATAACTGTTGATTGTTTTCCATAATATAATTTATTATATTTTCCATAATTTCCATATACCGCGAGCGGCAAAAGTATGGAATATTTTTATTTAAAAATCAGATGTTCGTTATTTGAAAAATCGCCCGGACCCGTCGAATTATATTTTTAGTTGCGCATTTTCCGAAACAATTTTCATTTATACAGGGTGGCCCAAAGAAAAGTTATGAAATCAAGGTCAACTTTTTTAAATGGAAATCCCACCTTTTTGTATTTTTATTCATGGAATTCTGATAATTTTTTATGTAACATAACCTATACCTCTCTTTTTGAGATAATGGCGTCTGAATATAGAATATGGAAAATTTTCAAAAATTATATATATCCATTCATATTTTTGCAATTTTTTGTTAAACCTAAAGGAAAAATATGTTAAATTTCTTAATCTTAAAGACAAATACATTCTAGTAAATATTTCTTTTAATAAACAATTCACTTTATTTTATTTTTAGTTTCTTGAATATCAACCAGGTAATTAATAAAATTTGTCAATTGTAGCGACAGTCACGGATCACCGAAAATTAACGTCAGACTTTCAACGTCCTGTCATTGTGACACATGATGATTCGCATCACAAAATTCAAGTGAAATTTCAGTTTAGTGAATAGTTTAAGTCCTAAATGAGTAGAAGTCGCCAGAAAAATGTTCGCGAACCAAGTGAGGTTGAAGCATGGAAATTGATGATGAACAGCATGTTAGAGTTCGTAGTTGCGTCAACGAAACTGATGGAAACCATCACCAACCGCGCAGGGGTGACCCCTGCCCCCAGCTCGGAAGACGATGTCTGCGAAGGGGCCTGCGCTGCTAACGAGGTGGCGAAAGAGACGCAGACTGCTATTGCTCCCGATCCTGGTACTGATCCTGCTGCCGCACCCGATCCCGATCCTGCCGCCACTCCTGCTCCCGATCCTGCCGCTACTTCTGCTCCCGATCCTGCCGCCGCACCTGTTCCCGATCCTGCAGCCGCTCCTGTTACCGATCCTGGAGCCGCTCCGACTCTCGATTCTGCTGCCGATCCTGCTGCTGCTCCGACGCCCGAACCTGCAGTCGCTCCGGTTCCTGATCCTGCTGCCGCACCTGCTCCCGATCCTGCCGCTGTACCTGCTGCCGATCCTGCTGCCGCTCCGACGCCCGAACCTGCAGTCGCTCCGGCTCCTGATCCTGCTGCCGCACCTGCTCCCGATCCTGCCTGCTGCTGTACCTGCTGCCGCTCCGACGCCCGAACCTGCAGTCGCTCCGGCTCCTGATCCTGCTGCCGCACCTGCTCCCGATCCTGCCACTGTACCTGCTGCCGATCCTGCTGCCGCACCTGCTCCCGATCCTGCTCCTCCAACTGAGGGAGCAACTTATCAGGAAAAGCTAGATCCAACAAAACAAGCAACAGGTGAGAAACCAGCAGAGCCGGCTGAAGAGGAAGCATCTGAAAGTTCGAGTGAATCGGATTCAGAAGGAGAGGAACTTGCCGAGGAGCTCTGTGTGTGTCGCATTGTTAAACGGATAAAGAAAATAGTTTCTACGGTTGGAGTAAATGTCGACAAATAACGTAACAAAGGAAATTTAACAAGAAACATAAACGAAAAATTGATTTTCAACTTTAAGATAGATTATATACAATCCATATACAATCCATATATATTATATACAATATATATACAATCCAATGGATTGCTTACCAATTCCTTAATTAAAGGTTTATTTTATAAAATATCTCTGGCAAAATTAATTTATTTCTGTAACTGCAGTACTTTCTAATCCAGTATTTAATCACGGAGTCTAACCTCGATAGTGAAGTGGATATAAGTAATAAATTAAAAAGTTTTTGTTTTTAAATGGGAAAATACGATGAAATTCGTCCGATTAATAACAAAATTGAAGAGAACAAAATATAACAGATCAATATCACCGTGGACAGTTTAGAAAAGGTCACTTTTACGATGCGGTTTTTAGTTTATTTTAAATAAATGAAAAATAAAAACATTTCTAAAAATCCTTTAAAATGAAATCATATTCTTTGTTACCAAAGATCTAGGTATGCAAAACATATTTTAAATTATAATTAGTTTGGGCTAGTTTTTTTAATTAAGTCATTTTCATGTTTTTTTTTAACTAGTAATTAATTGATAACACAGTCTTACAAAAAAAATAAATGTCGTGATCTCGATGACTGACCATGGTATTCCTATGTATTTTTCGACGCTGAATCCGTATTCGAGCTCAAAAAAAATCGTATACCCCTTAAATTTTTATCTAGAGCCAAAAACATCCCTTAAATAGGGGTAAAGTTATGAATTTAAATATAAAATTAAAAAATGTTAATTGTCTCTACTTTCTCTTATTTCTCTTTAGTGACCGGATTGTGATAAATATTATTAGAAGGAAAATTATAAGAGGTATTGCACATAACGTGGATATCAGTCATTATACATTGAGTGAGCCGTAAGTCCCTCCAAACCCAAGCTTGCCATAATAATAAGTTTTATGGTCTAGGTACAAATTATAAAATGGTACTTCCTGAGTAAAGGATTTTGGAATTTCCAAAGTCTGAAGGACTCGACCGTTGAGAAAGACATCTCCGACATATGCATATACATTTTTGCAGCTGCTGGACTTCGTCTTCTGGTATAAGCACTGACAATTTACTTTCATTTTTTATATCAAAGACAAAAAAAATGATTTCCTTAAAATCAACCAGTCAATTAATAAAATTTGTCAATTGTAGCAGCCCTCACGGATCACCGAAAATTAACGTCAAACTTTCAACGTCCTGTCATTGTGACACATGATGATTCGCATCACAAAATTCAAGTGAAACTTCAGGTTAGTGAAAAATTTCGATCCCAAATGAGTAGCAGTCGCCAGAAAAATGTTCGCGAACCAAGTGAGGTTGAAGCATGGAAACTGATGATGAACAGCATGTTAGAGTTCGTAGTTGCGTCAACGAAACTGATGAAAACGATCACCACCCGCGCCGAGGCGACCCCTGTCCCCAGCTCGGAAGACAATGGCTGCGAAGTGGAATGTATAATGTGCCCCACCAAGTCACCGAAAGAATGTGGGGTCTGCGCGGCTGGCGAGGTGGTGCAAGTGTCAAAGACTAACGCATATGTTCTTACTGGTCCTCGTGGTCGTGCTCGTGCTCAACCTCGTGCTCCCAAGATTGCTGCCGTACCTGCTCCCGTTCCTGCAGCCGCTCCGACGCCCGTTCCAGCAGCCGCTCCGACGCCCGTTCCTGCAGCCGCTCCGGCTCCCGTTCCTGCAGCCGCTCCAGCTCCCGATCCTGCTGCCGCACCTGCTCCCGATCCTTCAACTTCTCAGGGAAAGCCAGATCCAACGCAACAAGTAACAGGTGAGAAACCAGCAGAATCGGCTGACGTGGAAGCATCTGAAAGTTCGATTGAGTCTGATGTGCAAGTAGAGGTTAGTGATAAGGATTTCTGTGTGTCTCGCATTGTTGAGAGGATAAAGAAAATAGCTTCTAGGGCTGGAGTAAATGTCGACAGAATGCGTGAGATGCTGAATGTTTCAATAAGGAATTAACGATTGTTATAGATTTGATGGAACGTGCTCTAAATGGGTTACTAATTTCAGTTCAATCCAACTAATATCGTATTGTTTTCAGGCAGCGATCCCGTAGAGGCAATATTAAAAAAAGTTAAGTATATTTCTCCTATTTATAATATTATAGTCCACGGGCCCACGTACAAAGAAAAAAATGATTACCAGCAAGCTGTAACTTTGCGTGCAGCTTAAGTTTGACGAGTCTCCCAAGATTTGACTATGAGGAAAATTCAACAGTAGTAAGTTTTTCCGTGATTTTCAGGAAAACTTGTCAATCTGGCATAAACATGGAATGTTATGACCAGCACTTTTTTTTTAAGTTTAAATGAAAGATATATATTTTTTTAAACTCCCCAAAAATTTGTCCCACAAAAATTTTGAGTTTGTCCCCCACCCCAAATATGTCGATTTGGTGACACCAACCAGCTGATTTTTCTGGGAGGGTTTGGTAATAAGATTTGGAATGAAAGTATTTTATTGTCCGAGAAAATTCTTGAGAAGTTTTTGCAGTCCGACTAACATGGTTGGTGATAACCAGCAATCTGGTTTTGATTTTTTTCTCTAATAATTGAAATGTATAACAATAATATACTTGTCCGCCAAAAAGATTGGAAAATTTGCCTTAAAAATGGGAAAAATAACTATTTTTGTGGTACCTATTGTTCATTCCGCTTTAAAATAATTAATTTTTTAATGAAAAAATAAAGAAGAATAAATAAGAAAATTATTTTGTTAACAGGAGCAACAGAAATTGAAATTCATAAATAATAATAATAATACGCAAAGTTACAGCTTGCTGGTAATCATTTTTTTCTTTGTACGTGGGCCCGTGGACTATTAGTAATAAGGTTCGTTTTGGTTCTAACAGAGAACTATTTGCTTTACAAGAGCAGCTAAACAGAGAGGCATTGTCAGTGTACTCCATATCACCATTCATAACTTTGGCAAACTTGTATAATAAAATTGAAACTTCTCGCGAAACAGGCGGTTCAACTTTAAAAAACTATATTTAGTTTTTGTAATATCTACTAAGCAAATACCTAAATATATTCTGCTGACACTTGGTACACATAAAAAATAACATAAAATTATTATTTTGATAAAAAAACAGTTTTCTTCTAAAACACTGACGTTTTTGTAGGGTTGTTTGCATTCATTTAAATCCTCCTAACTCTACGCAAATAGCGGAACATAATCTTTAAGATATTAAGTCTTAATCCGCTTTTCCAAAATAGATACCCTTCTAGATAGATAATTTCAATTTGTGTATGAACCGGCCTACTTTCATAGAAACAGACAGTAAAACATTTTTATAGTTCATTTTACGAGAAAAAGGCATTCCTGATAAAAATTTTTGCTTGTCTTTAAAATGCAGGTGTCATGAAGAACTTCCATCTTGCATGTACAGAGTGATCAGAAAATCAGTAAATATAAAAATCGTTCAAGAATAAACTGCCTTTTGCTCATCATTCAAATATAATTCGCATGAACAACTTTGTAATTTTGCCAAAACATTGTATTAAATATTTTTTTTGCAACGTAAGCATATTAACCATCACTCTAAAGCCTTGTCACTTTTCATTATTTTCATTATTATTGTAAAATGAGCAATAAAAATGTTTTACCGTCCGTTTCTATCAAAGTAGGCCGATTCATACACAAATTGAAATTGTTCATTGCAAACGAATCATTAATATTCGTGACGTCAAGATTTTGAGAATTTTCGTTACCATTGCCAATCGTGCATTGTTAGGCTGCCTAAGCTCGGCGGCTCGGTGGCTTGTAAACATTTATGAATGTCACCCACACCAAAACATGTCGGTGTCAGTAGACAGACATCTAAATAGCTGATACTGACATACTGATGAGAGCGAAACCGGTCTGTGTCTGGTGACGCTACTGCCACTTAGCTATTTGTTAGATATTGGGGGTGTAATTCAATGTTGGACGGAGCATGTAGCTCGCAGAGTAGCTGTTTCCCACAATACCATCAATAAATTATTCTGCCATTATTTTCTCATGTATAATCACCCCCTGAAATTGTCGCACTTATTTACTAACACCCTGTATACTTATTTTATCTTTTCGTTTTACAGGTTGTAGTTGTAGGAGCTGCCGTAAGTATATAATAAATTTAGGTAATACAGCTCCACAAAAAAAATTAAAGTCTTGTGCAAATAACCAGAATACATCATTCCCAGGTATGATTTATCAGCTGCTGAAACTTTGTTTTTTGTGCAGCTGTGTAATCCACAAGTCTGATTGTATTACATGTTTTGACTTTGTTTGGCGACTTTGGGCAAATATCCTGAAAAAGGTCAGTTTTTATTTTTAAAAGTTAGTTTTACATAATGACGTTATCTGTGTGGCGGTTATGACGTCATCGATGGTTTTTTTAATACAAATGTGAATTACGCGATAGCCCTTTTGAAAGGTATATTCAACCATATCAATAGATTTTGTTAATATAATTTTGTATAGTGCCAAAGGAAAAATTCTAAAATTATAACAAAAAATGTATTTTTAGCGACCCAAGTCATACTACAGCGAGAGTACTAAACTCTCCTTCCGAATACGTACTTTTGATGCATCTAGATTTTGTGGTCTATTTTGGTATACTTTTCTTTTTAAGTAGCCCCATAAGAAGAAATCTAGAGAAGTTAAATCTAGACGTAGGTCATGTAGTTGAACCTCTTCGCCCTATTGACCCATCACGAAAAATGTTACGAAAGCCGTTGTCCCAGTAGTTGAAATTGAACAAAATTTAAAAAATGTACCTATGAAATAAACCTTTGCACCAATAGAATCAGTCAAGGGTTATTTTTTTATGAAAATATTTTTGCCTAACCAAAAATCTCGACCTGAAGAAAGCAGACAAATGCAATACAGCATCACTGTATTTCGCGCACTTGAAAAAGTACCTAACTTTTCGAAAACCAATCTGTTTTCATCATCTCCACTTCCTCCAAAATGTTGGTAGAACC